CGCGGAAAAAAATTTATTTTTTGTAAAAACTTTACCCTCTACGGTAGAAATGGGCATGAAAGTTTTCATGGCAAAATTCGCAAAAAATATCACATTTTTGCTGACTTTAGATCTAAAAATCTCGGACGTTGTGCCAAGTTTCACCAGAATCTGAGCGTCGCACTTGGGGTATTTCCCTTGTAAAGTAAAGGTCGATGACTCACTTTCTGGTTGCCTTCAAATATACTATGCATAAAATCTGAGCCTTGCATTTTCAGCGTTTTTATGTCAATTTCCCCGCTTTCCTCAAAGTCTCACAATGTCAGCTTTAAGCCGCGAGTTGTTTTGGCGGGGTTTTTCGCTTTTAAAGGTCTTTAAAATTTCCATCCGGCCACACTTTTCCTTTCCCATGAGCCTAATGTACTTGTCTCCATCCACAGATAAGTATGCCCTTTCAAATTCCAAAGTATTTTGATATTATTTACTGTAATCTTTAATGGACATGTCTCTAAAAGCTTTTCTGCTCCAGCAAAAAATTATTTTCTATTTCATCCCGAAAAATGGAAAACAAAAAAAACGAGAGCGCTGAGAACGGCCTTGGATTAGAAGCGGGACGATCGCGCTGGGATCGTCCGCTTTTTTGCGATGGCAGACGCGAAAGGTCGGGGCCATGTTTTATTCCCATTTTTTATTCCAATCTCATTTTTCCGGAGTCTTCGAATTTTTTATTATAATTTCAGCGTCTTTTAAAAATTTTTCGTCGAAAGAAAAAAACGGAAAAAGTGGAAAGTTTAGGGACAAAGAATCCTTTCGGCCAGATGGCTATGATTAAGAGCGTTTTTTTGGAATGTTTAAGAAGAAGTTGTGTAATTAGTCGGCAGAATTTTAAAATGTGCTCACTTTTATTGACTATAATTCTATTTTATTTTTTTTGCGATTTTTTTTGAAAAAAAATTTTAAAAATAAAAAAAATATTTTTTATCTTACAGGGGAGGTACCCCAAGTGCGACGCTCAGATTTTGATGAAACTTGGCACAAATTTAGAATAATTTTTTCCAAGATATATGCGAGAATCTTAGCTCACGCTTTGCAGAAACAACCGAGATTTTTAGATCGAAAATCGGCGAAAATTTGGAACTTTTTGCCGAATTTCGGCGTCAAAATGTTCATGCCGATTTCTACCGTATAGGATAATGTTTCCACAAAAAATCAATTTTTTCCGCACGAAACTAGCAAAGTTATGGCCAAAAAGTGGTTTTCTCTCTGACCGATCTCCACGTTTAGCGTGCTCTCTCGGCGGCAAAAATCGTTCAACATCTCGACGGCGCTTGCAAAGCGCGAGCTCAGACTTTCAGGAATTGGTGTCTAGTCTACGCCCGACACGTCCGCAAAATTTAAAGAAAATCTGAGCGTCGCACTTGGGGTACTTCCTCTGTTAGAAATATTTTAGATGGTAAAATATCTGATTTTATCGATTTTTTTTGAATATTTGAAACGCTAAAAAATTTAAAAAAGTTTTTAAAATTTTAAGTCCAAAAATAAATATTTTATTACAAGGAAGTTGATCTTAATTGGCAGCCTGAAATGCCAAGAGGAAATGCCAGAAAAAAGTTATTTCCCGGATTACTGTTTTTCCTCTTCTACTTTGCACTCTCATATACACCATATAAAAAATAAAAAAACAAAGATTTTTAACAAAATTCAGCCAAATTTTTGCTTTTGTCTAGACATGTTCTAATCTGACACCCGAAGAATTTTATTGCCTTGGCAAAAGCCTAACCGTTTTGACCGATCAAAAAACGGCCAATTGATCGATCAAGGGCGCTAATGGGAAGGGGGTTTCATGGGGTGAGGAAAAGGGAATTGTTGGCAAAAATATTTGCAAAGCCTGACGAGAACAATGTTTGCTTTTTGCTATTGCCGGCTTCTGTTCTCGTTATTAGTTTCGAATATTTTTTTTCTTTATTTGGGTCCCTACGGGAAAATTTCCGAAATAATTTATTAAAAGCTTGAGACAAAAGAAACGTTTAGCTTAACCAGGCAACATATTAAACTTTACAGGCCAAAATTTGATCCTAAAAATTGTCGGTTGAACTTAGACATGGCTCGTCGGCCGGCCCGGGCCGAGATTTTCGGCCTGAAGGGTTCCGGCCGGCTCGACCCGTTTCAAATTTTCCGTCGGCCCGGCCCGTTTTTAATTTGCTTCGGCCCGGCCCGGGCCGGCCCAATACTGTGTTCCATAGCTATCTAAAAACAAAAAACCCCTTAAAAAACCAATTGTGTCTTGACTTTATTTTCATTATCAAACCCAATTTTCACTTCGAGATTCTGGATTTTAAATATTCCGGGCCGGGCCGGGCCGAAATTTCGGCCCGGCCGACGGGCCGGAAATGGCCGGCCCGGCCGATCTGAAATCGGGCCGACGGGCCGAAATTTCGGCCCGGCCCGGGAGCCATGTCTACTTGAACTTATAAGGGCGGCCATGATATTCAACAATCGCCTGAGGGTATGGAAAATAAGAGGAGGCGGCTTGAAAATATTATTGTTTTTTTTGGCTATATGTTTATTTGCGTACTTTTCGAGGGAAAAGTAATTATTGATACGAAAGTTGTCCCCCCGAACCGGGAGGAATGCTAATTTAAAGTTGGAATCCAAAAAAAATTAATGAATTTTTGGCAATTTCGGCCTAAAAATCTCTTTCTTTTTTTAAACAGAACAAAAATCTGGCATGTGGCTTGAAATATCTTATTATAATTGCGAAATTTCATCAAAATTGCGCCATCTTACATAATATGAGTCTGTCGGGAAAATTGTGAGCGCTCTATCGCATCGAAAATCGCTTCTCTGCCATGAAAATAAATTGTGTCGCGACAAAATTAAATTGCTTTTATTTCTGATTTAGAATATGGAAAAATTAACCACTCAATTTTGGTTTTTAAGGGCGAAAAAACCCTCATGTCAGAATTTCGCAACACCAGGCAAATGCCTTTTTGACCAAGTTTCTACCAATTCAAAAGTTTTGTTTGTAGCTAAAGTAAAACCTGACATCTTGACAAGCCTTAAAATATCAAATTTGATTAATACCTTGATAGTAGTTCATATGTAAAAAAAGAGCATTTCCGTGGTGTTTCGAGAAGGCTTCTGAGGGGGTTTTTGCCCTTACAAAGCTAAATTGAGTAGCTAAGTTTTACTTATTCTGACAGGGGAAGTACTCCAAGTGCGACGCGCAGATTTTCTTTAAATTTTGCACACACGTCGGGTATGAACTAAATATCAATTCCTGAAAGTTTTAGCTCGCGCTTTGCGGGCGCCGCCGAGATATCGAACGATTTTTGCCGCCGAGAGAGCACGCTAAACGTGGAGAGCGGTCAGAGAGAAAACACCTTTTTGGCCATAACTTTGGCAGTTTTGTGCGGAAAAATTTGATTTTTTGTAGAAACATTATCTTTTACGGTAGAAATAGGCATGAAACTTTTCGTGCCGAAATTCGGCAAAAAGTCCTAAATTTTCGCCGACTTTCGATCTAAAAGTCTCGGTTGTTTCGGCAAAGCGCGAGCTAGGATTCTCGCATATATCTTAGAAAATGTTGTTCCAAATTTGTGCCAAGTTTCGTCAAAATCTGAGCGTCGCGCTTGGAGTACTTCCCCTGTGAGTTTTGCAATTTTCTGAATTAAAAAAATTTTGCGATTTTTTTGATACATGCCTCGACCTGTAACTCCGTACACATAGACGTACTTTTCCTTGTTAAAAATTAATTTTTTTTTGGTCTTTACCGAAGCTGCCATTTCCCCTGAAGTTACATCTATAGCCTTTCCATTTTTGCAAACCATTTTTCTCGAATTGTTTTCTTCCCAGTAATCAACAAAAATTTGAGCCGCAAATCTCGCCAACATTCAGCGAATTACTTGTTTTTCTTTCATTCTTTCTCCCCCTTGATCGTAATATATATTCCCTCCTTCCAGAAGAGGAGGGGGGGGAGAGAAAGCGATCGGTCAGCGATTTGGAGGAGTCGAAAACAAGAGCCGAATGATGATTAGGTCCTTCCCTTTATCTTTGTTTCATCCCAAAGCCTATTTTTCCTCTTCTTTTCTCGCTCAATGACCGGTCATTTCTCCTACCCGGCCGGGGGCTCGGGTATTATCATGCGTGACATGCGGGTCAAATTTATGGGTGTGGTTTTGGTGGTCGGAGTTTGAGAATTTTTTGATTTTTTGGTCATTTTTTTTTATTCCACTGGAGAATTTGAAGTGGCAGGAAGGATTTCTGAGAACTTTAAAGTGATATTTTCACGGAAATTTTGTTTTTTTTTTTCGATTTTTTTGATTTTTTGAGAGAAATTTTTGATACTTTTGGATACCAAAATTTCGAAAAAGCATCAAATTTAGTCAATTTTTGATAAAAAAATGGCATTTCATCCTGAAAAAAGTTTTTTTTTTTGGTTTTTCAAATTTTTTTCTTTCAATTCAGACTACCTTTCAAATCTACGTAGACAAAATCTTTATCCACCAAATTTCCACCGCAATTCGAAGCGAATTCGGCCTAAAAATAATTCTGACGCAAGTCTCTTCTTTTATATTTTAAAGTCGGATTGTTCTTGGACTTGGGCGTAATCATTACAACAAAATTTTTTTTTTCAATTTTTTAAATTCCGGATATCTGCAGAGAGAAGAGAATGAGAAAATGAAGGCAGCGGAAGGCAATTTCTCAACAGTATTTATAGTTTTCGGTGATTATCAAAGGTTGCTATCTCAATTTATGGCCATCAGAGATCTTTTTGATGAGAAATCCGTCAAAACATTAGGATTGGGGGGAAATTGCAGTGATTATTAGTGACTTTCAATCATTTGTTTTGGGTTCGAAAATCGTATTTATATGGGTGATAAAACTTTGAGATTTTTTTGAGAAAAAATTTTTTTTTGATACTTTTTGATACTTTTGAGAAGTTTTTTTCGCTTATTGCTTATTTTTTATTATTAAAATTAAGATCTTTAATTTAAATTTGAATTATTTTCAGGGCCCCGATGACAAAAAAAGACGCTTCCAATAACAATTTGTAAGTTTTTTTGATCAATCAAACGCTCAAAGTTCATGACTATGATTTTTTTAAAGGCAATTTTTTGAGGGAATTTTTTGAAATTTGAAAAGCAAAAATTAAAAAAAAAAAAAAAAAAGAAAAAATTATTATTTTTTTCATTCTTTTTTCCCCTAATCTCCTCCATTTCCAGCGCCCTCGACCTGTCGAACGACTCGCTGAAGAAGACGCCGGTCGACGATGGAATCGACTACGAACGCCATCCCGAGGCCAAAGGCGAAGTCATCAACGGCGAGTTCATCAAGGACTCCGGCATGAATTGGGTCGTCGCCGCCCTCTTCTTGGTCGGCGACATGGCCGGCGGCGGGATTGTCGCCCTCCCGACGGCCGTTCAACAATGCGGTTTTGTTGGGGGCATCATTTTGTGCATCATCATGGCGCTCTGCGCAACAGTTTCGGCGGTTCTCTTGGGCAAAAGTTGGGAACATCTGCCGGTCCGATGGCCCGAATATCGATTGCATTGCCGGAAACCGTACGCGGAGATCGGGTACAGAGCGTTGGGACATCGAGTGAAGTGAGTTGGGAAATTTTTCAAAATTTTTAAATTTTTGAAAAAAAATAAAAATTTTTTTTTTTTTTTTTTATATTAATTTTTGATATAAAAATTTTTTTTTGCTTTTTTTACTATTTTGTCTTTGGAATTTTCATTTTTTTCATTTTTTACTTTTGATTTTTGGTCCCGACACGAAAACCATCAAAAATTTTTAACTGTATTTTTTCACCAAGATATCGATTTTTGGCTATAAAACCGTATTTTAGGCAAAAAATTAATTTCAAAACTTCCGTTTTTCCCCAAAAAATCGATTTTTTTCAGAACCTCCGTTTCGGTCTGCCTAAACATCACCCAATTCGGGATCTGCGTGGTTTTCCTCCTCCTGGCCGCCAAGAACATCCACGACTTCGTCTTCTCGTTCTGGAGCGGAGTGCCGGGCGTGTGTGTGATCATCCTGGTGCTCGGCATTGCCCTGCTTCCCATCAGTTTCCTCAAGTCGCCGGAGGATTTCTGGTGGGCCATTGTGGCGGGCATGTTCTCCACCGCAATTGCTGTTGCGCTGATCATTGTTGGAGCCAGCAGCGACTACGCGACTTGTAACCCGCAACGACATGAGCCCACTTTCAATATTTTTAATTTGTTTGTTGCATTTGGTACCGTTGTTTTCACTTTTGGAGGGCATTCTACGTTCCCCACCATTCAACACGACATGACGAGGCCGTCGCAGTTCACCAAGAGCTCAATCACGGCGTTTATTAGTAAGTTTAGGGGCTGCTTTTTATTGATGACATTCAAAATAAAAAATTACAAAAAAAAATTTTTATTTTTTTTTTTTTTTTTTTTTTTGAATTTTCAAGATGAAATTTTTTATAAAATTTTTTATCGCTGATTATAAATGAAAGCCTGAAAATCTTAGCTCGCAATTTTTGATGAAATCCGAGATATTCAAGGATTTTTTTTGCGAGAGAGTACGCGAAATGAGGAGAGCCGCCCAGACGAAAATCTTTTTTTGCTTTAATTTTTTTGTTTCTGCGCCGAAAAACGTGATTTTTTGTGGAATATAACACACTCACTAATACCTCAAAAAAAATTTTTTTTTTTTTTTTTTTGGATTTTTTTTTTCATTTTTGCCTCAGTAAGCATAAAAATTCAAAAAACAAAAAGGCACTAAAAAACAAAAATCAAAAACACCCTCTAATCCGCGAAAAACATGCTCAATGTTCAATTTGTTTATTTTCCAGCTATCTGCATCTTCTACGCTCCCGTTGTGATCGTCGCCTACCTGTCGTACGGCGATTCCCTGCGCGATTCCGTGATCCCATCCATTCAGACGGAATGGATCCAACAAGCGGTAAATATGATGATTGCCGCGCATTGCATCCTCACCCTCACTTTGATGATCAACCCACTCAACCAGGAGACCGAGGAGTTCTTCAATGTCCCCCATCGTAAGAATTTGAGAAAAATTGAAAAAAAATGCAAAAAAATTGCAAAAAAATTGCAAAAAATCAAAAAAATCCAAAATTTTTTTGCTCAAAAATCATGAAATTTTTAAATTTTTTTACTAAAAAGTCAAAATTTCAACAAATAAAAAAGCTAAAAAATCCCAAAAATTGCGAAAAAATCTAAAAATCCAAAAAATTTTTTGCTCAAAAATCATGAAATTTTTTAATTTTTTAACTAAAAAATCAAAATTTCAACAAATAAAAAAGCTCAAAAATCCCAAAAATTGCGAAAAATTCTAAAAATCCAAATCTTTTTTTCTCAAAAATCATGAAATTTTTTAATTTTTTAATCGAAAAATCAAAAATTTCAACAAATAAAAAATTTCAAAAATCCCAAAAATTGCAAAAAAATCAAAAAAAATCCTATTTCCCAAATCTTTTTCAGACTTTGGAGTCAAGAGAATCACCGTTCGTGCCGCAATGATGTGCGCGATTGTGTTCATGGCCGAGACTGTCCCCAACTTTGGCCCTGTTCTGAACTTGATGGGAGCCTCAACAGTCACCCTGACCTGCGTCATTTTCCCCAGCATCTTCTACTTGTTCATCAAGGCGAATGAGAAGAAATCGGCCGAAACCGGAAGAGAAGAGCTCTGCAGTTTTAGAGAGTGAGTTGAGGGAGAGGGAATTTTTGATTTTTTTGGATTTTTCAAATTGAAAAATTTTTTAAAAAATTTTCAAAAAAAATATTTTTTTTTTATTTTAAAATAAAAAAAAATTTCATGGCCATATTTTTTGTGAATTTTTCGTGGAAAAAATTCTAGAAAATCGCAAAAAAATCAAAATTTTTTGAAAATTTCCACTTAAAAATCATAAATTTAATTTTATTTTTTTGCGGATCATGAGCCAAAACTCTTTAAAAAATTATCAAATTTTTTTTTCCAAATCAAAAAAAAAATTTTTATTTCTCCCCATTTCCAGGATGGTCGACCGCACCGACCGACGAGTCCTGGTCCTTTGCACCTGCATTGTGATTGTCGGAATTCTGGGTGGAATCGCAGCCACCGTCTCGGCTGTTCGTGAGATCACCACCACCAGTTTCGAGGTCCCCTGTTACATGCGAAATCTGATTGCGCAAGCTCAAAACGGCTCCTCCGAAACTTCGACCAATTGCTGTGGAGCTTTCCAAAACATTACAGTCAGTGGGAAAGCGCCTGCGGGCTACTGTAGTAAGCCCAATTTGGATTATTATGGGCATTGGTACGATGGGGAGCAGCAAAAATGGTGGGAATAGATGGTAATGAGGACGGTGTTTGTTGATTTTGATATCTAAAATTTTGAGAAATTTCAAATTGATTATTTTTGAGAATTTTTTTTTCTAATTTTTTTCATTCGAAATTCCTCTAAATTTTTCCTCAATTCGCTGCAATTATGAGTGTATATCTTTCATTAGTGAAAATCGGTTAGAACCGAGTCGATCAATAGTTGTTAAACCCGTTGTAAGAGGTCTTAAACCCCGGAATCTGATCTAATAATACCTTAATTCCCGATTGATTGCCTTACAATATCTTAACTCCCCTTTTTCAGCCTTAAAGCGTCTTAAAATCCCCGTTTCATATCCTAATTGTCATCATATTCGAGTTGCTTACTCCATTTTTTCTTTGTTTTTTCCGTTGCGGGTTACGAGAATTGACATTTGTCAGTATTTTTCACCGGTATTCTAATAACATACTCGGATGGTCAAACACATATTCATATTATATAAATAATTCATTGATTAGTGTCGTTGATAACTGGTTCAATAAAATGATTTTTGAAAATGTGTTTGAAATTTTTGAGGATACTAGTCCTTCCGTAAAGTCGCTGGAATGATTTCGGCGACGTGCACTGTGCGAAAAAACTCAGGGTGCGAGCGACAGCCCAAAAAAGCCTAATGCACTGTGCAAAAAGCCAAAAATTTCACAGTGCAAAGTGAACTTTCGGTTTCGCGGGGTGAATGTCGCCGAAAACATTCCAGCGACTTTACGGACGGACTAGTAAAACTAGAAGAAAAATTGATGAGAAATAAAAAGAATTCGAAAAAATATCGTGATCCATGGGAGGAGGAGGATACTTGGACCCAAGTCCTACGGATTGAGTGGATCCCATCGCTGTCGCGCCTTTTTCGTCCGGTCCAGCCATTGAAAACGACCGTCTCGGCAAGTATCGGACGCATTGGGACTCGAACCCGCTTCTTTTCGAATCAAAAGTGAACGCACTGCCACCAAACTATTCATACACAGCCTTCCCCTTCGCTTTTTTTTGTTCGGAAGAGAGGCTTTTGTGTTTCAATAAGTATGTAGCAGATGAATGTTTTGATTAAACTAGACATCTGTCTGGCCGAAACAACATATTTTAAATGATTGGCCAGACAAAAGATTGTCTTGTGATTGAAGTTTGGGATTTTTTGGAAGATTTTTTTGGGATAAAAAGGCGAAGATCGTGGTTTACACTGCGAAAACAAGTAAAGAACCCATCCAAAACGTACGATAAAGCGCAAAGAACTGTTTGTAATATGTATCAATCAAATTATTAGGCATTTTCAGACAGTGAAATGATGATTTAAAATTTTTTTTCCACGAAAAAATCATCATTTTTGGAAAATTTTTTGTCAATAAAAATCGAAAGTTTTTTTATTTATTTTTACCTTTTTTTCTTTTTATTTTAATTTATTTACAATTTCCATCGGTCTAAAGTGGTCCACAAACTTTTTAAACCGTCAATTCCTATTATCTCCCAGTGTGAATTTGACCCTTTCCTCTCGCTCTTCCTCCGTCTCTTCATGGCCTTCTTTGCTTGTCCGACTACTGCTTGACTCTGTCTTCTGATTCAAGGTCTTTTCACTATCAGTCTCAACTCTTTGTCCTCCATCCGGGATCTCGATTTCGAACTCATCCTCCGACGAACTCGAAGATGCTGGGATGCTGATATCGGCGGGAAGTTTTCCGTCACTTTGGATTTGAGGCAGCTGAAAAAGGTATTTCCAAAAAAGGATTTGATTTTTTTTAGATTTTCGAATAGCCCAAGAAAGACTTACATTGCTCTCAATGGCAATATCATTGGTCGCAACTGTAATTTCAGCGGCCTTTTCCAAAACAGTTACGATTTGGGAGTGTTGGAAATGAATGGCGTCGTCCATTGGCGTTCTGCCCCAACTAAAAATAATATATACTATTATATTATATCACGTTTGGGTAAAAGTTCCTTATTTTGGCCACAACTTATAACTTTGCGGAAACTGGTCGGAATTAGCCCAAATTTAGCGTGCACGCTCAATTCATCGTTGTCAATGCCCGGACAGTGGATTTAGCTAGTGAGGCATCTTCTTTTTTACGTACCACCTTACCCTTCAAAAACGGCTGCAGTCTGTGATTTTACACCTTATACGATGAAACATGTCCGGAACTAAACTTATTGCCTCCGTATAGAACTAAATGAGTCGTCACAGCCTTCGTAGGTACCCTTAAAACTATAGAGCTATTATAGTAATTCAGTGCCAGCTAGGTCGAAGCGTTTTTTCCTAACTTTAGTGCCCAAGCTTGGGCGCAGTTCGCGGAGTACCTTTGTTGTGGCCAAAATAAGGAACTTTTTCCCAGGTTTGTTTTGGCCTAATATTGAGCCTGAGGACTTCTGCAATCTTTTGTTTTTTACTTTTTTTGTTGTACATAGCTTATACTGTACATTTCAAAAAATTTTTCTTACCGATCTTTCGCGTCAATTTTGACTCTTGCAATATTCACCAAAAATTTCACAACTTCCACTTGGCCTTCCGCCGCGGCCACATGTAGAGCTGTCCGTTTATCATAATCGGAGCTGCTCATATCAACGCGTTGCATAAAAAGTCGGCGCAAAATGTTCATGTCGCCCGTTCTTGCAGCGAAAAGGAGGGAAATCACCTGAAATTTTTTTGATGTGTTTGTAAAATACGGTGGCCCACACCAACAGTTCAGAAATTACTATCCGGGCTTTCTTACCTGATCCCTCTCCTGCTCTCCAACTCTTTTTCTCGGATCGAATTTGTGTTGTTCTGTATGAGCCAAGGAATCATAGTTGTGCAAGGAAAACCTGGTGATCATTTCCTTGCAGAACTCGACTCCACGACAAGTATTTCCCAGTTCATCGAGAGCCGGAGAGTAAAGACAGATACCCATCAAATTTGGGACCACAACAATCATCGATCCTGATGCACTTGACTTGGCTGGGAGGCCAACATGAAAGGCGAATTGACCGCTGAAAAATGAATAATTGGCTGTAAAATACGTAGAGTAAATCTACTACAGCTAAAATAAAATATTTATATTCAAAAGACCGTAAAAAATTGATTTTTGAGGCATCAGTATTACTTGGAAAGTTTTATTATGACACGTAGGTAAAGCAACAATATAGTGGGCGACCTGATCCAGTGGCAAAAAAACGTACCATTTTGCATCCAGGAAGCATCAAAAAAGTGGCAAAATACCTCCCTTTTCAAGTGAAAAAAATCAGATTTCAAAAGCGCGCCCTCTCTTTTTGTGAGGAAAAAGGGCGCGTCCTTCAAAACAAACTTTTTTTTATTTGGAGAGGGAAGCATTTTGCCACATTTTTGATGCTTCCCGGATGCAAAATCGTAAGTTTTTTGCCACTGGATCAGATCCCCCACTGTATTCTTACAAGTAAGCTGCTGCCTACCTGTAATCATAAAGCCCGCAGGAATACATCAGCGACAAAACGTCTCGGCATGGCCGGCTCTCAATCACCCGCTCGTCAGTGATGGGGCACACACCTAAAAATCAAACAACAAGTCTCAATGTGACAGTTAAACAAAAATCTACCTCCATTAGCCAACGTTGCTGCCATGACCGCAGCGCTTTCGCAATTCGTTTCCAGCGACATTAATTGTAAGTAAAAGTCCATCAAGTCTGGTAAGCTCTTCATACTAGGTGGAAAGCATTTGTACTCATTTAGGTAATAGCCCAAAGCAAAGTTGCGGTCGGAAGCCATCCTTTCCGAGAGAAATACCGCATTGTTGAATCCAATGTAATCGCCGCCGGCTATTCGACGGTAGGTGTTGAGGAACTGAAAAAATAGCGTGAAAAAGTAATCGAGATTCTTTGCAGAGATGGTCAAGAAAGCAAAAAATGTAATTTTTGCCAAGGTGTTACAAGCATATAGCATCTCAAAAATTAACCTACATGATCAAATCGATCAGCCAAGCAAAGATTCGGCTTCATCAGCGAAGCAATGACAATTGCACCAGTTGAGATCAATGGGTTATGTGGAATATCTAAACTCAGTAAATTCATAATCAATCGCTAACTCTTACTTTTGCTATCCAAACAAATTTCATTGTACAGCCTTCCAGACGGCTCTTGCCCAACAAATTTGTGGACGTAATCAGCGCCAAGCTCAGAAGCGGCTAGCGCGTAATTGAAGGCTTTGCTGATGCTTTGAATACAAAATGGCTGTTGGAAATCACCGAATGATATTCGCTGGCCATCAACGGTGCAGATGGAAACCGCCCAGGTCCCGGGGTCGGCTCGAGCTAACTGCGGGATGTAGGTGGCCACATGGCCGTCGTTGTTGGATTCACACTAGAATGAGTGAGTTTTACATGTGTGGATGAAAAGGAATGGAAAATTGAAATAAATATGATGTAAAAAGTTCAAAATCAGAAAGCCGATTTGGTGAAATATGCGTTTATCAGCTTTCCAAGGGCTATAAGATGGCCTTGACCGGTTTCTTTACATAAAAAGCCGCTTGCAAACCCGTAATATGTTGAATTTTAAAGCGTGTGTTATCGCCAAGACTTCATGGCCCTCAAGGCAAAAAATTGAACTTCAAAAAAATTAAGAAGATTCTTACGATTTTGTATATCTCCTCGATGACGCTGCAAAAATGGGTCCACGAAGGCACTGTGAGTTGATTCTGTATTGTCCGGGAAATCAACGGCAAACTCTCGGATACACAGCTGAAACAACCTTGTCTTAGCCACATTTCTAATGATTATTTGTATGGAAATCCTCAAAAAGATCTCGCAAATAAACCCGTTAGCCATTCTTAATCCGGAAATTGAGTCACCGGATTTAAAAGAAGGTTTATGAGAGGAATGCAAGGTAAGTTATTTGACAAACATGGACAAAACCAGTAATAACAATTTGTTTTAATGTAAAATCTCTGTACAGCAAACTCCCATTCAATGAAATCTGTCTATAATGGACAATTTTATGTAGCCAAGGGATCAATTTGAGGAAAAAAAAGGAACTTCCGTACAATAACCCCATTTTACAACAAAATTTACATTTATATTTTATATTTTTTGGCTCTTTTGCGATGCGCTGTACAGTAGTTTGAATGCTTATATTACATTACAATGGTCTCTCACCTTATAAAATCTTCTTTGCTCAGCTTCCAATGCTTCGGATCCTTCGCTTCCTTGGCCATTTCCTCACTTTGCTTTTCGATTTGGCAGATCTTATTCATCATCGGACGAAGCCTTGGGTCGTTTTCTTGGATCCCATAGCTTTTCAGAATCTAAAAGCAAAATGAAATTTTAACAATGACATGATTTCTTACTCCAATCAGCTTCCCAATAGCACCATAATTTTTATTTGGGATTTTGAACAACTCGAACACCATTTCCTCGGCCGTTTTCTCGCGACTGAACTCGTTGGCTAGGCCTTCGGCAGTGCGTTTTAGGGCCTCGGCAATTGAACTTCGGCGGTTCATAATTCGCTGGTATGTTGACACTAAAAGAAATTTATAATATGAGGTCTAAAAAGGCACTCAAAGAGTTCCAGTTTTACCTTATATAATATAAAAAACTTGCTTGAATTTGTCGAGTGTACCGGCTTCATTTTTGATATTTTTGTACTGTAGGGGTTTGAGGTCTAAAAAGTTGTGGCGATGATAAAAAAAGCTATGTAAGAGGTGTATATAAGAGTTTTACACAACGAACATACGATTAGATAAATTTGTCAATGGGTTACGCTTATCTATATATATCATAATGAACCTGTAGATTCACTATTTTTCGGTATTTATGGAACATAGGAAAGTGATTTTGTTAGTCTAGATATTTCGGAATCTAGCCATTCGAAACACCATTTTAGCGCCCGTAAATTACAAACAACTTATCATACGACAATATTTCTTATAAGATATTTCATATAACTGCTACTCCCGCAATATACGATTGCCAACAGCTACTTTAAACCACCGGAAGAAACCCCCCCCCGGTAACGAAAAAAACCAATATAGAAAAACAAGTGAGAAATGTGCTGCGCAAAAGGTATACATAAATTCATAAACTTTCACAAAAAATAAAGTCAACAAGATCACCTTCTCAACGATTTGTAAAGACCGCCGGACATCCACGTAATGAGAACGAACCCACTCGATGGGAAAGGAGTTTCGCGCTTGATTAATGTTCGTAGAAGCGACCTGAAATGATCAAGTTGTTATTTATAAACTCAAAGAATGTATGGATAAATACGATGACGAATCAGAAAACGCCGGGTTTCATTTGCGGTCGGATATCTGCCCAACATTTATAGCCAACATTACAAAATTGTTTGACCAGCTGAATCACGAGTTGGCATTGTTAGGATCATACTTACAAACATATTATGCCATCTTGTTGGAAATCGAATTTGACACACATAGACAAAAAATCGTAAATATAGTGCGATCATGCAACCTGCACTTCTTGGTTGCAGAAGTCTTAAAAATGAGATTTTTTCAATTGTCATCAGGAAGTTTATGCTGCGGAGTTCCTTACAATATTAATATCTTCTGAAAGCCGGCTTTTTACTCTATAGCCTTGCCTAATTTTAGCCTTCTAGCTCAAACGGCTAGCAAGATATCAGTCTGTCGGGAAAATAACGGCGGGTCGTCGCGCCTTGGAATCGCACATTATCGCTTTGCGACTGCAAGCCGCGGCTGGGGATTTGGTGCGCGATAGCGACGAGGTGAGACATTTTGCTGCGACGACCTGCCGTTGTTTTTCCCGACATACTGATATAGGGAGAAAAAGCAAGTGCATTCCGAAAAAAAGTGAAAAAGTCGCGGGGATCGGTTGTGTCACAAAAGTAGAGAATACCGTGCCCAGTCCACATCTTTCATAAGTTTCAGAGGCCGTTAATATAAATTTGTGCCAACTTTGATCAAGCGACGTCTGGACACGGCAACCCCGCGCATTCGGACGTTTCGTCCACACACTATTGATTGGCGAAGAGATTTTGTTTTAGATGTCAGAATTGTTTTGGAAGATTTTTTGGTTTTCAGCTCAAGGTTTTTCTCAACTTGCACTTTGTTTTTCTCCATTTGAATCGTCAGGTGTACATACAATACATAATATAATAACTAAAATAAACTTCCTTCCAAATTTCTTCCTATGTGAATCCCGACCAAATTGACTCTCGAATCATCAATTTGAGTCACAATTTGCAAGTCTGTGTGATCTTCGTCAAAATTAAAATGCATTTCCGTTATTATTTTGTCTCGTCATGAAGATCTTTAAAGTTCAATGCGAGGCGATTGAAGTTAGCATAAAGTTAATTTCCATATTCCTGAATGCCGCTTCGATGATTTTGCTGCTGTGCTCCGTATTATTGCCGATTTATTACTATAGCGATGAAGTGGAATTTCGGTTAGTTTATTGCAATTGTAATCTGGATGAAAACATTTTTGTATCAAAGGGAGATGAGGAGCGCTGTAAGGAGGCAATTGTGGTAAGGAAATTTATTTTGACATACGAACGTGCTTCTTATATCACTTAAAAAATAGCTTCAACATTTTTCAGCCTATCTACGAACTACTGTCAACTGTGGCCCCTGGATTTCTCTTCGGCGCAGCCATCATTATAACACTTGTTACCACTGTGATTTCCATCATCTTCAGCTGTTGTATGCTTGAAAAAATGCACTTGGGATTCCTGTGCTTTGGTGACTTTTTCAGCGTCATTTTAGCTGTCGTGGCACTAATCGTCTTCGAAAGTTCGCTGCCAACTCAAGTTCCGTGTAAGAAATCAATCAAAATCCAATTAACCTCGATAGCTAATGCACTAACGATTTAATTTCAGCCATCATAAAGTTCGATTCTACGATTGGAATACATAAAATTCCGCATGACTTTAGGCATGGTGAAGCAACGATTACAGCAATTACGGCGATTGTTATTACCTTTTCTGCTGCCGTATTCAAAGGAGCATCTATTCTATTTTATTGATCTACATACATTTTTTAATCAGTAAATTCAAAATTGAGGCCGACTTTTTTATTACATGAGGTTTTCCCAAAACGCCACTAAACTCATCAAACATTCACGAAGAACATTTGACTCCTTGCTAGGGCATTTTGAAAGTGTAAAACATACAAATAGCCCCTTACTTGTCCTCTCGGATAAATAAAAAGACCAAAAATACAAAATCAAGCCGAGTTGAGAAAGAAAGACGCTTAACGGCGTCTGGTTCCGTCCTCGAAGAAGACTCCACCGTCGATGGCGCAGTACTTGGGGCAGATACCGCGCTCTCCACCCTGTCCTGGGGCTCCGGCCTGTCCTGGGGCTCCGGGCTTTCCGTCGTTTCCTGGCTGTCCTGGCTGGCCGGGTGGTCCCTTGGGTCCTGGCTGTCCGGGTCCTCCTGGGGCTCCTGGCTGTCCGGCTGGTCCGGGTGGTCCAGGTGGTCCGGCGTCTCCGGCGGGTCCTGGTGGGGCTGGTCCGGCCTGTCCGCCTTGAGCGGGGGCTCCGGGCTGTCCTGGGGCTCCGGGGTTTCCGTTGGGTCCGGGTGGGCCAGGGGGTCCCTTGGGTCCGGGGGGTCCGGGTTGTGGGTAGCCACCTCCTTGTCCTGGCTGTCCGTCGGGTCCCTTGTCTCCGGGAGCTCCCTGTGGGCCTGGTGGTCCGGGTGGTCCTCCTGGGCATGGCTTGCATGGTGGTGGGGCAAGAGCTTCGCATGGGGCGACGGCTGGGCGGCCGGGCTGTCCTGGGCTTCCGGGGGCTCCGGCGTTACCTGGGCGACCTGGCTGACCGGGTGGTCCGGCGGGTCCTGGGCCACCACCGGAGCAGCAAGCGGAGCATGAGTCACCGCCACCTCCTCCGTAAGCCTGACGAGCGGTACGGTTGGCGGCCATGGGGATGTTCTTCAGGTGGGCGACCTCGGACCAGATGTCCTTGGCGGAGCCCTCGCAGAGGTGGAGCTCACGCTCGATGCTGTCCTGGACGCGTTGCACGTAGTTGTGCAACATGGGCAGCGTGAAGCACACGGTGACCACGGAGATGACCGAGAAGGCCACGGTGGAGTAGGCCACGAAGCGGTAGGCCTTGATGCGGTTTTCGTAATCCATAATGGAATGAGGGGACTCAGAAGACTGACGGTGAACCGACGATCCGAGTACGAAATTTGGGGTTCAAGCAACGGTTTATATAAGGGAAATTGGCGAGGCCGGGCTCGCCGTTGCAGTAGCCTTACCCAGACCCTCAGGCTTCTCTGGACCCTCCCCTTATTGCAAGGCATTTCTGTGGGGGTCTTGTAGGTTTAGGTGGAGTTTAAACCACTTTTTTTGTTTCGGAATGACCCCTCTCTCCCAGTTTCACACTATTTCCTACGTTTCTCTCTCGCCCACGTAATTACTCCCATGGATCACCACGAACTGTTCAACAAACAAAATTTGGACAGTTTCGAACCATTTACTGCTGTTTTCTCCTCCCAAGGTCGTTGGAAATTAAAAGTCAAAGGCGTGCCTTGGTTACAGTTAGTGCATTCCTGCCTACTTTTCCCGGAATCTGTTCGGAAAGTGGAGGGACTGTAAACAGTTCGTTCGGTTGTAAACAAAGGGGAACGGTTTAGTGAAGGAAGTAAGAGTTATTTATTACAAGGCGACAAAATTGATCGGAGTCTGGGTTCGGTCATCTTTGGCGTGGTAAGAGTCGATGTCTTCGGTCTGGACGAACAACTAAAGCTTATCTTGACCGCATGCCGCAAGATTGGATGTTACGTCCAAAGCCCTAAACGTGGCTAACAATTGAAGTATCCCAAGTGGGACGCATACATCATCAATTTGCAAAAGCTTTGAGCCTTGCTCACATATCAGTTCATGACAATTCTAGGTCATAGTCAACGACCCTTTCCGATGAAAGAGTGTACCCAAAATGAAGAGTACTAAAGCAAAAAACGTTCCTTGGCCAAATCCTCTAAAATTTTGTGTGGAAAAAACGATTTTTTAAGAAACGTTCCTATCTGATGAGAAACAGTCTCAGATGATAGCGAGCTCTTTTTTCTAGAGCACGTTACATGCAAATTTACTTCAATCAGCAAAAAACCGGAAATAAAACAACGGAATCTCGTGTCATCTTGTGTAACATTTCTGTATACAGTTTGTTTACTTTTTTGTAGAGAATTACTTTATCGTGTTTGCGTTACTTTTTGACTAATGAGCTATGTTTATAAAAAACAAATCAAATCATCGCACTGCAGTTTTTTAAAAATTGTCGACAAATTTGAGGGTTGTCTCAGACTTCCTGTTGTAAAAGATGGACATGTTTTTTGATTGCCCTAAACTTGCTGTTTCTTATTAGTAGTCATTTTTCTTACAAGGAAGTGCTTTGAGCTTTTCTTTACCGACAAGAAAGTGAGAAATATGGAGTGTAGGAAGAGAAAAGTACGCTTGTTGCCATATCTCTGCCAATTTTTGAAAAAACTTTTTTTAATTAAGCGTTGCTTTCTTGTAGGTGCGTTTTTCATAAAGCTTTTCATACCAAAATCTCAGAGAAACTGTCAATTCTCGAGCAACCTCTTAGCTAGAAGTCCCGGTTTTTTTTCTAGGTTTATCATATCACATATCTGTTGTTATAAACTTTTAACGTTTTGAAGATCCTGTCTCTTCCTCGTCTTGCTCACTTCCTTCTTCACAAGCACCAACAGGTGATCCCAAGAACAGTTTAAAACTATGTTCCCTTTTTGACCGTTCTTTCTTCTTACACTGAACATAAAGGAAACGGCGAAAAGACGTGGGCGAGAAATACCTTGTAGATTCCTTTGAAAAGAAAAAAGGCACGCGTTTATTGTAACCATTGAAACCTATTTGTTCAAACGTCTCTCTCTTCTTTGGGCTTGAGAACTTTAAAGATGGTTCGATTTGGAAAGTAAATGAAAAAATGGAAAGAAGAATAAAGCAGGTTGGAATGTATACAATAAAAATTGGAAAGAAAGCAAGATGACAAGACAAACATTATACAAAACTGGAAGAAATGAAGTGCCAAAAACTGGAATATTGCGACGTAAACTATAAATAGCTCAAACACAAACTTAAAATTGAGCAAAAAATATTGAAAAAATGAGTTTGAAGATTGTTTCAAACGATGATTAAATTTTTTTCAAAATGCGACGAGGAAATTGTTGTGAAGCTTGGCGTGAGAAGTATATTTTGTCATGAATATGTTAGCCCTCGCTTGGCGGTAAGAAATGTGATTTTTTTGTTCGAAATTTGGGGGAAACTAACGGTTTTTTCTGCATTTTGATTTTTCCATAAAAATACAAACACTGCATATTTCTTCGCCTAAAATTGAATTTTCCAAAAAAGAATCAACTGGTAAAGATGTGGCAAAAAATAGGTTTTTTTCTCTAAACTTTCTCCTCGTCTCGTATAATCCCTTGTCGACAAACATCCTCAAGATCCCAGCTGCCTTTGAACAGGGCAAGCTCAAAGAAAGGTATAAAAAATTCAAAATTACATTAGTCTGTCGAGAAAATAATGTGGATTTTTCACAGCAAAATGTCTCGTCTGGCCGTAGACACACAAAGCAATAATGGGCGATTACAAGGCCCGACAAATCCACATTATTTCCCCGACATACTGATAATCTTGTCTGACTATCATTTTTTTAGAATCTAGGGAACTTGAGCTTTGGTAAAGCCTTCTTAATCTTCACGTCATATTTTTATAATTCTCCCAAGTCTTAACCTTGGTCTTGCCGCTGCCCTTCGCTCACCGTAACCGGTTTACCGAGAATTGTATAATCTAAAAAAACTGTTTTCCATTCACAGTTTCCAAATTAGTTAGACCATTCCTCTGTTCGTAATAAATCAATGTCCGTAGTAGTTTTTTTTTGTTTTCGCCAAACCTTGTTCAAAACAGTTTAAAACGGGGCGCAATGGAAAAAAAGGAAAGAGGAAGGCGGTCCACTTGCAGCAACTCTGCTCTTCCCCTGGTTACTATACTTTTTGTCCTCCGGTTTACAGTTAGTTTCACCGTTTTCTTTACAACAATTTCTCTGCAATCTCTCGTTTTGCCAACTATTTCCCGCAACGAATCTTTGACTTGCTGTCAGTCAGCCGGTGATCGTAGTCTTTCTTACCTGATTGACGTTGCTTTCGGAGTTTTTTCTCAGCGGCCGTTTTACTTTTACACTATCACTTAGAGCCCGCGCCATTGTGTATATAAAGGAAGAGGGAACCCCCAGAAAATCGACAAAGTTGGTTCTCGCTGAACTGACTTTCCCTCGAACAATGACAAACGACACGAAAGTGGTTCTCGGCATCTCGTCGGCCGCCTCGGCCGCCGCCATCATCGCCTGTTTGGTGATCGTGCCAGGGCTCTACAGCAGCATCCAGCAGCTGAACGATCGCGTTACTTTTGGCGTCCAAAAGTTCCGCGAGCAAACCGACGATGCTTGGACCCAACTCATGGAGGTACAACTTCAGGTAAGGAAAGAAACAAGCAGTTAGAAAAATAGATATTTGAGCTTTAATAATCTTGAGGAGGTCTAATAAAATCTTTTTAGGTAACTCCACCATCCAAGCCCCGTGAGAACCCCTTCAACTCCATCTTCCGTCAGAAACGTCAGGCCAACGGCGGACTCCCAGCCTGGTGTCAATGTACCCCACCAAAGGTCAACTGTCCACCCGGCCCAGCCGGACCACCCGGCCCACCAGGACCTCCAGGACAGCCCGGAGCCCCAGGAAACGCCGGAGGACCAGGACAGCCAGGAGCCCCCGCCGCCCCATGCCCACAAGCCCACCAAGGCTGCATCCAGTGCCCAGCCGGACCACCAGGCCGACCCGGAGGCAACGGACCCCCAGGCCCACCAGGACCCAACGGACAGCCCGGAGCCCCAGGCCAAGGCGGCGGCGCAGGACCACCCGGCCCACCAGGACCAGCCGGAGACGCCGGAGCCCCAGGACAGCCCGGAGCGCCCGGTCAGCCAGGACACCCCGGACAAGACGGAGTCAAGTCCACCTCTGTTCCCGGCCCCAAGGGACCCAGCGGACCACCCGGCCCACCAGGACAGCCCGGACCCAACGGACAGCCCGGCCAGCCCGGAGGCCAAGGACCACCCGGACCCGCCGGACCACCCGGCCAGCCCGGTCACCCCGGAGGCGATGGACAACCAGGTCTGCCAGGATCCTCTGGACAGCCCGGTCACGATGCCGCCTACTGTCCTTGCCCTGCTCGTACTGCGGTGTTCGCTCATCGTCGTCGTTTCCACGCCTAGAGCGCGATGAGATGAAACGGACCTTTCCCCGGAATTGCAGTCCGATTCAGTTTTTGAGTTTATTTTGTTGCGAAATAAACTTCAGCATTCAATATTGTGGGAATTTTACTCAATTTGAAAGTAAAAATTATCGACAAAAAAGAATCAATTTTTAGTAAAAAGTAGTTTATTCAATAAAATAAATCAAGCCACTGGCAAGTCCACCAATCAGACCCAAGTTCACACCGCCTAGATATAGGAAATAGCCGTATTCGAAGTAGATGTCGGACCATTTTGGAGCAATATTAATAACGTCTGGGTTGCCTTCTGAAAATTACCAAAAATTGGGGCTGATCACTTACCAGCCCCAATGGAGAAATGCTCACAAAAAGTGTGTGTTCCAAGGTAGCCGAAACTCGTTGCAATCAGATTCAACGCAAAGGTCACAGTAAAAAATCTATGTTTCAGCCAGCATTGGGTGAGAACTCCGCAAGCCAAGGAGATGACAAAAGAAGCGGCGGAGAGAAAGACCAGAACCAAAGTCGCATGACGATAGGGGCCATCGAAGATTGTCTGAAAAGCAATTTTTTGAGTACCACTTGACATATACGTATACCACATTTCTAAAAAATCGATGACTCACATATCCATCTTTCAAACAGGCTTCTGAAATTATAACTGTCCCACCATCATCAGTCTCACAAATATGCCCAAAGAGCCCGCTGAAGCCAAAATTTCGAATCCAAATCCATCTCGGCGTCAAGATTCCGCATCCCATTGTCGCGATTCCGGCTAATGTCAGCAAAAAGTAGAAAACTTTACAACAGTTTTTGAAGACGTTTGTTAGTAGTGCGGTGAACATTTTTCAGTTTGTAAGGTTGGACAACCGGTTTTTTGAATTTTGAAACTTCCATGTTTTTTGAACTTTTTCATTTTTGAATTTGAAAAATTGAAATTTTTTTGTAATTTTTTCAAGGTGGGATGCCTTGTTTTTTGATGTAACTATAGCTATGAATATAAAAAATTTAAAGTGTGAGCAAAAAATTTTTGAAATTGAAATGTAGACATGACATGATATGCTCTTAATATTTACTAAAATTCTGTACAAAATGGACTGTCCAATTCACAGTCCAACCTTCTTTCCCTTCCTTTCCTTTTTTGTTTTTGAAATTTGCATTTGTTTTCGTTCGCATCGAAAGATTCAACTTCCGATGTCCAGTCCAAGATGACTAACCATCGGAAAGAGAGCTGGCCGAAGAGAATCGGCCCTTCTTTTCCATTGGCCTTTATCAACTTCAAATCGCTTTTCCAGCCGTTGCAAATACGCTCTCTATTAATCCGTTCACACCTAGATTTCCTCGGATATTTGCGGATATTTAATATTCCGCCCGCTAATCGAGTGCACTTGTGAATGTTTGGTTGTTTATGGGTTCGTGTAGCGATAAAGAGTGGACTGGCAGTGGGGGTTCGCGGCTTGTATTTCACGGGGGGCGGGGCCTGTCAAGTGAGCGTCCCTTTTTTGTCCCATTAGGGGTCGGCCATAACCTCCAAGTCGGTCTAATTGAAGACCTGGTGGGACATGGTTTCGGGGGTTAAAATTGGCAAAGATTTTCAAAATTTTTAACAGAGTAAAACTAAGATTTTAGAAGGCCCTGAGGCATAATAAAGTCCGTGGTAGATAAATTTTCATTGGCTTGGTAGATATTGCAATTACCGTAATTTTTACTGCACCTTAGTTTATCCAAAGACACGCTTTTTATCCCTTTATTACTGTCTTCTTTACAATTCGCCTCATTTTTTAAGCAAACTCACCATTACTGCGGGCTTAGTTACCCCGAAGAACAGGTGCAGAATGGCTTGTAAAAACCTGCCAAGAATTGATTTTACGATCGGAACTTTCTGCATTGTTTCATCAGACACTTGTCTGTTCCTATTTGAAACAATCATTGTTCGTGGCATAACGAAATTTAAGAGCATTTTCTGGCAGTGTTCTTTTTTACATAGATTTTGTAGGGATTTTTGGGGCTTTGACAAAGAAAGGTAAATTTCTCGAAGAGAGATTGCCGGATTTTCTTCAAATCTTTTCATAGTGTTGCGTCAACATCACGTGTCAATCGTTGCAAATTTTAGTTCGTTCTTTGCAAAAGCAGCCGAGAAATAAGACAACTTTTCATGGCGAGAGATTATAGGAAATGAGGAGAGATGGTCAGGGAAAAATTGCTTTCTCACCGTATATAGTAAAATATCTTTACGATGAATATTCGTAGAACGAAGCCTGTCTATAACGGACGTTTTCAAAGGTTTCAGTTGTTAATTTTAGGCCAATATAAACCTCCGCACAACAATACCGTACGACAATGAATACCTTTTTGTCACCTAGCGATACGTTTTGTATAGAGCTTGACTGTTCACTGTATTTTTTGCTTAGAAAGACTTTGTTTTTTTCAGGTCATACTGTAAGCATAGTATTCATTTTATCGAGTATTTTACATGTTTTTTTGCAATATTAGCAATTTCCCAATATCTTTTTACAAACCATTTACCTTAACTTTACTAGTTTTCTGCTCTACATCAGCCACAAATCATCATTTCCGTCTTTATTTACTTGTGCATTTACTATTTTTGTTTGCCTCATCCCACGGCTCCCTCTCTCTCCTCGAAAAAAATGAAAAGAACTGTCACCCGTTCAACGCCTGTCCCCGAAGGTAACCCTCGATGCCATGGCACTCTTTCCCTCCCCCCTTCCCCCGCCGATTACCCTGCAGTATGCGCAGCGTCCCCCCTGCAACGCGCGTTATAACGAGCGAGGGAGTGGAGGCACTGGCTTTTTAAATCCCGATTGCCCCACTGCTGGAATGCGACGCGCTGCGGGATTTGATGAACACTGCTTGCCTTTTCGTCGATTTTAGCCATGACTCCGTGCATGGAGCGAGGGGTTGAGGTCATCCAAACATTGAGTTAAGGGATGGGCTTGGGTAATATGGAACGTTTTTTTGAATTTGAGCGAGCAGGTGTTGTTACGGTAGGAAATTGTTGGGTAAAAAGGCCTAATTAATTATTTCAAGATATGTTTTTTTCCTCAAAAGAAAGGTATTTTCTCTCTTCTGATTACGTTTATATATTTTTAAAATACGACTTTCACAGCTCCTCCTTCTTTAGAAGTAAAAATCAGTCAATAAAAACGGATGCTTCTTCCTCGAAGAATACGATTTTTACGGGGTCCATTTGTCCGAAATAATGGCGAATTTTTCTTGTAGAATAAAAAACATACCGTAATCAAGGTTATGATAGGGTTTTGGCAGATTTTTCATTTTTTAGAAAGGGGAAATATGAAAAATTCCAAAAATGATGGCTAAAAAAGAAGTTGTGCTAGTTCTCAGAAATTTGACGGGATATGCGCATCATCCACAGCCAAATAGGAGCGCTGTGGTCTGTAAATTTACTTGAGAGTTCTTGTAGCTCCATTTTACAGTGTGTTTTATCTTTCTTTGGCATTTTTTTATATTATTCTTGACATCAATCTCCAAAAATTTTAATTTCCGGCCAGCCCCTCCCTTACAATAGTACAGTACCCATTCACGTGCCAAAACCCACTGTCACCATTCCTTTATCCCAATTTCAAATCTTTCTCTCCTCCAAAAAACATCTTTGTTGCAGTCGGAAATCAAATTCACCATGGCTTCGGCAATGTTTCCGGCGGAATTCCATCGTTTTGACTCATAAATGTTGGAAACAACCGTCGCCTCTTTTTCGGCGCCAAAATTCGGGCTTGTTTTTAGATAGTTCGCGCTTTAATTGGTTCGAAAAAACATTGAAGGCAGCCGGCAAAGGGGGCCGATAACGCTGAGGGCCGAAAGGTGGGGGAATATGGGGAATTTCGATGCTAAAATCACCGAAAACGTTTTGAAATACTGGTCATTTTATACGTCTGACCTTATTGTTGGATTCTTGGGGTAATTAGCACCCCGAGATCATCAAGACCCGAAGGAAATTATATTATACTAGCACCTGGTATCAGCCTCCCCTAAAATAAGATCGTAAGACGTGTTGGCAAAATATCTCAGGGTAAAATCCCCCATTTCCCTTATCATGAGATCATATTTTATCAGTTTCATATTGTTTCCGCGTAATTTACCTATTAGTTGCGATTCGTTGCACAATTTGACGAAGTGTCAAAAAAATTATTGGATTTTTTAGAGAGATCTAGATTACCACTTGTTTAGGCGTATTTTACAACATCGGTTTCCGTTTTTTGAATTTTTTAGCAGTATAAATTTCAGTTGGTCGATTTTTATACCTTTACTCAAGATAAACTTTAGATATTGTGTTACCCAAGATAAACTTTAGGTAAAATGTCTGCCAGCCATTGCAAATACCCTCCGAATATTGGCGTGTGCTAGTGCCTGTTAGATTCTCCCATCATCTTGAGACTTCATTACTTTTTATCTGCGTTTTCTTGCGTTTTTGCCGATTTTTATATTGTTCTAGACATCAGTTACCTAAAATCTTTGCAGATCCACAGAAGCCGGGGAATACAACAAAATTGAAGCAGGATTGGTTTCAAACCACCATAATGGACTCTACAATGTGTGAATCGACCTTGGAGACGACCGGCTTCACGGACGGACCACCAACTTTGTTCCCGGCCGAGCTCGAATCCCAGCTGGCGCAGATGGAAAAACCGAAGCCGCAGCCCAAAGAAACCACAATTTATTACCAATGGGACCAAGATGAGAGCTTATACCGCACGACCATCCCAGTTGCACCTCATAAATTGACGCTGGCTCATCTTAAATGCGCTTTGAACATGACCAATATCAAATGTTTCATGATGAAGATGGATCCTAATGTCAAACAGTGAGTTTTGGTTTTTATAGATGTTATCTTTCATAGAAATTGTTTTTATTCAGAATTCGATATTTATTTTGATAATTTTTTCAAAAAATTATATTACACTTGATGACCAAGTATCTTAAGATTGGCTATGGTCATGATTTTCATTTTAGTGAAGTGAAAATGGATATCCAAGACGATGACGAGATCCTGGAGCCAAATTCTGAGGGGAATTATATATTTTACTTCATGAGTTTCGATGAGAATCAGCAGCCCGGAACGTTGCGAAAGAAGACGAAAAGGCCAGTTGTTCCAGCGGTAAGCTAACTTTTATGCCTTTAGTAGTTATTTGAGAGATTATTTAGTCATTTTGTAACAGAAATTTGCAATTTTAAAAGAAATTTTATATTATCCTTGATGAAAATGACACTTTTTGATCTAGCGATCTAAATTTTGAAAGCAATTGATGCTGAATGTTGTTTTCAGATCAAGCCAGTCATGCAGCCACGCAAACCGCCTCCCCCAATGCATCGGCAACCCTCCACACGCCACCATAAACCTCAATATCAGACGAATGGATTGCTCAGTGAAGAGTCCTCCTCCGATGATGATTCCTGTAATGTCACGTCAATCTCGAAGCAATCCGAACGTCGTCATCGAACACGGAGGCCTCGGCATCGGCGGGCATGGAGTCCCAGCTTCCTGAGCACAACCATGGAGACTGATATCAGCGTCAGTGTAAATCTCTACAATGTGACGCTGAACCCAACTCCGGAACTTCCATTTGGCCTGAATGTGTTGTTGAGGGAAAATGGGAAGCAGGAGATGCTGACTGTCGGATCTTTGGTGCCTGGCGGATGTGTGGCGTTGGATGGAAGGATTTTACCCGGTCATATTATTGTTGAAGTAAATAAGGAGCCGCTGGGCGATTTGACTGGAACTCAGGCGTTGAATGTGCTGAAGGATGCGGTGGAGAGAGCTACGAGGAATCGGGGGTAAGATTTTTGCGGGTTTTGTGGAGATTTTGGAAATTTTTATATTGTAGTAGGTAAAAAAAGAAGATTTTTCGAAAATTAATCTAATGAGTTGTGTTTAAATTGGTTTTACTGAATATCTGTGATATAAAGTATGTTTTTAAGGGGTTTTTCTAAATATCAGAGGGGTTTTTTATATTGTAGTAGGCAAAAAATTTTGAAAATTACTCTAATGTTTTGTGTTTAAATTGGTTTTTACTGAATGTCAAGGATAGGTAATATGTTTTTCAGGGGTTTTTCTAAATATCAGAGGATTTTTTTATATTATAGTAGGTAAAGGAGGTCTTTTTTGTGGTTTTTCGAAAATTAGGTTTGTTTTTGGAGATGGAAATCCCTTTTGATTGAATCTCCAGACAGAAGGGTATATTCTATGAGGGTCTGCTTGAGATTACAGAGATTTTTTATATTGTCATAAACTTATAGATGATTTTAGGCAACATTTTAAAAAAAAATTTTTTTGAATTTACACATTTTTCATTGCTAATTATTGAATTTTCAGCCAAGTCCAGCTCACCGTCGCTCATCCCATGGACCACCACACCTATTTCCAGCCGCCAGACCAGTCCATTCACCCCATCGACCCGGCCGAATGGGTCCGCTCCACAGCCGAAGCGCTCGGCGTCCCCGACCACAAATTCTACTCCATGGAGTCGGCGATGAACTTCCGCGCGCGCGCCACCGGCACCTGGCCCTCGTCCGGCGTGGGCAGCTCGATCGTGAGCTCGGCGCCCGACCGCAAGTACACCATGGACACGCCGCCCGCCGTCATCGTCCAAGCCATGACCGACCCCCGCCACGGGGTGCCGCGCAGCTCCGACAATCAGCATCTGCTCAACATCAGCAACGGGTTCATCGGAATCCACATTATCAACTGGCTGTCGGACAATGTGATCGGCCTCGACGACTCGGAAACCTCGGCCCGGTATGCCGAAAACTTGATCAACAACAAGTTCTTGATCCCCATCACGCCTTCGAAAGCCTTTAGTCGACAAGGCTACTACACGGTGAACTGGGACATATTGCCGAGAAGTGAGCATCTGAACACGTTGAGAAGGGGCGTCCTGCAAGAGCTGAAGCCCGCTCTGGATGATACGTTATTACCCAAAAAGAACAAAGGCTGCTTCCCGTTCTGCATGAAGAAGGAAAAGAGGCGATAGAAATGGGTCGATTAATTAGATTTTACATTGATTTTTTACATTGTTTTAGACATTTTTATCGATTTTTTTAAAGAAATTTGCAATTTTTAATTTTTTTTGAGTCAAACCCTAAGGCATTGAATGTTTTTGGACGTTTTTTTTGTGAAAAAGTTTGATAATTTTTTTTTCAAACATCAAAATTTGCTTTGCCAAACATAGTAAATTCAAGCAATGCTCGAAATACACATAATTATAAGGTCTTCAACGACTCTACTTCATTCTGACAGCTCAATTATTACACTAGGTCTCAAATGTACTTTCCTTTTTTTTATCATGATTGTATATAAATATTGACTATTTGGTTGGTTCATAAATAATTTTTACGAAGTTCACAAGTATACTAAATATTTTCGATTATGTTTTTTCATTATTTTGGGGTCAAACTTTAAAAATTTTAAAAAATTTTTACTTTTTCTTCAAAATTGATGACTTTTCCAAGATTTTATTGCCTAAAACAACATAATCTCGCTCAGTTAGCCGTTGGCTGGGCTGTCTTTGGACTCTTTGGGCTGTCAAGGTCTGGCGCGTCCAACGGTACCACTGGCAACGGGTCGGGCATGTTGTTCAAGGGTCCTCCATCAGTGTCCCTCATTTCCACCACTTTTCCCACCGTTTTCACGTCAAATCCGTCCAATTCGGAGGTAAAGGTCAAGACGAACAGGTTGAAAGTGACCAGCGCCGCCCATTCGATGGTATGGTTGATGATCAGCGAGCTCTCATGCTTCAAATACAGGGTCATTGTGCTGTTTTCGACGTTGGGATTGCGGATGGTCGAGACGAAAGTTTTGTTTCCCTCCGGGGAAAGATAAAAAGTCATACCGGCTCGGGCTGAAATTACATATTTTATTTTTAGTACTGAAATGCCCCAAAACGAAGTTCAAAATGTTGATTTGAGCAAAATTAAACAAAATTTTGGGTCCCACCACGAAAACATTTTGTTTTGGAAAAAGCCCTGCGAAGTGTTCAAAAACGACTTTTAACCCCTTTTCATGGTAAAATATGTCATGGAGGTTATTAAAAAACTTACTAAACAAGATCAAAGTGAACAAAAGCGCAATAAAAATCCTGGAAATGACGATTGGTCGATAATTTGGCTCCAGTTTCGGTTTCAAATTGAAACAAATCGCAATGTAGCCCCATTGATAGAAGAGTGCGGACAAGAGGAATACTCCACAGCCCAGCTTATGGACAAATCCTATGCTGGAGGCCTAAAATAAGTAAAAAACATGGTATTTTAGATTAAAACAGGGTAAAACTCGACCAAAACTCTGGTTTAAAGGAGAGAGAAAAAATAAAAAATAACCGATCAAGTTGGTAGAGGATTACTGAGAACTTAGGACTTCAAAACATGAAGGAATTACCTGAAAATTGGCGATTATAGCCATCCCAACACCAATAAACAAGCCGAACGTGTTAAAGATGACGATTGTCAGTGCCCAAGTGGCTTGCATCTCCATAAAAGTGTGCAGATGGACGGTCAGTGTCACATAGATGAAGTAGGCAGTGCATAGCCCTAGAAGCTCCAGTCTTTAGTCATCAATTTTTATTGTACTTACAGAAGAAAGCCGAGGTGTTCATGAAGAAGCTGAAGAAGCATCTTTCCGGCGGTAGATCTCCAATATCACTAAAGGACGGAAGATAACTGATGTAGTGATTGTCGGATAGGGTAAAGTAGAATCTGAAAATATTGAATTTTGTGAGTGCATCGGGCAAAATGATAAAAATGATGATTTTACAGTGGGGCCCAAAAAAATGGAAACTTTTTTCCATGGGTCCTGCCGCGAAAACCTTGAGATAGCCAAATAATTTTTCACCGTTAAATTCTCCGTATCTTTTGAAACATGGCTATAAATATGAGTTTCTATTTTTTTTTGGTTCACCCTGTACAGTGGGGGACCTAATCCAGTGGCAAAAAACGTACCATTTTGCATCCGGGAAGCATAAAAAATGTGGCAAAATGCTTCAATCTCCAAGTGGAAAAAAAAAATTTTTTGAAGGGCGCGCCCTTTTACATTACTTTTACATTATTGAAATCGGAGTTTTTTCACTTGGAGAGGGAAGCATTTTGCCACATTTTTGATACTTCTCGGATGCAAAATGGTACATTTTTTGCCATTGGATCAGCTCCCCTGTGGATCTGCACAGTGCGGAAGCAAAAATAAAAACGAGATTTTTAAGCGCCTCAGGGCGTGAAGTAAAAAATGAGAATTTCTAGGACATAACAGATCAACAAGAGTTCTCCACAACAAATTTTAGCCAAGATCGAGCACAATTTTATATTACACTAGACACTTACGACCCGACCACAGCACAGAGGAAAGACAGGACAGTTAACGCCGGAAACACCGAGGAATACACGGAAAAGGTCGACAACTCCACTTGATTTTCTTCGATCTCTTCTGTTTGCGCTGGAACGTTGCTCTGAACTGACATTTCTCCGGCGATGACAATTGAAAATGCTTTTTTTGGGACTGAAAACGATGTTCGAAAAAATTTCAGACCAAATTTGAGTATTCCCAGTGTTTTTGAGCGCGTTGATCGGTTGTTTCGGTGCGAAAGAATATCTAATTCAGGGAGTTGAATGAAATGGCCGGCTCGGCGGAGATGAGAAAAACCGGCACCGGCTCCAAGAAGGGCAGCGGAGGCGTCTCAAAGAGAAGGGTAAGTTTTTTGGAATTTTCAAATAATATAGCCTCTGGATCTTCCTTTAAAAATGATTTTTAAATTCTTAAAAGAGCATACAGCGAGGGACCGGATCCAGTGGCAAAAAACGTCTCATTTTGCATCCAGGAAGGGACCAAAATGTCGCCAAACCCTTCCCTTCTCTAGCTAAAAAAACTCTGGTTTAAAAAGCGCGCCCTTACCTTCAAGAAGGGAGCAAAACGAGGCGTTTTTTGCCACTGGATCCGGTCCCTCACTGTAGAAAAAAGTTTGAACTAACAAGGGAAGTACCCCAAGTGCAATGACCCGATTTTCTTTAGATTTTGCCCACATGTCAGGCATGAACTAAATATCAATTCCAAAAAGTTTTAGCTCGCGCTTTGCAAGCGCCGCCGAGATATCAAACGATTTTTGCCGCCGAGAGAGACTGCTAACCGCGGAGAGCGGTCAGAGAGAAAAGCACTTTTTGGCCATAACTTTGCTAGTTTTGTGCGGAAAAAATTGATTTTTTTGTGGAAAGATTACCCTCTATGGTAGAAATAGGCATGAAACTTTTCGTGCCAAAATTCAGGAAAAAGTCTCACATTTTTTCCGACTTTCGGTCTAAAAATCTCGGTTGTTTCTGCAAAGCGCGAGCTAGGATCCTCGCATATTTTTCGAAGAAATGATTCTAAAATTGAGCCAAGTTTCATCAAAATCTGAGCGTCGCACTTGGGGTACTTTCCCTGTAAGATTCATGTCAATTTTATATTACTTTAGGGTCCAAGACCAGTGCCCGAAAAGCAAAGTAAGGGTCCTCCTATGGCTAATAGCAGGAAAATAAGGCCCGATCGGAGGAGTGGCACCAAAACCGAGAAGACTTGTAAGGTAGGCTGAGATGTTCAAAATTGATTTTTATCGAATATATTGCCTATTTTATACATATACATACATATATTTAATCATCATTTTTTAGACCGAAGATGAGGCTGGAAAGGAAAAAGAGAAAGATAAGAAAAAGAAGGAGAGTGAAGAGGCGAAGGATACGAAGGAAACGAAAGATGCGAAGGATTCCAAAGATATCAAAGAGCTCAAGGAGGACAAAGAAGCCAGAGATCAGAAAGGGCCCGGAAAAGATTTCAAGACCTCTGGAAAAGATTTTAAGACCTCTGGAAAGGATTTCAAAGACAAGCCATCCCGCAAGGACCCTAAACTCACAAAGCCTTATAAGAAAACTAAAAGGCCCAAGGATAACAACGATAAGCCCAAGACCGATGGTGCGGTCACCGCTCATTGCACTTGCCCTTCCAGCACCTCCTGTACTTGCGGAAGTCAAACGGCTTCTGATGCATCCGCTGGGAAGTTGAAGAAGAGCGAAGTCCCGCAAACCCCGCCGCTTCCAATGGCGTAGGTTTGAGGGTTGGTTACAGTGACGGACCTGACCCAGTGGCAAAAAACGTACCATTTTGCATTCGGAAGGTATCAAAAATGTGGCAAAATGCCTCCTTCTATAACTAAAAACCCATAGAAATCAGTTTTTCCACTTGAAGAGGGAGCTATTTTGCAACATTTTTGATGCTTCCCGGATGCTAAAAAGTACATTTTTTGCCACTGGATCAAATCCGTCACTGTATATTGTAGTAGGTATCGGATGGGAAAAATCTTTAAAAAAAAGTTAGGATATGAGCTCAAGGTGTTTTCTAAAGGCTAAATGGGATATTCTGAGGAGAATCAGAAGAAAAAAAAATCAAAATTTAGGATATATCACCTTATGTTAGACTAGATATCAATTGACATCTAAAGGCGAATATATCCCCAAATTTTTGTCGTAGCCGTCCAAAACGGAAGAAAATTGCTTGTCAGGCCATTTAAAGTATAATGATGACATTTCCATTTCAGCGACGATGACATGGCGCCCACTGAATACGAATCGGTCGAAAACTCACGTCCATTCGTTTCGTCTGTCCCGAAGCGGAAAATCAGCTTCAGCGAGGAGGACGAATTCCAGAAACAGTTACAGGAGGCCTATGACAACGAGAAAACGGCCCGGGAACCTTCAGAAAGCGAAAAGCCGCCAGCCATTTCCTGCTATTTCAATGTCTACCCTGCCTATGGACTTTGATTTTGCGTGGAATAAAGGTTGAGCATGTCAAAGAAGTTTAATTTAGTTTTTAGAAGATATTTTGTAAAATACAACCAACAATTTGCTTCACAAACCAAAAAAAATGTAAAAATATTTTTAAATTTTCACTTTTCCCGCAATTTTAGCGGTCTCTGGCATTCCGTTTCATTTGGATTGACTCACTTTTTGTTTTTTCCGTCGCGAAATAAAATTTCGCCATAGAGAACCCGTTCCTGGTCAAGCCCACTCTTCCTTGGTGTGGCCAGCGTATATTTATTCATCAGCTAACCTCATATTTCGTCAAAATTGCGTCCTCAAAAATCATGGGTATCTTCGGGCAGACCAAGAAGGATCCGAAGGAAAAGGTCCGCGAGCTTCAGAAGAAATTGCGACACGAAATCAGCGGGATCAAGCGACAAATTCATCGGATTGAAGTCGAGGAGAACAAGGTATACATATTTAAGTTTAATTGTCTTGTATGATGTTGTTTTAGGCCGCAGAATAATGTTTAAGATGGTTTCAGGTAAAACGACAGATCAAGGAAGCTGCAAAGAAGGGAGATAAAGATGTGTGCTTGGTTCTGGCGAAAGGAATGATTCAGTCGAGGAAGGTGAGAGATTTTTGTGTTGTTTTTGAAATTTAGGTATGTTGCGCAAAGGAAAGTGGCAAAAACGAATGGAAATAGGGATTATCATAAGGCTTACTTTTTGGTAATAGCTAAGGAATACTTTGAGGCAACTTTAGAAAGCAAAATTGCCGATGGATGCTTTATATTGAGATTGAACCAGCAAATTTTTATATTTCAGATTAAGTCAGCATGACATGTCCATTATTTTCGGTTTCTGCTGACTGTTTTTTGGGGTCTAACTTTAATATAGTTGAATAATGGTCCATAGGCGTTGTTGAAGCTGATTTCATTTTGAAAAAGTTTCATTAAGATTGAAATTTGAGAGTTTGTTGGTTTAGATGTCTGGTATAAGATCCGCCTTTCAATTTTCCAAATTTCCAATCTTATTCTCCCATTTTTAGACCGTAAACCGACTCCATATGAGTGTCACCCAAATCAACTCGATCAATATGCACATCCAACACCAACTCAGTACACTTCGAATGGCCGGAGCCATCGGCCAATCGACTGATGTCATGAAGAAGATGCAGCAGCTCATCAAAGTCCCCGAAATCATGGCCACGATGCGTGAGATGTCTAAAGAGTTGACCGCTGCTGGAATTATGGAGGAAATGATCGAGGACACGCTGGAAACACTCGAACCAGAGGATTTGGATGAGAAGGCCCAACGGGAGGTGGACAAGATTTTGTGGGAGGTCACTGCCGGAGAACTGGGCAAGGCGCCGCTCGCGGAGTCGGCTGGACTTGGAGCATCGACCAGCAAAGAGGACGAGAAGGCAAAACAAGAAGCGGAAGCACTGATAGCAAAATTGGAGGGCATGCCACATTAAGATACCATGTATATACTCGAAATGGCTGCAATAAACTAAATGATTGCTAGATTTGGATGAATTATATTTGGTTAAATCGGTTTAGACCCAAAGCTCTTTTAACAGCCTTTTTCAAGTGAGTTTATGAAGTTTTATGATTGGAATGAAGGTTTTATGTTATTTTAGGTATCAAAAATGCCTAAAATAATGTAAAATTCGTTTGTTTTGCAAAGAAAAAGAAGTAAAAAAGGATGTTCTGGATTTTTTATGCTACCAAGCAGCTGATTGATGATCTTAGAGCCCGAGAAAATTTATTTTTTACCTGATTTTAGGGCCAAAGATGGTTGTTTGAATGAGCTCTCTGTACCGATTCATCTCCAATAGATTCTGCAGACCATATCGAAATCAATTTGGATATTTAGTATCTTCACCGAATTTTAAAGGGTAGGTGAAATTTCGGGCTTTAAGTTTGCGAAAAACAGATTTTGTTATTGATGACTTCTCTACTCCAATTTTTTTTCCAGATTTGTCATGCCCTTCTACGCCGTAGCCAAAGGCCGTCGAGTTGGGATCTACGAGACCTGGAAGGAGTGTAAAGCCCAGACCGACGGATTCCAAGGACCTCGGTTCAAAAAGTTCAACACAAAAGCCGAAGCTCAGAGCTTTATTGATGAAAATAAAGGCACGGGTGGAGTGAGGAGGAATGTTGGAGGACAGGAGCCTGGACCATCGAGAAAGAGGCCAAATTTGGAGCCCGGAAATGGTGCATCGTCTGTGGTGAAGAAGGCTAAGGGACTGTAAGTTTGAAAATTTTCGGGAAATATCAAGTGCAATATAAAAATTGCAGATTTTTCAAAATTAATGCTACTATGAAAAGGAAAAATGGATTGAAAATGTATTTTAGACTGTGTTTTGTATTTTAGATATTAAATTGAGTCATTTTGAGATTATTTTTTTTGTCATGAATAATATAATTTTATTTTCAGAGGACCTCATCCGGATGCACCGACTGTCTGGACTGACGGTGCTTGTCGAGGAAATGGCAAAAAACATGCTCGAGTAAGTTTTTGACTTTTTAATTTTCAATTTTATCAAAATTTTTATATAAATCATGACAAAATGTAGTGTAATATAATTTTTCCTGTGAAAAACAGCATATATGTGCACTTTCAGGCTGGCTGGGGCGTATACTGGGACGATGGACACCGCGACAATAGATGTGGACCACTAGAAGGCCCTGAACAGACCAATAATCGAGCGGAATACACTGCTGTTATCGAAGCCATCAAAACGGCGAAAGAAAGAGGCCTCAGAAAGCTGAATCTGAATACGGATTCGAATCTTCTGGTCCGCTCGATGACTGAATGGATGCCCAAATGGCGAAAGAATGGATGGAAAACGGGGACCGGAGGCGCTGTCAAAAATAAGGACTTACTTTTGAAGATCAATGAGCTCTGTTCTCAAGTCGATGTCCGTTTCCAACATGTGGATGGTCATGCTGGAATCCATGGCAACGAAATGGCTGATCAATTGGCTTGTCGAGGCGCTGATGGAGGATAGATGAGACACGGGACGAAGAATGGGTATATTTATGTACTTTTTTTATATTATACATGACTATAAATGATGACTAATTGGAAGAATTGAATTTTTGTGTGGGGGGAATTTGTGAAGACAATTATACGAAGTTTCTAAGGCTAGTAGGGCAATTCTGGAAGGTTGGTTGGTCTATCGAGTGATAGAATTTTATTCTTGAATTGATAATTGGCCACTACGGTCAGTACAGTATCCATGTGAAAGGTTTCATTGTTGAAATGTTGATCGGTAAAGTTTGGTTGAAAACTGAAAAATCTAGACTGACAGGGGAAGTACCCCAAGTGCGACGCTCAGATTTTGATGAAACTAGGCACAAATTTAGAATAATTTTTTCTAAGACATATGCGAGAATCCTAGCTTGCGCTTTGCAGAAACAACCGAGATTTGTAGATCGAAAGTTGGCGAAAATTTAGGACTTTTTGCCGAATTTCGACACGAAAAGTTTCATGCCTATTTCAACCGTAAAGGATAATGTTTCTACAAAAAATAAAATTTTTCCGCACTAAACTGCCAAAGTTATGGCCAAAAAGCGCTTTTCTCTCTGACCGCTCTCCACGTTTAGCGTGCTCTCTCGGCGGCAAAAATCGTTCGATATCTCGGCGGCGCCCGCAAAGCGCGAGCTAAAAATTTCATGAATTGATATTTAGTCCATACCCGACGTGTCTGCAAAATTTAAAGAAAATCTGAGCGTCGCACTTGGGGTACTTCCCTAGTGAGCTAACTATTAGGTTTGATAAAAACTTTTTACTCTTTTCTTGCAAAAGTTTGAAATCGATTACTTTTTAGCGCAGATCCGTCCTTACTTCAACATACTTATAAACTAATAGAGGGCCTATCGAAGCTTCATCTAAGGTGTATTGCTAAGCCTTCGGCATAATTGAGAGTTTCTATTGCTAACAATTGCTAACATGGGCTAATCGCCCATTTCGACTAAACTTTGCGGTCGATTTTCTCGGCGGAGAAGGCCCGTAAACACTTTTGGAAATCAGTTTTATGATTGCAGACGCTTCACGTTTGAAACCTACTAGGTCCCGTTCCAAAGTCCGTCTGCGAAAAAAGTGACTTCCCTTGTAAGAACTTGGAAGTGCACCGATTTTGGTAAGGTCCCTTTGCCAGCCGCTACTGGCCAAAACTTTCTATCCAACCTAATAGTAAGGTATTTTTTGGGATTTTGAGCAAAAAATCTACAGAAACTATAGTTCCGTATACGGAAATTTTTAGGTTGAAAAATGCTGAAGATTCCTTTTTTTTGAGACTTTCAATTTGAAAAATGGGCATTGTTTCGAGTCTGTAGATCAAAGAGATCTACAAAAACAATAATTTTCCACCGTGAAATTCACCAAATTTGAGCAAAAAATTTTTTCTCCGACCCTCCACTCCACATTTTCTATGATCTCTCATCTGAAAGAAAGTCAAAAATATCTTCCCAAAACTTCTGATAATCAAAAAAATGGTTCTAGAACTGATCTCGTAACGTTTTTTCGCAATAAATTCCATATCATTTCCCAATAAAAGCCGACTAAAGTAATGATGACAAATCTCTCCGAACCATGTTGAAAGCCTCTTTGATTGGGCTACAATTTTGTGCAGACTCGGATCGATTAAGAAATGTTTTATGGCTCCATGTTCCTGCATTAAATCTTAACGGGCGAACGAGTACAGAGACAAAAGCCGAGGACACACCTGTTCCATGAGATTGACAGGTCGCCGGATTTAGCTCACTTGGCGCCGCTGGGCCCATGCGGGTATAAAATATTTGTTTTGTGGGTTTTGGGGATCAAGAGGGGTTTGGATGAGGGGTGGGAAAGGTATTGTTTTTGTAGGGTAGTAGAGTTAACAGAGTCTTGAGATGTTCAAAATATTGTAGTAGTGTCCTGAGGTATCCAAAATATTTTTTTTCAAATCCAATAAGCGAAATACTTAAAATTGTTGTTCTCCAAGGGAGAAATCAGCCTGAGGCTTTTCATGTCAAAGCTTGTCCCAAAAGTGCAAATTTTTTCGCACTTTCGAAGCCTTGGTCGTCAAGGCAGAGTTGCACCATGTAAGGCCCAAAAACAAAAATAAAAACCGGAATAGGGCCATGATAGATTTTGCAATAAATTTGTTACAATCTTCAGACAGAAAACACATTTTTTTCCTATCCAAACTTCCTTTATAATCCTCCTTTTCAAGTGTTAGTCCAAACATTTCCATGTCTCCAACCCCCTTGTAGTATCTCCTTTTCTTTTGTCTTCGCAACAATCTAAACTTTTGGTCTGGTATCTTTTCGGTTTGTTGGTCCAACCGATTAAAATCCCGACCAAATTTCGGAGTCATCAAAAAAGTCTTTGTGGGAACCGCAGGCGTCGCGCGGCCCTAATCGCTTTTATGGCCACACATCTGCTGTATCCCAGCGGAGAAAAAACGAATTGCCGGAGATTTAGGATCGTTCCGAATGAGAGAGAACGGCGTCAGTGAATTAGAGGTGTTGCTGATGTGATTTTATCGTGTTGTTTGTTTGATGACTGGCAAGACGTTGACTGATTCGATGATTTTTGCAGGTTTTGCGCTTTCAAGGGCATTGCTTAATGTTTTTTCGTGAATTAAAGTTGATTTTTGGTGTCTGATTTTAATCAGACACTTGTCGGGGTTTTTTATAACAGTGGTCGTTTTACAGAGACTTTGTGGGCTTCGACTAAAAAAGTAAATTTCTCAAATCGTTACTGCTAGATTTTCTTTAAATTTTTCATACGTATTGTGTCTACGACTCTTTAAAAATTGTAGCTTCCGCTTTGCAAAAAGCAGCCAAGAAATTAGAAATTATACAATCTTCGGAAATCATGCGATTGTTCACGGCGACAGACTGTATACAGGGCCTTACAAAAAACGTGAAGGAAAGTCGGAGGCTATAACTTCCGGCGGAGGCGGTGCAGAGAATTCGTTTTTGGAATAGGTATTTTTAAGCGACATTAGTTTTTCTCTACAAAATAGCAAGATTTTAATGTGCAAACTGAGGTCGCTACGACATTCTGAAGTAGGGGCATTCCTACTCCGAAAACGAGTGTTTTTCGGTTGAAATTGGCCGATAAATGTCGGCCGTAACGAAGAAACCCGCTTTTTCGGAGTATATGTACAGTAAAACCTCTGTATAACCAACTCTCCTACCATAGTTTATTTATAACAAAAAAAATTCTGAAGTCGCGACTTGCAGTTTTTGACCCAAATCAGCTTTGCAACAAAAACCTTCTATAACAAAAAGATTTTGTAGCCAAGTGATCCGTTCTACAGAGATTTTCCTAGAAAAGTTAATTTTATTTTCCTTTGTGATCTCTAAATTCAAGCTACATATTACATTATATAGCAAAAAGCGCATAGATAATCCACTCGACGGCCAGTTCAATATCGAGAACGCATAATTTATTCATTGAACACGCGATTTGAAGCTTCGTTTCGTGTTTTTCTCGAGTGGTCGTTTAGAACAGTCCACTAGAGTAAGAGAGGTTTAGAATGAGCTATATTGGTCGAGAGCGTATTTTACATTGATTTTATTTATTTTTTTGCCTTTTTTGTCGTAAATTTGATGTTCATCCGATAATTGACTTACTACTGCATCGCTGAACTCATCTTTCGTGCGTTTCTTATTCGATTTTGACAATGTTTCACTCGAATCCATCTTTTTCACATCATCAACTCGAAACGTTGCAAAAAAATCTTTCTTCTAGTACTTTTTTGCGCTTATATCGGTAGTTTGTAGTATCTTTTTGGCCTATGACAAACAGATCAAGGAGGCTTTAAAATGGCTTTAAAAAGGTATCCAAGACATAGAGCAAAGATTTGATTTTATAAAGGAGAAGTTTAGACAACGTTTTTTATGCGTTGAACACCTCTTGTTTACTAAGAAAAGTTTCTAGGGGTATCCGGAGAGCATGGTCGATTTTCTTTCAATTTTTTGATACTTTTTGATACCAAATTTCGGCTTTTTTGATCTCTTTTATCATTTTTCTGTTGACAAGTTCATTTGCGGCACAATAACGGCTAATTTTGAAAGCTAGAATGGCTTACGGTTTGCAACTTCCGTACAAAAAATCCTTCCGAAATGAATAAATTTTTTGATATCTTGTTAAGTATCCTTTGTACGGTTAGATGGTATAAGCTAATTTCCAGACTAAAAAAATCCTGAAGCCTAGCAATTTTCCTCCCATTTCCTTCCGCCTAAACCATGTTAAAACCCTCCCGTATCCAATTTGAAACCCAACTTTGGCTTCCTTTATTCCGAGATCCCATAAATCCACGAATTCGCCATTCTTCCGCGCCTTGCATTGTCTTGTCAGCTCGCTGACAAAAACAATAAAAACAAGGGGGGTGGGGGGCGAGCGAGCCACTCGGACTGACCATCCGCTCATCCCACCCTGCTCTCGAAATAAATAATCGAGAGTCGCGCGGCCGAGAGAACGCATTCGTTGCGGAGACGGCAGACGCAAATTAGAATGTCAGAGAAGTGGGTGGGAGGTTCGGCGAGCCTCAATTTTTACAGAGACTCCGAGATACATGAGGGTCCTCATGTCCGGTCAGGGTAGGGAAACACAATAAAACATGGGGGAGTGGCTGAATGATGAGGTAAAAAAGAGGGTTGTCCGTGGAAGTGGAGGGGTAAGTACAAAACCGTGAGGTCAATTTTTACATGTTCTACAGTCGGTAAATAAATAAACGGACAAATTATTTTCCACTCGACCGTTTTCGAAACGGTTAATCGCCCCTCTTTTCCTAAGGGTTTTGAGGATTGAAGGGAGGGGCAAATAGGTTCTGGAGGATCTTCAACGGGTTCAAGGGGTCGGAAATTAAACTTAAGTAAATTTTAAGATTGGATTTTCCGGAAAATCGAAAGTTGTGAGTGAAAATTTGGGAAAAATTGAGATTTTTTACCAAAGTGGCTGAAATGTGGAAAATTCGATGTTTTTCGTAAATTTAATACCTTTTGAAACACTGTATGCTTCGTATTTTACCTCTAAAATTCTATTACATGATTTGAAAAATTCTATTTTGACCTAAACTTTATTTTATTTCTATTTTTTCGACCTTTTTTCATTGTTTTTTCTCATTTTTTTACATGAAATCTAATCCTCTTTTTTGCATGGCGTCGTACTGAATTTCCTGTGGCCACTTTTTTCAAACTTTTTGAGCCGAAAAAACAGCACAACGAGAAAGGTTTTTTTCATCCTCTGGGCTTAAAAGAATTCGAAAAATGGGGGACCTGGATGACAAGGTCGAGTCCATGGTAGGGTCGAAAAACGAGGGGTTGAAACAAATTGAGGTTTAGGGAATGGTAAACGAGGAAATTTTTTGTAATTTATGGGGGCTTCCCGTCAAAGGCGACGGAATTTTGAACGCTTTTTTTTGGTTTTTTAGTTGAAAATTGGAGAAAATGCCGTTTCTTCAGGGGATTTTTGAGGTTTTAGGCGATTTCTCAAAAGTTATAAGTAGAATTTGGATGAAATTTTGTGTGTGTAAAGGTCAATGGACGTTTATACACTACTGAAAATTTTAGCCTTTATTTTACATAGGCAGTCGAAATATTCAACGATCTTTACAGCCGAGAGAGCATGGAAAATCAGGAGAGACGGTCAGAGAAAATCACCGTTTTTTGGCCATATCTTTTTCAATTTTAGATAAAAAAATATATTTTTTTGTAGATAAATTTCTCCCATCCTAGTATTTTTGACTTTCCTTACTCCTTTTTAGCTTTTTTTATCACAATCTTGCGTGTAAATCCCCCATTAAAGCCCTCACTTTTCCTTCTCATAATTCGGAAATATCCCCTTGGTTCAAAGTGTAATTTAATCTACCCTTTCGCTCTTATTTTTTCTCGCTTTATTTACTCATTTTGGATTTCAAGGTTACGTGAAAATTGCGTAACATCTCTTTCTTCTTTCTTGACCGCATTGAGCCAGTGCGAAGAGGGAGGCAAAATATTTCGAAAGTGTGGCGGAATTTTGTGCGAAAATGAGTAATAGTACGGAGGGAAATTGTTGTTGTTTTGGACGAATATGACGTAGGGTCGCATTTTTTTTGAAGCGTGAAAGGCGAATTTGGCAGGCATTCTGAAGTGGAAAAAATGAGGAAATTTGGGGAAAATGGTTTTTCAATGTGACCAAATGGTGGTCAAATTAAAGCGCAGCTAATTTAGCAGTTGTTTTACAGTCTTCAAGATTTTTTGGGGTTTTCAGCAAGCTTCTACTAATTTTTAATATAGCTGAAAATATTAGCGATCCTAATCGACCAAAACCGAACCTGACGGGCCTGGCTAACACGCGAAGTACCACAAGTGCGACGCTGAGATTATGATGACGCTTGGCACAAATTTAGAGTAATTTTTTCTAAGATATATGCGAGAATCCTAAGCCGCGTTTTACAGAAACAACTGAGATTTTTAAATCGAAAATCGGCGAAAAAGATGACATTTTTTGCCGTATTTAGGCACGAAAAGTTTCATGCCTATTTGTACCATATAGGGCAATGTTTCCACAAAAAATATTTTTTTCCGCTCGAAACTAGCAAAGTTATGGCCAAAATGTGTTTTTCTCTCCGACCGCTCTCCGCGTTTAGCGTACTCTCTCGGCGGCAATGATCGTTGAATATCACGGCGTTGCTTGCGCAGTGCGAGCTAAAACTTTCAAGAATTGATATTTAGTTCATGACCGAGGTGTGTGAAAAATTTAAAGAAAATATTACCTTGGTCCTCCTTGCCATTTTTTCTTCGACCCCGGCCTAAAATTCATGTCTCCTCTATTGACCACTTTTTTAACGACTTCTATACGGCTTTTTTCAATTTTTTCTTTACTTTTTTATCCATTGACCAACACAAACTCCCTATTCCAAATCCCCGTTTTCCCACGCCCAAATCACCTCAACTTTTCATGCAACGTCCCACCGCCATCTATCAGTCATTAAAATTCATTTTATGGGCAAGGAAGAGGCTTTCCTTTGTTTGCTCTGATTTTATTCACACCTTGAGGGATCCTTGGGGAAGAAGAGTAAATTTTTTGTTGTCCTATCGGATTTTGTTTGTCTTGAAATGTTACATCTCAATCTTGAGAAACTTGTCTAGCGTATTCTGATAATTTCTTTTCGTATTTTGTCACAATTCCCTTGAAAAATGCCTTTCTCTCCATTTCCATTCCACTTTGTCCCCTCAATTTTTACGACTTGCCCTCCGCTTTCCGTACGACTTGAAAACTCTTTAAATTTATTCCAAAAAACACTCCCCCCAACATACTTCATTTCCAATTCCCGCCACTTGTTAACACCCTCGCCCGACGAAAGAAAATGTGTTGATGCATCGCGGAGTTCGGCGTGCGTTTAACCCGGAACCCACGCCGTGAAGACTGATTAGAAATCCCCTTTATCTGAATTAGAAAAACCGGGGGCTTTTTAAACCTAATTTTAATTAAAATTGAGAATTCTAGGCCACGGTCAATGTCCGACTTCGGGGATGACGACCCCTACACGGTGGACCGGGGCTACAAAACCGACAGCTACATCATGGCGGTTAGTGGGACATTCGTGGAGAGCGAGGAGCCAAGAACTTTCGAAGAGCCGGAATTTAGGCCGAGGCCGGTAATGGTGAGTTAAAAAACCTTGGGAAGGTTTGGGGTAGAGATTGGGTAGGATTGGCCATAGCAGTTCTAGCAAACTTCTGAGGGACCGTCGGATGTTTTGAAGTCCGAAACTCATGTTTTGATGAAACTTTAAACAGATTCAGATAAGTCTTTTGCAAGAGAAATACGAGATTCCTAGATCGCGCTTTGCAGAAACGACCAAGATTTTTATTTCGAAAATTTGTCAAATTCGATGAATTTTTCTCTATTTCTATTGGAAGAGGAAGCGTTTTTTATAAAAAGTAATTTTTTACGACAAAAACGTGGCCACAAATATTTTCCCCTCTGAACTGGGGCTTCACACAATATCTTCGCGGAGATCCATGAATATCTCGGCTGCAACTGTAATTTCGAGTAATTTTTTTAAAGAATTGATGTGTTGCCTATGAAAAACTCCCTTGCAAAACTTATTCTCAAAGAATATTGATGTAATAAAGTAAACTTTCTTTCAGCCAGTCACCACGGGCAAAGAACTTCTGCTCGAGGAGCCTCAACGAGATTATGGCGCCTTGGGGCCCGACGACGTCGAATATTACAGAACTAGCTCGTTTTGGAGGACTTGCCGGTCAGTTTTTTTAGACATCAGCAATTTTTGCTACGTCATCTTCAACAGTGATGTCAATAATACCTTTTATCATCATAAATTATATTATTTTCCCTTTCAGCTGGTCCTGCGTCGTCTGCTGTATCCTCCTTTTGATTCTCCTCATTCTCCTGACAGTCTACTCGCTCCTCATTGCTCCTCGATGTATAGAACACCAGCATGAGTGGTGGGAAAAAGCTGTTGTTTATGAGATCTGGACTCCTTCGTTTCGGGATTCAGATGCTGATGGAAAGGGAGATTTTATTGGAGTTGCACAGAAATTGAAAAATATTCGGAGACTTGGGGTTTCAACGCTTTACATAAGGCCCTTTTTGAGTCATAGCGACAGCGATGGAGCTGCTGTTGATGACTTTGACGATGTCGCGCATGACTTGGGAAATTTAAAGGAAGCCGTAGATTTGATTGAACAGGCACATAGCTATGGATTTAAGGTGAGGATTTGGAACAAAAAAAAGTGTTACTTAGATTTTCATGAGATTTGGGAAAAGTTTACATATTTTTTCTAAGTTTATCCGAGATTTTTAGCCCAAATATTGGTGAAACTTCGATACTTTTTTTGCGAGTTTATGCAGTAAAAAATTGAGCCTATCGAGAAAATTGTTCTAACAAAAGAAATATGTGAATATCCTATAAGCCCCAGAAAAGCAAGAGCCAAGATTTTCAGTATTTTTAAATACTGAAAATCGTATTAAAATACCAATCCTTGGCGCGACATTTACAGTGGCGGACTTGATCCATTGGCCAAAAATGTGCCATGTTGCATCCGGGAAGTATCAAAAATGCAGCAAAATACCTCCCTCTCCAAGTGAAAAACCCCCGATTTCAAAAGCGCGCCCACTCTTTTTGTGAGGGAAAGGGCGCGCTCTTCAAAAAAAGAGAAGTTTTTTTCACCTGGTGATGGAAGCATTTTGCCACATTTTTGATGCTTCCCGGATGCAAAATTTTTGTGAGGGAAAGGGCGCGCTCTTCAATTTTTTTTTAGTTGGAGAGACAGGGCATTTTGCCACATTTTTGATAGTTCCCGGATGCAAAATGATACGTTTTTTGCCACTGGATCTGGTCCCTCACTGTAAGCAAATTAAAAAAAAAATCAAAGCGTCATACACCTTTTCTACCACCAATTTATCGACCGGCCTACTCTAAAAATCCTTTCATTCCAGGTAATCATCGACTTCCCGGTCTCCGCCACCTCCCTCACCCATCCGTGGTTCATAAAATCGTCGCAAGCGTCGGCCGAGGAAAACCGAGGATTTGCTGATTTTTATTTCTGGAAAAAGAATTATCAGCCGAATGAATTCATCTCGTCCTATGGATCAAATGGTGATGTTTATTATCACATCGAAAACAAACCCGATTTGGCTGTCTTGAACTTCAAAGAGCCGAATGTGTCGAGGTCGATACAGAAGTCGATTTTTGACTGGATCCAACGAGGAGTCGATGGATTCCACCTCCGATACGTCGATTATTTGGCGAGAACTCAGGATGGGAAATTCCCGGTGAGTAATTTTGTGTAAAGTACGATGCGCTATGACATTTGGAAAAGAAAAAAATTTGATTTTTTAAAGCATGATCGTTAGCTCAGGTTTTGATGGAAAAAATTCAATATCTTTGGGCAAAAATATCAACTGATTAGTGTAGTTTTTTGACGCGACATTTCCCAAAAAAAATGACAGCAAAATTTTCTGTGACCGTTCTCCACGATTTGCGTTATCTCTTGGCAGCAAAGGTCATAGAATTTCATAGCTGACACTGGAAGATAAGAGCTAAAATTTTCAGTAGTTGATGTGTGTGTTATACAAAATGCACAAGCAAATTTTGTAGAAAATCTAAGCGTTGAATATCAAGAAATTTCTTTTTTCTAACAAGGGAAGTACCCGAAGTGGGACGCTCAGATTTTGGTGAAACTTATCACAAATTTAGAATATTTTTTTCTAGGATATATGCGAGAATCCTAGCTCGCGCTATGCAGAAACTACCGAGATTTTTAGATCGAAAGTCTGCGAAAATTTGAGACTTTTTGCCGAATTTTGGCACGAAAAGTTTCATGCCTATTTCTACCGTAAAGGATAATGTTTCTACAAAAAATCAAGATTTTCCGCACGAAACTGTCAAAGTTATGGCCAAAAAGTGTTTTTCTCTTGGACCGCTCTCCACGTTTAGTGTGCTCTCTCGGCGGCAAAAAGCGTTCAATATCTCGGCGGCACCCGCAAAGCGCAAGCTAAAACTTTCAGGAATTGATATTTAGTCTATTCCCAACGTGTGTGCAAAATTTTAAAAAAATTTGAGCGTCGCACTCGGGGTACTTCCCTTGTTAGAGCACAAATGTAAATTTTTTCATTGGAATGTTCTAAGAGGCTATTTTTCAGAACTGGAATGGAATCGTCAAAGCCCTAACTGACACCAGGAAGACAATTCGAACCAAAATTATGGAGCGTGACGATCTCAGGGATCGAAAAGTGTGAGCCACTTTCTTCGACTGTCAAAAAAGCCCTCCAATTTTTCAAAATTTTATTTTTTGATTTTTCAGTTTCTTCTACGCCTCCATGGACAACATCGGAGAGATGGAGAAGCTGCGGCTTGGCCAGAAAGCCGGCCTCGACGCTGTCCTCAACTCCGAGCTCCTCAAAATCGCCGTTGGCAATAGGATCTGCGAAAAGACGCCCGATTCCATTTCTGATTGTACCAATGAAGTTATTGGCGATATTCTGCAGTTTTATCAGAGTGCCGATGATATCTGGCCAATGTGGCAGTTCGGTGATGCGGATACGGAGAGATTGGCTAGTAGGACAAGGTCAAGATTGCAGGCAGAGTTGTTGCAAATGGTGCAGTTGCTGTTGCCGGGAACGCCCATCGTTTATTATGGAGATATGGTTGGGGCGAAGGAGGTGAAAGCTATGGTAAGTGAGTTTGAAGGGCTTTCATCGCTTCAGGCGGCTTTTAAATTATCTTTTCTGATAAGAAAAGTCATCAGCAGGGTGAAAAAAGAAATTCAAGTACAGTGAAGGACCTTCCAATGGCAAAAAAACGTACCATTTTGCATCCGGAAGCATCAAAAATGTGGCAAAATGCCTCCCTCTCCAACTAAAAAAATCCTTTTTGAAGGGCGCGCCCTTTCCCTCACAAAGAAGAGCGGGCGCGCTTTTAAAATCGGAGTTTTTTCACTTGGAGAAGGAGGTATTTTGCTACATTTTTTGATACTTCCCGGATCCAAAATGGTACGTTTTTTGCCACTGGTTCAGGTCCCCCACTGTATCTTTTGTGATAAGAAAAGTCATCAGCGGGGTAAAAAAAATTCAAGGAATTGGGGGCAACTTTAGAAGAACATTTTGCCAGGCATGGCACACATTTTTTTATGGAAACTGTGGAGATTTTTTGATAGGAAGTTGACATAAAAAAATTTGTTTGTGATTTACGATTAGCTTTTGAGAAGTTTAGGCACAACAGCCACTTTATCCGTCCAAGTCTCCTCTTTTTACACATTAAAAAAGGTAAAAATAATAGCTAAAGACAAGTTCTTCCCTATATGTTCATATCTAATTGCTGTATCGATACTCTTTTGTACTCAACACAATTTTTTTCCTATCTCATCTCTCTTTTAGGACCATCCCCAACGTTCGGCGATGGCTTGGGATGACACTTCATCGGCCGGCTTTTCGGACGCCTCAGTTTTTCAATGGACAGCCAGACTGCCTTCCGAATGGAAGCACGTCAATTTTGAGGTAACTAAACATGACTTTAGAACCAAAAAATTTCCATCAGCTGGCTAATGATGACCAAAAAATCTAGTTTTATAATTTTTTCTTCTTTTAGAAAGAAGTGGCCAATCCGAAGAGTCGATTGAGAGTTCTAAAAAGACTTATTCAACTGAAGACAATGCATGATGTCCTATTTGATGGTCAAACTTATTTGAGCAAGCCAGTTCAGAACAGTTTTTCACTTTGCCGCTTCTGGCAAAATGAGAATGTCACCAACAAAGAAGTCTTTGTTTTGTCGGTCAATTTTGGATCACGGTGAGAAATTTAATTATAATTGATATGGAAAACGCTCGAGGTGTCACCTTTAGACCTTGAATAGAAGTTTGGCGCAAAATATGGTCGTGTTTTTATGCGGGCATTTTCAGAATTTTAACTAACGCTTTGCAAGATTTTTTGATGAAAAATTATGCAATTTTTACCGATTACGGCATGAAAAAATTGATTGAATTACATAGTAGACCTAGATAGTCCGTAAATTTCCTAAAAATTAATTTTTTTTAATTTTAACACTGAACCATCTCTTTTCAGCCCAGTAAACATCTCAATTCATGATCTACCGCCCTTCGTCTATGCTCAAAAGCACATGAATCTCGACTCCCAACCGAATCCATATCTGGAAGCCCGTATTTTGGCCGTCTCCTCGGCGGTCCATCCGGATTCCTGGTACACACAGCAAAAGTTCAATATCGCCTCAGGCCAATTGGAATTGGGGGTGGATCAAGGGATTTTATATCGGTTTTACGTTACATAACGCTTGGCTTTTTGAGAACTTTTTGAAAAATCGTGTTTTCGTGGCGAGACACAGATTTTTAAAACTTTTTTCCTAAATTTTCGAAAATTTTGGGTCCCACCACGAAAACAATACCTTTTGCAAAAAGCCCTCAGAAGTTTTTAAAAACCTATCTTTTAACTTCGTATCTCTTTTACATTGTAAATCTAGTCCGTCTAAACAAATTACGGGTATTTTTCTGTCGATGCAATAACTCCTGCATATTCAGTTGTACTAAGTTCCTCTTGAAATCGGGTATTTTCTAATCAAAATTCTACTCTGATGCCTCTCACCAGTGCCAAATTGCAAGAAACTCCTGTTCTACTGCCATTCATGAAAATAAAAACCTTCCAAATTTTCTTACGGATGTTGTTTTTTGCAAGTCAACATACAGTGGGGGTCCTGATCCAGTGGCAAAAAACGTACCATTTTGGATCCGGGAAGTATCAAAAATGTAGCAAAATGCTTCCATGTCCAAGTAAAAAAAACTCCGTTTTGAAGCGCTTTTGAAATCCGAGTTTTTTCACTTCGAGAGGGAAGCATTTTGCCACATTTTTGATACTTCCCGGATCCAAAATGGAACGTTTTTTGCCTCTGGATCAGGTCCCTGTAGAATATATTTATGAAGACATTGTGAGTCAAAAAAAATGCGAACTTTTGACCAAAAATTCGCAGTGTTTTCTGCAAAATGCGAGGTAAAAATTTCAAATTTAAATCATGCCAGGTTTCACCAAAAAAACCAAGTGTGATTTGCCAAAAAAAAATATATGTAAATTTATAACTATTTGCCCACAAACTCAACAAAAATCTATTTTATTCTAATCAAAATAATCCACAATATCGCCATACTGATTGGAAAGGGGTCTGGGGCAATTGGAGACGTCCAGTTCGGTCAAAATGAGTTGTTCAAACATCTCGGCGCAGTCCGACTCTCCAATCAAACATGCTCCAACCACTTTGTTCTCTCTGATTACGATTCGAACTATCGTTTCATTCACATAATCAAGTTCCACATCTCCATTTTTGGAGTCAAAATCCCCGAGCAGAACAACTTTTTGGCCAGCAAAAGTCGTTGTGTGGGCGAACATTTCGAAACAGGGGTCTAATTCGGCCTGCGGGTCCAAGATATTTCTGGCTGTAAAATGGCCAAATTGCCGGGCTTGGGTCCAGAGACGCATCTAAAAATAGAAATTGCTGTCTACAAACTTAGAAATTGCTAACAAAAGTCTTTCGATGCATTACACGGGGCCTTTCCAGTAAAAAATCGGAAAAAGGGAGTTAAGTTGATGGCCATGCTAGACTATGCTATAAAATTTTGGTTGAAAAATAATTTTTGCTTTAATAAAGTCCTTTTTATTTGAAAAAAGAGCCAAAAGGAATCAAAGAGAACCTAAATTTGGTATCAAAAGGTATCCGTGAGACATAAATAAGACGTTTCTCTTTGAAAAGAGAGAAATTCGTATTTTCACAAGACCTTTTGAGACTCAAAAAACGTTTCAAAGGATACTCCAGCAACTCATTTATTGGAAATCAGCAATTTTTTTTGTTTTTGGATTCAAATTGTTGCTGGAAAGCCTTTTGAAAAGTTTTTCGAGTCTCAAAGGGTCTTATGAAAATATAAACTGCTCTCTCTTCAAAGAGAAAAGTCTTTTTATGTCTCAAGGATACCTTTTGATAACAAATTTAGGTTCTCTTTGATTCCTTTTGGCTCTTTTTTCACATAAAACAACTTCGGCAGAGCCAAAAATTATTTTTCGGCCAAAATTTTATAGCATAATCGAGCATGGCCATCAAAAAAATCAACTTTTCCCTCACCTGTCGCCACAAATGAGAGGTTGATTTCCATTGCACAGTGCAGACATCACCACAAGCGTAAACATTCGGGATTGTTGTCATCATACACTCGTTGACGATTATTCCACCGTCTTCAGAAATTTTTAACTAAAACCGAACAAAAATACAGTGGGAGACCTGATCCAGTGGCAAAAAACGTAGCATTTTGCATACGGGAAGTATCCAAAATGTGGCAAAATACCTCCCTCTACAACTAAAACAACTCCTTTTTAAAGGTCTTCCCCTCACGAAAAGAGCGAAATTTTGAAGTCGGAGTTTTTTCACTTGGAGAGGGAGGTATTTTGCCACATTTTTGATACTTCCCGGATGCAAAATGGTACGTTTTTTACCAATGGATCAGGCCCGCCACTGTATGAAAAAACCTTACAGTTTTTTCAAACATGATCCAGTGGCAAAAAGCGCACCATTTTGCATCCAGGAAGCATCATGTGCCATGCCTGGCAAAATGTTCTTCTAAAGTTGCCCCCAATTCCTTGAATTTTTTTTCACCCTGCTGATGACTTTTCTTATCACAAAAGATACAGTGAGGGACCTGAACCAATGGCAAAAAACGTACCATTTTGCATCCGGGAAGTATCAAAAATGTGGCAAAATACCTCCCTCTCCAAGTGAAAAAACTCAGATTTCAAAACCGCGCCCGCTCTTTTTGAGAGACGCCCCTCAAAACGAAGTTTTTTCACATGGAGAGGGAAGCATTTTGCCACATTTTTGATACTTCCCGGATGCAAAATGGTAGGTTTTTTGCCGCTGGATCAGGTCCCCCACTGTATCCGTTTCACTAGTAAATCTGTCGGTAAAAAACTGTAATTTTTTTGCTTACTTCACTACAATTTTGTTTCCACAAATCCGAGTTCGGCCAAACTCCCATCGCTTCCACCACCAAATCGACCGCGATTTTCTCGCCATTGCTCAGTTCCAATTCCACCTCCTCATCTCTGACATTATACTGCATTACTCTGACTCCCCTTAGAACCTCTAATGATCGACTGGTCGACGGTTCTTGTCCCAATTTTCCGAGCCAAAATGGACCCAGAGAACAGCCAAGAACATTGTCCTTCAATTGTGCATGGTCTTCGGCCGTGAATTTCTGATACTTGGCTTCGTTTTTGGAGTCGCCATCTTTTCGGCCAGTCTGGAAATGCTTCTCCATTTCGAGGGCAACTTGGACATCAAAAAACATTGAGCCCATCGAGACTTCTTTTAAAATCCATGTCAATTGATAGGATTTTAGTTCGTAACTAAAAAAAAATCAATTTTTCTTTTTTAATTCGCGTACAGTAGGGGATCCAGTGGAAAAAACGTGCCATTTTGCATCCGGGAAGTATCAAAAATGTGGCAAAACGCTTCCATCTCCAAGTGAAAAAAGCGTTTTTAAAACTGTATCATTTTTTTTTTGCATACTTCACTACAATTTTGCTTTCCCTCACACAAAGAGCGGGCCCGCTTTTGAAATCGGAGTTTTTTCACTTGGAGAGGGAGGTATTTTGCCACATTTTTGATACTTCCCGGATGCAAAATGGCACGTTTTTTGCCACTGGATCAGGTGCCTCACTGTACTTACGCCAACTCCATTCCAATTCCGCCATCTCCAATAATTGCCACCCTCTCTGCTGACTTCAATTTCTCCGTCAAATTCCTTACAGTATCCGTATCCCTAATCGTCAAAATTCTCTCCGATTTCATTGAATTCAAACTTTTGGGTTTGGCACCGGTAGCAATCACCAATATGTCATATTCCACCTGCTGGTTCGAAGACAAATGCAAGATTTTTCGATTGTGATTCCAAGAAATTACATTATCCTCAATAACTTGGACATCTTCATAATCCTTGGAAAACGAAGCGACTGGCTCTGTGGTGACATCGAATTTCTCCATAACTATTCCTGTCTGAAAATAGGTCAAGTTCAACCCAAAATAAAAAAATTTCCAGGAATCATTGTTTTCGTGGCGAGACCTAAACTTACTTTTTCATAATCCTTCACTCGTTTGATATACCCACTTTTGCCACAGATAAATATCAGTTTTGCATTTTGCGGGAGATCTGGAGAGTCTTGAAGACCATCTAGACATGAAACACCTGCAATTCCTCCTCCGACAATAACAATTCTGGATGAAATTGACTTCATTATACTACAATTATCTTAAGAATTACTACATTCAATGATTAATTCCAAGTATCAGCTATTAGAAACATAATAATTCATCCAAAACCCCAAAAAATAGAAAATTATCAAATTTATTAAATTTCAATCTACTATAATGTAAAATAATCTCAAAATGATATGTCAAATCAACAAAAATTAATGCAATTCATTCACAACTCCTTGAGAACATTGTCCAGCAAGCTGCTCGCGCCAATTCGGAACAATTTCGGGGTCAGCCATTCATCGCCGAGAACAATTTTGATCAAATAAACGTATTCCAACGCTTCCTGGACAGTTCTGATTCCTCCAGCCGGCTTGAATCCGATTTTTTTACCAGTCTTCTCGTAATATTCCTTGATGACTTCGAGCATAACATATGCCGCTTCCAGGGTGGCATTGACGGATTCTTTTCCGGTTGAAGTTTTGATGAAGTCGGCTCCTCCCAAAATTGAAGCCAGCGAAGCGCGATAAATATTCTCAACGCTTTTGAGCTCACCAGTAGCCAGAATCACCTTAAAGCAAACAAAAATGTAAAAAAATCCATTGAAACAACAGTAAAATGAAAAGTTTTTACGTTATCCATGACAAGCACTATAACAAAATAATATCTCTTACCTTCAGATGTTTTCCGTTTCCAGCCCGTTTCATTTGCAATATTTCTTCCTCAACCACCTTCCACTTGCCTTCCAGCGCAGCGGCACGATTGATAACGGTATCCAACTCATCTGCACCATCTTCAGCAGCTAACTGGCATTCCAAAACCCGACTTTGCAGATGATACTGTCCAGATGGAAATCCTCCAACAACTAAAAATTAAGAAAAATTCATACTCGAAAAACTAAACGTACCTGACGCGATCTTAACATCTTGCTCGCCAAGTTCTGCGAGTTTCTCCTTTACATCACCGATTCTTGCGGGATAAACGCAAACTGCAGCGCATTTCAGTGATGGATCCTAAAAATCGAAATAAAAAAAGGAAGATAAAGAGGTAACATACGTTCGGGAAGGGCTTTGAGGCCCTAGCGGCAAGATCTTGCACTCGTTTTCTGGTATCATCTCCAGCCAAGGTAGTCAAATCAATGTACGTCACTAAACTTCTGATAACCTCCTTCGAAGACGTCTTTGCGTCCGCTTTTGCTTGCTCAACAGTTTTCTCCAAGTCTGGGAAGCTAACTGGACCCGTGAAGTCAAAATCCGCCATGGTTTTTGGTCAACAGATCTAGAAGGTCAAGTATAATATGAGTTAGTCGAATTTAAAGAAGAAAATAATAGAAAGCACAGTCAGAAAAGAGGTTTAACAAAGTAAAGAGCAATATCGGTTCTAAAAGCCAAAACGAACCGAGAGGAGTCCATCCGTTCAGATTTTATCAACGGAAAAAGCGATCATAAATCATAAATACGTTGCAAGAAAGCGTCTTTTTTCACCGTGTCAAAAATAAACAGCCAAACAAAGAACGTGTGGCCAGACAGTTGATAGATCAAACTTAAAAAAAATAAATAAACGATAAACGTTCCACTCACTTCCATTTTCATCTACCAAGAGCTTTAAAAATCAAAAGCAAGGTCCAAAAACCCTCATTTTTGAGATTTAACAACATTTCATGGGCTTAGAAATACTAGTTAGAAGGTTTTACAATCACTTCTACTTGTTTTGGAAGCAAAAATAATTTTCCAGCCACGAATAAACTTTTCCAATAATTTAGTGACATTTCGCAACATCCAATAATTTCGTGGCTTTTCGTTGTTTCGAAAAGAAAATAGAAAATAATTCCACGTTTCACAATAATTTGTTCTATAAAGGTTGTTTTATGATAGTAATCAAAGACCTATTGCGTTTTTATCAATTTGAGAGGCGCATTTCATACCTTACTTTAGATTTATTGATGTTGTTGTTGATTTTTCCTAGGTTTTTGCTGTTTTATGATTGATTTTGTGATTGCTTTTAGGATTACCGTTACCATGACGGTCAAAGTTCTCATTACATCGGTGTTTTTAAGTGTTTTTGAGACATATTTTGGGGAAGTTTTCGTATATTGGGTTTTTGATGTTGCACTCGATAAAATGTTGAAGATTCCTTGAGAATAGAGTTTTTATTACCGAAATCTTAGCAAAGAATATTTGTAACTATTTACTTTGTAGTTTTACTAAGGAACAAGGGGTGTTTCTGCGGTTTTATTTTCGTTTGACACATTTTTCTATCAAATATTGGTGGCTTACGAAGAAAATTGCTGAAAATGTAAAAAAACTTTAAATTTTTAAAGATTTTTTGGTGGGCGATTTTGCCTGAAGCCTTATTGCGTCTATTTTGACCTGTTTGCCATCTTATTTTAAATTTGTTTTGAATTATTGACCAATTTTTCGAGACCTGTCTACTACAACATTATAAACAAAATTTTGATCGTTTTTGTTATAGCGCAACGTTTTCACTTCTCCGACCGCTACGCAGAAGAGTCCTCCAAGCGATTGGCACGATGACAAACCGGGTACGGGATCAGAGCGAGATGCGGCGACGGACCCGGCAGATCAGGGAGAATGAAGGTCTCTACGGTAAGGTCGCGCGTGGCTTCCGGTCGCAATCCAATCACGGTTCGCTGTGTTGACGAACCGTGAAATTGTTGTTGTGGTCTGTTCGTACAGGAAATGAGATTTGAATTTGGAGAGGGGGTTTATATGGGACTAATGGGATGAAGCGTGCACTTGATTGGAGAAGTGTGATAAGTTTGGGTGAGGAAAAAACGGGTTAAAAGCCGGAGACGATAAAGATTGTGTTTTGGGAATTGAAGAAGAGGTCAGACGCGGTGATTTTGGACAGAAATTTTTGTAGTTTGCACGATTTTTCATCAAGATTTTGGGATATTATCCATAATGTATAGTGCTGATTAGAAAAATTGTTTTTTTTTTATTTTTTTTTGAAAGATAATCGAAGTCATTTTGCTTTTGAGACATCCTCATTGGTCTATAGATAACATTGTGACATTCTATGACAGATCTTATCTGACTTTTTCCCACTAAATTTGACGATATTATACATGATCATCTAAAATTTCAATTTGATCAAAACTTCAAAATTTTTCCTTAAAGTTCTCTACAATTCTACTGTAGACAAATACAGTTTTGTCCTTTTGTCCTTCAAAAACTCCCACACACAGAGGTCACAGTTCTGGATCATTTTTATATTATACTTCCTCCTCACCTCTGACTTGTTGTAGGCTATGGGTTGGGTTTGTATCTTTTGCTGTCTATTACTCATCGAGTAGTCTTTGCGACTTTGTACATGCTTTTGCAAAACAAGCTTATAAACGAGGATTTTGAATCAGATTTTTCAGTGACCATGGGTAATATTGTACTAGGTCGGAAGGGTAATGTTCGTGATTTGGAGAAAGTGGTGGTGGATGGTAAGTTGAAAATAGAGGATATTTTGAATCTTGGAGCTATAGGGGTTTTTATGGGGTTGTTGTGCATATTTTTATACCAACTTTTTACTTGGTGGTGAAAAGGAAAAAAGTGGTGTAAGGAAGGTACAATCTCGACACTTTTATGAGACGGTATTGAACTAGAGAGCCAATCAAGATAAACTTGGTTAGAAATCAGTGGGAAATAAGGAAGAAGTTCGATAAATCAACTGGTTACACTCTGTACTGTCCATTCTTCCAGTGGAAAAGACTTGGTCATCCTGCGACTACAGTTGGGGACCTGATCCAATGGCAAAAAACGTACCATTTTGAATCCGAGAAGCATCAAAAATGGGGCAAAATGCTTCCCTCTCCAGGTGAAAAAACTTCGTTTTGAAGGGCGCGCCTTTTCCCTCACAAAATGAGCGGGCGCCTTTTGAAATCGGAGTTTTTTCACTTCGAGAGGGAAGCATTTTGCCACATTTTTGATACTTCCCGGATGCAAAATAGTACGTTTTTTGCCACTGGATCAGGTCTCCCCACTGTAGTCGCAGGATGACCAAGTCTTTTCCACTGGAAGAATGGACAGTACAGAGTGTAACCAGTTGATTTATCGAACTTCTTCCTTATTTCCTACTGATTTCTATCCAAGTTTATCTTGATTGGCTCTCTGGTTCAATACCGTCTCATAAAAGTGTCAAGATTGCTGCAAAAAGTTTGTCAATTTTGTAATATGGAGCAAAGTCCAGTAGAAGGGATCTATTTACAATCTTCTCACTTTTCCCCTCGCCTGTTTTTCACACAGTTGACAGCCAATCACATGCATAGTATAATATCAAGAAGTATGTTTAATGGAGCTAATGATCAGTTAATTGTCAATTGTCTATCGTTTCCCCCCGTCGCTGCAACAGAGGGCTCCAAAAGACGCGAGGGTTTTTTTTAAAGTCTCGATTCGGTGGTCTATCTTGTATGTTTTCCGTTCGATCGGCTTTGAACGGAAGTCGGGGTTTGTCTTATAAAAAAATTGCGGGTAACCCCGCCCCCAACGCTTCTCAATCACATTTCTTTTTATCAAGCGACTGATTTCCGGCTCCATAAATCGTTTCCAAGCATCTTTTTTTTTGTAAAATTGAAAAATCATCGCGCGGACTTCGCAGATTTTGCAGGGATAAGTCTGCAAGAAAGCGTTCGAAATGTTTGAAGATGGGGTTGGTGTTGAGATTGTAGGGTCGGGAATGGATTATTGGATACTGTAGTTTGTGAGAATGTAAAATATTTTTATATTTTGTGTATTGTGATGAGGGAAATTTGAGATTTTTCGGTTGTTGAGATAAAATGGTTGTTAAAAATCTAAGAGTCGTCTATTTTTCAAAATTTTAGCTCTGAAATTTAAGGTTTTAGTGATTTTTTGGGTCCCACCACGAAATCTTTTGAACCTGAAATTTTGTGATTTTACCCCTCAGTGTGTGATTTTGAGATGACTTATGAACTATTCATGAATTTTTTAAACTTTTTTGACCCCTAAAATTTTTCAGATGCAATGCACGACGCACAGGATATGATTGCCCGCGAGGCGAATTTCGACGCCGCCGGCACAAATATGCCATATCTGTATCGGCCGGCGTCGCCCACGCCGCAAAAACGACCAGTCGAGGACGATGAAACGGGAGGATTCCTCACGAAAGAACACCTCGCCGAAGAGGCGCACTATTCAGCTATCTATGCCAAACAGGTAGGGTAATATAATTTTTTGGAAATCTTGGAGGGGAAATTTTTGTTTTTGTGGTTGGAAATTGAAGATGATGACTTAAAAATTATTTTAGCCCTATATTTTACGACCATTCACATGGATCATGCGGATGAAACGCACCTTAAAGGACGATTTTGGCTCCATTTTACTTCTTTTATTCCTCTATTTACTACAGGTAAAATTTTGGTTTTTTTGCTTCGAATTTTGGCGGTGTGATGGATGACCATGTATATCATTGCAGGGTATACCATTAGGATTGATCTCAGCAGTTCCATTGATCTTACAAAGCAAAGACATCACGTACGCACAGCAAGCTGTCTTCTCCTTCGCACATTGGCCTTTTAGGTAAGTTTTCTTAAATTTTTTGGGGATTTTTTTTGTTGTAAATTGCGTTGTTGGATAGTAAATGAGCTCGGTTTAGCATGAAACTTCTCTGGGCACCGATTGTCGACTCTCTGTACTTCAAATCCATCGGCCGAAGGAAATCCTGGATGGTCCCGTGCCAATACTTGATTGGAGGATTCCTCCTGGTAGTCAGTTACTATGTCCCCGAAATTATGGGCACAAATGGCAACTCACAGCCCAACGTTTTCTTCCTTATGGCCGTTTTCCTGCCGCTCAACTTTTTGGCGGCAACGCAAGATATTGCAGTGGACGGATGGGCGCTGACAATGTTGTCGAGAAAAAATGTGGGCTACGCGTCGACTTGCAACGTTGTGGGACAAACTGTCGGATTCTTCATGGGAAATGTGGTCTTCTTAACATTACAGTCAAAGGATTTTGCCAATAAATGGATCAGAACGGTCCCGGAAGATAAGGGACTGGTCGAGTTTGATGGTATGTGGAAAATCATCGATTTTTATGGCTGTTATATAAAATTTATTGATGAAACAAGCAGAATATGATAGAACGAGGCGTTAGGATGGGTTTAAAAATGCATAGAGACAATGCCAAGAAAGAACGGTTTCGTGTCGGGACCAGAATGAATAAGGGATATATGCTAAATTCTTCTACGGCCTAGGTTCCAGGGCAGAAAACGTTGGGATTTGATAGTCAAGATTTCAATTTAAAGCAGTGTTATCAAGATTTTTTGAGATTTTTCGTTATTTATGGAGCAGTTTCCGACGAAGTTGTGACGGTGAATGGTGAATTTAGCAAGTTCGTCCAAGCCAATAAAAGGTGTCAAATAGCATGAGCTCACAGCTGAAAATATGAATTGTGAAATTGTAATTACAGTTTGGAGTAAATAGCGATTTTTTTCTCACCTTGTGTTTTGGAATTGGTCGTAAATGGCCGACATTCCGTAGCCCCCACGCTCGCTGATTATCACCGCACTCCACCAATTCCCAAACCTTTTCTCGGCGACTTGCTTCATATGCCTAAATTGTGAAGGATTAGAAAAATTAGTTCAATGGGAATCGAGTTATATTACACTTGATCAGATGGTCTAAAATAAGGAAAATCAGCTTACTTGGCTTGATAACTGTACTGATGAGGGTAAAGGCCAACAGTTTCTAGTATAATCTCCCGTAATTTATCCGATTTGCAGTTGTCGTCTGAAATTGAATTCAATTTTTGAAATTTTTTGGCAGTTTTTTTGAAATTTTGCACTATTTTTTAAGGTTTTTGTTAAAAATTTTGAAACTTTCAAGAATTTTAGTTGCCTTTGTACTGTAAGGAACTTGGTTTGCTATGCCTTTCTGATTTCTGCAAATATTTTACTAGTAAACAAATGAAGTTCATGCTTCCCACACCACGGTTTCCGGCAGACCAACGAAAAAACAAAAATAATTGGAATAGTTCAACCTTTTCCGACTGTAAAGACCTGACTGTAAAAAGTTCTCCGGAAATGGAGCTTTAATTTCTTTCCCCCCGGATCAATTACCGGAACGGAAAGAGCAGTAATATTGATGTTGTTGGGAAAAAAGATGTAGATTGTAAGGAAAGAAGGGAAGATAAAAGTGTACAATAAATGAATGTTGTATTTTAAGACTACTAGGAGAGTTTTGGATAGGTTTTGGAAGATTTTTTTTTGAAATTGCAAAGAATTTGAAAATTTTTGATGTCAAGTATAATATACGGATTTTGATAAAAGTTGTGGAAAATGATGGGTAGAGTGTGGTAACATACCTGGAGAAGTTTTATGGTGCATTTTGCAAAAGGTATTGAGATATGAGATTTTTTGAAAAATATTGTTTAACGAAAAATGAGTGTTTTCTTCGGTGAAAACCTTGTTTTCCAGTATGTTATAGTGTAAAATGTTGTTTGGTCTCACCGAAAAAACTTTCTCAGATTTTTCTCTTCCGCAGAAACTGTTGAAAAATTAGCAAATCGGAAGCGCTTTCTCTAATTTTCTCTCGCTTTTGGTTCATTTCTCACCTGCAAAGGAAATGAGATCACCAAAAAAAGTGTTCGCACGCTCAGCTTAATTTCCGGTGAGCCGACACACTTTTCTCCCCCCTTCCATCAATCATCGATTAACGCACGAAAGGCAGAGTACAGTACAAAAAATATATGTCTGGAGAATTACGGTACTTATTTTGCGTTTTCCGAATTTCTTGGATTCATAGAAAAAATTCCTGGCGCCACTGAAATATTTAGTTTAATTGACAAGTCGCTAATTATGTTATCTATGTGTTGATGTGAAGAGAAGTCCCCGCGCTCTAATCGACCGTGAAGTTTGGTCTACTGTAGTGGGGGGAGAGATGGTCATAAGTTGGATTTGAATTAGCGGAAGCGTTAGTAAGAGTTTAGTGATTTCTGATTCTCAATGGTCGAAATTGCGGGGACAAGTCAAAGGGTTGCGATGATAATGAATGAACAGAAAGCATAATACGACAAAAGGTCGATGAAGAGATCAAGGAGACTCCAATTTGATATCGAAAGGTATCATAGAGAGATTTACATTAATGTCTCTGTGATACCTTTCGATATCAAATTGGAGTCTCCTTGATCTCGCGTTGGTAAGAGTTTAGTGATTTATTTCAAAAATTGAAACAACTAAACATCCATAAAGAGATCAAGGAGATTCCAATCTGATATCGAAAGGTATCATAGAGAGATTACGTTAATGTTTCTGTGACAAGCTGCGTTGGGATGTAGCCTGACTACGTCGCTACGCGACTCGTCAGCCTACATTCCCAACGCGGGTGTGCGCGCAAAGCGCCACCTAATTAGCCTAAGCCTAAGCAGCCTAAGCGGCTAAGCAAACTAAGCCTAAGCGGCTAAGCAGCCTAAGCAAACTAAGCCTGAGCTAAGCCTACGCAGCCTAAGCGGCTAAGCAAACTAAGCCTATGCGCTAAGCACCGCGCAGTGCACCTTATCAACTCACAGTGCATCTTTTCACCGCACAGTGCACTCGCGAAAACCCGGAGAAAATAAAAAAATTTCGAACCCGCGCGAACCCAACCGATATCGCCCTCGGAAAAATACTGGGACCCGAAATCGACGAGAAAGCTAAAGAAATTTTTGCTCTCTCACGAAAATGGAAAATCAACTTTTGCCACGCCCCTTTTTCCACGTTGCGACACGGTTTGCACAGTGCAATCTTGCCAAACGAAGCCTTTCCCAATTTGCACCGTGCGAAATTTGTTGGCGGAGTGTCGCAAAAGATTTTGCAGACACTCCCCTTCGAAACCTGAAATTTGGAAAAATTTGCACGGTGCAATCAACAAAAAAGCCTACGTTCGTAGGCTTTTTTTCATTTTGCACAGTGCGAAAAACACCCTCCAAACGTTTTTCCCAGGCCCCCTTTTGATTTTCCCACTTTCCCCCCAGACGCACCGTGCACTCTGCATTTTACCCAATGAGCTAGGCTTTTTCTCAATTTGCACAGTGCGAATCCCAATTTTGGCTTTGTCGCTGCGCGAATTTTGGCTTTGTCGCTGCGCGACAAAGCAAAAATCCGCACAGTGCACCCTTTCGAAAGTGTTTTTGCACAGTGCGGAGCCCCCGCGCTCGGTCCCTTTTTGATTCCGAGAGAGCCACCCATGGCGCAGTGGGTAGCGCGGAAGTCTGGCAATCTGAAGTCCCCGGAGGTTCAATCCCCGGAAAAAAAATTCTACCACGTTGTAGTACAATTAGAGGGCCGTCATATTTTGGGTTTTTTACCCAAAAGTTTTGACTTTTTCGGGGTGAAATAATTAATGGAAAATTTGGCCAGAATTAAATTCGGCCAGACCGTATTTTAGAAAAATATGCAGATTTTTACACTTATCCTGATCGAGTTTTCAATTTCCGAACGATTGAGCCAGGTCCCGTCTTCGTATCTCTACTCGTTCAAAAGTTACGGTACTTTTTATGTTTACGATGTTACAGTAACCCGGTTTCAAGAAATGGCGGAAACGCGTCGACTAATGTTTTGAAGAGCTATTTAAACACAGTAGAATGATTTTTGAGGCGGGTGGATACGATCAAAATTGACCGAGATACTGTAACTTTAAGCCAGACACCTTGTTACAGTAATCCCTCGTGTAGCGACAGACCTGGAACCGTGAAATACACCTTGAAAGACGTGTAATGACGAGTACTACCAGTGCTGTGAATTTTGTCCGGCGCGATCGCGTCAACGCTGAGAAAATGGCGAAAAAGCGCCTTACGGCGCAGAAGCTACCGTAACCCACAGTAAGCCGAAAAAAATCGGCGAGATAGGAGGACTATGATACCACTTCTGATGGTGATTTTTCACGTAGATTCAGAATCTGGCATCAGAATTTGGAATTTCCTTCATCTACACCTGTAGCCTAAGGGTTGAAAAAATTGAAAATGTTATAGTAACCGTAGTTTTGAATTTACATGAAAGAATCCAATTAGAAAGTTTGAAAGGAATAGAAAACACGTCCGATAAAGAAAGAATGGAACTCGGCGCTCGCTTCGCTCGCGAGATGTTTTTGAGTATGTCACAAAATCACTTCGCGAATTGTTTAGAACCGGGGACTGTAACCCGCCGTCCGAAAACCACTTCAGGCGCTTCCAAAAAACGCTCCGCAACTTTCCATGGCAGCGATTTTTGATTAAGGTCCTAGTTCCCGAGATACGAAAATCGGATTTTGGATTTGAAATCCGGATATAACCGATATGCAAATTTTTGTTCAAAAAGCATGTCAGATTTGGAGTCAGCGTGAAAAATGACCCACAGTGCATGAAGGAAACGTGTGGATAGCTGGCCGTTTTCATGTCGAATCGTTTTTGACTTTTTGGAACCTTCCAGTCCCGAGAGCCGCCCGCGATGGGGACGCGACCGCGTTATGTAGAAATTTCTGAAAATCTATTTGAAGTGTTTTGCAAGAGATCTATCGGAACGGGACCTGGCTAACTATCTTTAAAAAGCCGCAAAGGTGGCTCAAAAAAGGGGTACTTTTTAAAAAGTCGGTTTTTTGCAATTTTCAAAATGACACTCCAACTATGGTGAAAAAACGAGTACCATATTCAGGTGTAGAATTCCATTCCACGAATTCTGAAAAAAAAATCGGCAGCATAGCTCCAAAAAGAAAGGAGAAAACTCGATTTTTCAGTACCGACCGGTCGATAATGACAGCCACTAAAAAAAAGTCATTTGGGTATCACAAAGAGTAAAAAAAAGAATGTATGGAAAAAAAAGTGAAAAAAATTGAAGTTAAGAGGAAACGGTCAGAAGCCCTTAATGTAGAGGGGGCGCGGCGGAGCGCGGCTCCCGATACCTTTTGATATCAAATTGGAGTCTCATTGATCTTTCGTTGGTGAGAGTTTAGTGATTTATTTTAAAAATTGAAAATGAGGAGACAAGGGAAAGGGTTTGTGATGAAAAATATTGAACAGAAAATGCAATACGACTAAACATCCATAAAGAGGTCAAGGAGACTCCAATTTGATATCAAAAGGTATCACAATGACATTGCCATTTATGTCTCTGTGATACCTTTTGATATCAAATTGGAATCTCATTGATTTTGCGTTGATAAGGCCAAAAATTGAAACTGAGGAGACAAGAGGTATCGATGGAGAGATCAACGAGACTCCGAATTGAATATCAAAAGGTATCACAGTGACATTTCCATTTATGTCTCTGTGATACCTTTTGATATCAATTGGGAGTCTCATTGATCTCTTTTTAGACCAAGTATCTTCTTTTTTGATGTAAGGCCCTTATGAGGCAACTCTGCCACCTTTTCTATACCCACAAAACTTACGTGCTGTCCGTTGGACGGTATACAACGGCATCAACAGAAGCACCAACAAATAAAGCCCCAAAAATGAGCACGATCTTATTGTCAGACGCCTTGGCATGCTAAAAAAATGATACTAGTCAATGACAAATTGTAAAACCGAGGAGTTTTCGGCGTAGAATGCGGATGTAAAAGGAGCCTCGGCAGTTGTTCAAAAAATAGAACATTCTTTTTCGATAGTATTAAAAGGCCATTTGTTACGTGAAGCAATACAATATATTATCAGAAAAGGCATACTTTGAGCCCGGGCGGAAGTGAGGAGGGGAGATTGGAGCTAGTGAGGAGTTTTGTGGGTATTTTTAGGAGGGTGATTTTGAATGTAAAGTGGTCAAAAAAAAGTTTATGTAATTCTGGTAGGCTGGATTGGTAAATCAGTATGCAGATGTGTTAAACAGAGAAGTCATGTGTCATATCTAATAAATAATGAAAAAATTTCTTTTGAGCTGCTTCAGCTCGAAAACAGGTAAATTAGAACCCATTAGGTCTCAATTTGAGCCTCATCATGAAAAAAGAAGGTCTTGGATGTCATTTACAAGCTTTCAGTAGTATATTTTGAGCTGGTGAAGGTTCCAAATCACCTCCTCAGATCCCCTCAAAATATTACAGTAAGACCTAAAATCTCCTCCGGAAACACAAACGAAGAACAAAGTTTTCGCTAGTTCTTTGACTTTGCTCTATTTATTAGTTTGTAGTGGTCTCGAAAGCGCCGAGCGGCAACTCAAAAAGCGGCCGAAAAACAGTTTAATGCGATCGAATTACAAGCGTGACAGCAAAGGATTTACGTCAAACTTGTGGGAGGAATGGAATCCCGAACTTTCGGTCATTATTTACAGCGGAACTAAACATTTGCATAAATTCGAGAGCGAAAAAAAAGAGATAAAATTTGTTGCCGAAGTGAAAGGGAAATCAATTAGAGACCCGCAATAAAATTCGAATTTCCACGGATTCCAAACCCAAAAGACCTTCAGCGCCGATGATTTTAATGGATTTAGAAGAGCTGAAAAGACCCGGGCCTTCGGATTTTAGAATTTTACGGGTCTGTGTCGCGAGATTCGTCATTTTGGCGGTTTTTATGGATGAATTGGAGAGTTGCGAGTAATAGCTCAAAATCTGGCTCAAAAAAGAGAGTAAACAAAAATATCGAGAAAGACAAAAAATGAGCAAAAGTCCATGGAGTAAATCAAAAATAAATTGAAAATCTGGGTAACAAAGAGGTAATTGTAGTCTCGTTTTTAACCAAGGCTTTCGAAGCATTCATTTTGGGGCTCTCGGATACCTTTTGATACCAAATTTGATATTTCTTTGATGCCTTCTTGGGCCTTGTGATCGATTCCGTCGCAACAGTAAAGTAATAAAATTCGCCCATTAAATTTGTGTCCTGACACGAAAGCAATAAAATTTTGAAGACCATTTTATAAGTTATGAAGAATCAGCAAAGCTTGTTTTCAAAACCAAAAAAAATCTCGCATTCTAACTTTTCCCCTATCCCATTTCGCCCTGCCCGTTCGTTATATCCAGGTTAATCCCGGGTAACCCGGATATTATAAAAAACTTTCACACCTCGCCCAAAGCAGGCAACCTAGTGGAACGACCGATTAGGCGAATGTTTTTGGGCGCTATATGAAGCCCTCTTCCCGTTTTGCTATTATATAATCATCGCGCAATCGCTATAACTTTTTTGATTTTCATTGCACCTTTTTTTGTGTGAGTGAAAGTAAAAATTAAAGTCAAACAGAGGGTTCCGATGAATTTGCGAGTCAAACAAGGGTTAGATTAGTTTCTAAACGGTTGAAGAGGGTTTGAAAACAAATGGCATTGATAATTTGGGGGTTGAGTTGAAGAAAATCGGGTTTTTGGAGATGGAGGAAAAATAGAAGATTTTTGAGATTTTTGGGTTAGAAATTATGCAAGATAAAGTGTGAAGTACGGTAGACATTCATTCTTGCAATTTTTTATATACAGTGACGGACCTGATGCAGTTGCAAGACGTACCGTTTTGCATCCGGGAAGTATCAAAAAATGTTGCAAAATGTCTCCCTCTCCAAGTGAAAAAACTCCGATTTCAAAAGCGCGCCCTTCAAAGCGGAGTTTTTCAGTTGGAGAAGGAGGCATTTTGCAACATTTTTTGATACTTCCGGGAAGCAAAATGTTAGTTTTTGCCACTGGATCAGGTCCGGTGCACTGTGTATAAAAAAATTACAAGAGTGAGTGTCTAACGTACTTTACATTTTATTTCGCATAATTTCTAATCCAAGAAATTTCAAAAATATTCTTTTTTCCTCCATTTCCCCTAAAAACCCGATTTTCTTCAACTCAACCCCCAAATCATCAATGCCATTTGTTTTCAAACCCTCTTCAACTAGTGAGAAACTAATCTAACCCTTGTTTGACTCCCAAATTCGTCGGAACCCTCTGTTTGACTTTAACGGCACTGTAACCCTCAAAACATTATGTTACTTTAGGCTAAAGTTATATAAAACTGACAATTCTTGATAAAGTTCCCGTTTTTTGTCTGAATGCATGCAAATATGGAACCAGAAAGACTCAACCAGTAACAGTTCATCTGTTTCAGGTTTCGTCTTCTTCTGGGGATGGGTCTTTGTCATCTCCACCACGCTGGTCTTCTTCTTCAAACATGAAATTGACCATTCCGTCCCTTCCCAACAAGAAGCCCTCGAAGATCAGAGCGGTGAAGATGAACTGGAAGACGAAGTACATCTCGGAGTTTTTGAAACATACTCGGTACTCATGAAAATCCTGTGTTTGAAGCCTATGAGAACCATGGTTTTGGTCCTTTTGACGGCGAAGATCGCGTTTGCCGCAGCGGATTCAATGACGGACCTAAAGCTTATCAATGCAGGAATCACAACGGACAAAATTGCCTCAAGATCGATATTCTTGACTCCGCTGCAGATCATCTTGCCATGGCTGTTGGGAAAACAAACTGCTGGACCGAAGCCGTTGAATGTGTTTTTATGGGCATATCCTTATCGGTAAGAGTTGGAAATTTTTTGGGAGAGTAGTTTTAGGGCGTTGGAGGATATTTTGGGGATGGAAGTGATTGAATCGGTCAAAAATTACATTTGATTATACTACCTTGATATTGGTGTCGGATTTTTGACTGTTTTTTTTTTTTTTTTTCTTGCCTTTGTAAGGCCGTGAGAGGCATTTCAAGGAATTTTGGAGAGTTTAGAAGGGAATTGGGAGATTAGGTGGGCCAGGTTTTACCCTAATATTACAGTGGGGGACCTGATCCAGTGGCAAAAAACGTACCATTTTGCATCCGGGAAGTATCAAAAATGTGGCAAAATACCTCCCTCTCCAAGTAAAAAAGCTCCGATTTCAAAATCTCGCGAGGGAGATTTAAAAAAATTATTTTTGTGGGGGAAAAGGCCTTCAAAAAGAAGTTTTTTCACTTGGACAGGGAAGCATTTTGCCACATTTTTGATACTTCCCGGATGCAAAATGGTACGTTTTTTGCTACTGGATCAGGTTCACTGTAGATTAGGGTAATTTTTTGTAATTGTTTGCTCTCATGTTCTTTTATGAGCTAGTCCAACGTATTTTAAATCCTCCGTAGGAGCCTTTTGGCCATTTTTTCACTGATTTTCCTACTTTGCAGTTCATAATTTCGATCTTTTAGAATTTTCATGGGTGTCGTTTTTGCCGCTCTGGTTTATTGGACCCCATCATTCCGAGAAGACAACGGAGAGTACCCATACACTTACTATGTGATCTGGATTGGAGCCTACTATTTGCATCAAATCGCATCTTACTGTATTTTCCTCTCGATGATGGCTTTCAACGCCCAAATTTCGGACCCAAAAATTGGTGGAACTTATATGACCTTGTTGAATACACTCAACAATTTGGGAGGAAATTGGCCTGCAACGTTTGTTTTGTCAGTAACGGACTTTTTCAACAAGAAGAATTGCATTTCAACAGCGACAAAGTTGTAAGTTTGAAATTTGCGGGTTTTGGTCATGGTGAAGATAAATTTTGGTAAATTTTGGAAGTAAATGTGCCTTGCGGATAAGGAAGTGTATGGTAGTGGAATCTGGGATGAATAAGGGAGGTTTTGAGATGGAGCTTTTTTAAAAAAAGTATGAAAATTTTGCGATATGTGAGATTTTTGGATAACATGAAGGATAAAGTAAAATTGCCCATCATTTTGCGGAATATGATTAGATTTGACATATTGGGGGTGTTTTTGAACTCTCTAAGATGTCATATGACTAGACTGGGTTGGAATTTCATTACTCTAATTTTTGTAAAATGAGATTTTTTTCTATTTTTCGTCATCTAAAACAGTGGCCAAATTGAAGACGTTACCCGAAAAATAAAGCAGAGGGATGAAAACAAGATAATCTGGAATAAAGTACCCAATTATTAGAGATTACCATTACTCGAAGCGAATTTATTTTTGCTCAGTTATGTTATCCATGAAAATTTGATGACTAACTTAAATTTTGTTCAGAGTCATCAGCACTTGCACTCAAAAACATGAAGAAGACCAATGCAAAGCCGCCGGAAATGTTTGTGAATGGGAGATTGACGGCTATTACATCTCCTCGGCCATCTGCACAATCGTTGGCCTGATATGGTTCAAGATGTTCTACAACAGAATTCAGATGTTCCAAAAGATCCCACGATCGGAATGGCGGGTCATGAAAACCAAAAACTAGTCTTGAGATTATGTACAGCCAGTAATATTATAATAAAATGTCTATAGTTACTTATTATTTTGTTTTTGTTGTTCACTTCCTAGTCTGATTTCTTATGGCCAATATTTTTATCTATATATTGTAATGTAAGGAAGTCTGGATATGAGAAATGGTCTAAGGAACCGATATTCGAAGGTTTTGTAGCGAAAAATTAAGTTTATAACTGATTTTTATCAAAAATTTAGATAATTTTAGGGAATTTGCCTCTAAATTAGAGGTTTCATATCCAGATCTTCCGTTTGTAGCAATTTCCTTATAGTAAATTCTCTGTTTATGTAGTTTCCATACATATCACATCAATTTAGCGATGATCCGCGGCATTTTCGATATTATTTTAGACATCCGTTGGTATCAAGTGTAATATCTTAAAATTTGCTACCCCCGAAGGCCTGTATTTATTGTCCTTACAATATTCCGAAGCTAGCTTTATAACAATTCACTTATATGGTATGCCCCGTTCATTTACAATGTCGAAAATTTTTTTGGAAGACCTGGATTTATTACATTGTGCCAAGAGAAAATAAACACACAGACTTAATATGTATTAGTACTCCGGTAGAAACGTTGCAAGAGTAGTGAGACCATGGAAGAGGAGGAGGTTTGAGACATCAAGGGTAGGTGGGGTTACTGGTTGGCCTGCTCGCAGGCGTCGATCCAGTCCGAATATACGTCGATGGGCTCGGAAAGGTAGGTGATGTTGGTCTGGAAGTTCTCGGTGCAAATGCGACATTGGATGAAGCCAACGTTTCGGAGACGATCACTGGAATCAAACAATTTTACTCAAAAGAAGCGAATTTATATTTTTGATACCTAAAATCTTGATTGCAATGGATAATATGTAATTGAAAATGGAGCCTTCGAGGGCAATTTAGCATTCTAAACTTCGGTATAGGTATTATAGATCTAGCACGTCTTTCGCGGCCTTTTAATTCTCGAAAAAGCATGAAAACTTTGAAATTTTATCATTTGATATCTAGTCCAATATAATAAACTGGTCGAAACAATTGAAGCCAACGAAAAGATGTCTCCCAAGGTATTATTAGGAAGCTAAAGTGTAAACCTAACCGCCGCATTTCTATCGTTGAGAAAGTTTCCATAATTTTTGGATTTATATTATTTTAGGTATAAGATCCTCAGGTTTGGAAATTCCAGGTCCTAAACGACGCAGACAATCTCTTAATTTCCCTATCCTACTCCCAAACCTTTTCCAAAACCAAAATTACATTATTTCGCAACAAGAACTACCTAAAACGCCACCACGTGTCACAATTTCTCCAATTTTCATCCGAGTATCATGCGACCTAAACCAAGAAGAGCACAAAAACAAAACACAACTTACAGTTTGACTTCACAGACACGCTCGTGGTTGCAGAAGGGACAATTGAAGACTGTGTCAAGGGGAACAATGATCTTTGCCTTTGCCGGCGCTTTTCTACTCGACTTTTTCTTGGCCATGCCGCTGAAAATAATAGAAAAATCTTGAAAAAAATCCACGTAAAAAAGCGAAAAATCCACGATTTTTTCGCCAAAAATCCCACGAAAATCGACCAAAAACGCGGGGAAATCGACCGAAACCCCACTGGAAACGAAGGGAGCACGAGAAATGGGGAGAGCGGACACAGGGGAAGAGCAAAAACGAAGAACCGCCGCACGGCAACTCCACGGGCAGCTGGACTGAGGAGCCGGGGCCGGGCAGCGCTTTTATTCTCCTCACCGCCGTCGATTCTCCGCCCAAAATCTTTTTTTTTTCTCTCGTCTCCTTTGCGAGATTGCAAATGATAAACGAAAAAACTACGGAAATTATCATAAATGACGTCCCATCTCGGAAGCGGTGGGGTTTGAAGGGAATTGGGCCAAAACTAAAAACAAAAATTCGATATTTTAGGGGTTAGGGAGGGAAGTTCAAGGTCGGGGGAAAATTTTGGGTGAAAAAGAATTTTTATTTTTGGGGAAAATGGTCAATTCAGAGAAAGTATACCCTAAAAATTTTCTTCACAACACTTTCCCGCTTTTTACACAAGATTTCAGCCATTTCCGATCAAAAATATTGTTTTAGATGTCTAAAATCTGAATCAATGTAATTTCGAGTAAAAAAACAAGCTCTTCTTGACCGCATTGATCTCGTTGTACAATCTCCTTTCTATAAACTCCATTTATCATCGATTTCCATCAAAATCAAATTTTTTTTTATATTACACTAGATACCAAATAGCGACCAGACTAAAAAATAATCAAACAGGTCAAAAATCTCTCAAAATTTATTCTTTACATATATTCTAAATATCACACATAAATCGTGAAGCCAGACGGAATGAATAGACATTTATAGACATCAATCGTGAAAAGACGGGATTGGAACTGAAGAAAGACGGCCTAAAATCAAAAAATAAGAAGTGAAGACTGGGAATATGAAAAATTAGCGGCTAAAAAATGATAATAAAGTCATCGAGTTTAGAAGTCGTCGGGATTGAACATACCACGAGCTCGGTTCAGAATCGAGTCCTGAAATATTGATGTAGGTAAGAAAATTGGATTTTTTATGGAATCAATTGAATGTTTTGTAATTATCTAAGTGGAAACAGTTGCTAACTGAATTGGGGGAACTTTTGATAGTAAAATGCTGCAATTCCTAGAAGGATCACCGAAGTGTTCGATCAAATTAACATTCATGTACTAAAGTAATGTCGGAAATTGGAGTTTCAACGAACTCTTTGCGCTTTTTGCGGGTTAAAATCCTCCTGGTAGCATCTTACAGCCATTTACCTCGTTTCTAAATACCGGAAGCAGCGAAATAATAAAAATCTCACCTTGGCCGGATCATACGGCATTTCCTTTGATGGAATCTCCAAAACAGCCGGAGTCGAGGCTGTATGTTGATCAACAGTAAATCGAATAAGCTCGGCGACGTGTTGGTTGATCAGCACAATGGCGATATCGTCTCTGCTGACAAAGTTCTTGAAGGTCTCTTCAATTTCGGTAGTAGTCGTGTTCTTGTCAACAATAAAATAGTTTGGCTTCCGGGCTTTGTTCAGCTGACCAATTCCACCTAACATAAAGCCAACAACGGTGTCTTCGTCTCCAATGACGGCCAAAAGTTTTCCTCGTTGAGATGAATGCGCCATGTTTTAGACCTAAAGAAAAAATTTTGCCTATAACAATATAAATCAATATTCTCGATGAAAAGTAAACAAAAAATTGATAAATTTGAATGAAAACACGTTGAAAACGAACGTCAACATCAGAAGCCGAAAAGTTTTTATTCTGATCTTCGATTCTCGATGTGCAACAGAATGCCAAACCAAAAATTGATGTTTGTTTTCGTGGTGGGACTCAAAATCAAAGTAGATGAAAAACGAAATAACTAAACTGAAGGTTTATTTGTGATAAAATTACACTTCAAATATCTCTAAAATGTTTATTAATAAATAGTTGAGGCATTAAAATCAATTGATATCCGGCTCGCTAACTGGTAATGTCACAGTTGACGAAAATATTGGCTGTTTCCACTTTTCTCGAATCATTAGGACCTTCAATTCGGAAGTGGCTTGTTTCTCCGGGTATAAACAAGTGATATGCGTTGAGAACTTCATTCTCACACCAATCGGAAGGACGTCAGGGAGAATTATCATGTTATTTTTGATAGTATACTCGTTTCTGTCGAAAATAAAAGTGATAACTCGTCGGGCTGATGGTAGTTCTCTGAAATTTGAGGTGATTGTGATTGCTAGAGGCGTAGGGAAGATTTTGAGACAGTTTTACATAGGTTTACTCACTTATTTCCGGCCACATTGACAATAACTTTAAAAATTGGGCCAAATCCAAGTAGTTCAACGTTAAAATCGATTGGTTCTACATCCCTTGAGGGCAATAATCCAGTCTCTCCTGATTGTAAAGCCGCGAAGGTCTTTACAGTATTATATTTCAGCATGAAAAGGTCTCGTTGATAGATCTAAGTAAAGGCAAAAAATTTCAAAATTACATTGCTTTAGTCATCAAAATTGGTTTTTGTAAAATACAGGTTAGTTTCTCTGTATATTACCTTATGAAGCCTTTGTGGATTATCTCTCTCCCTCAACGATTGATCTATGAAGGCTTTTGTTCTTCTTGGTACATTTAGTTTTTGGTTTTGAGCGGCCGGAGGGCCTAAAACATGTGCCCGTTCCTCCAAAGTTGCTGTTCTCCGGAAGATCTTCGCATACAAGCCTCCGCTGGCTGTACCGAACAGTAAAACACCCTCTTCACGGCCCAATTTTCCAAATCGAAGCCATGAGACGGCCTCATCAACCTTGACTACATCCACCAAAAACATCTCAACATATAAGCGGATTTCGTTTTGAATAGCGACCAGGACTCCCTTATATTGGCGCGGTTCGTAATGAAAAGTCTCAATATCGTGGATTGGACTCTCTAGTTGGATTTCGTTGAGGCATTTGCCACGAATACTGTAGAACATTAGACGGTGGTCTCGAGTTGAGAAGACTAACTGAAATTTTGATTTTATGGGAAAAGTATCGTAAATATTTACTTTTATAACTTCAAATTTCGACCTCAAAATCTAGATATAAGTTGGTAGTTGTCATCAAAAATTTGAGGGTAAAAATTCTTAACTTTTCCTTACCTGGTTCACCGAATAAGCCATGCAGATTGGTTGATTTCTCAAGTAAAACACATGCTGGGTGAGTCCACTCTTCCCTGACTTCTTCAAAATCACCACATCCCCTTCTCGACAGACCACAAATGTTCGATATTCCACATCGAACAATCCCAACGTGCTGATCAGATCTGGGGCCTGTTTTAGCTTCACCTTTTCGAGCAGAGTGAAGGCCTGAAGGTAAAATACGAAAGAAAAATGTGGAAAAACTTTGATTTCAAAAGCGCGCTCTTCAAAACGGAGTTTTTTAGCCAGAAGGAGGCATTTTGCTGCATTTTCTGATACCTCCCGGATGCAAAATGGTACGTTTTTTGCCACTGGATCAGGTAGCACTTCTTTCGATTTTTTTTTCATTTTGAAAACTCCCTTTTTTAACAAAAAAAATCTTTTTTCTCACCTGTGTGTCCACCCAATAAACTCCTCCCATCTCCGCCGCCGCTACCAGCACATCCACTCCATCCGGCTTTTGTTGATTCCTCTTCATCGTTGTCATACAAGTCAACCGCACATTTGTGAAATTCAAATCCTCCAGGCCTTTCCTCACCCTCTCCAACAAGTTCTGTCTAGCCGAGTCGGATTTTTGCCCCATAAATTGCTGAGTAATGTCGGTCAAACAGTCCATTCCAACGTCTTTCAAACACTCTTTCAGGCCCTCCTTCAACGTCTCAACGGACATTTGCTCGTTGTGTTTGGCGGCTTCCCATATGTGGATTTCCGGGGGATGGAGGAACTCTTGAGGAACGGCGAACCGATAGAACGGCTTCATGTTGCGGTAGATGAGGATGCCGTTCCCGGAGGCGACCGCAATGCAAGGGCTTTGACCCTGAAAAAGATGATTTTTATAGGTGTGGGTTAGAATTTGCTGGCATGCGATGAATGAGGTGTTAGTGGTGATTGAAAATATCTCCATAAAAAATACTCATTTCTACTAGAGGTCAACACTTCAACAAAAAAAAATCATTTTTTCAACACGAAAATGACAAAGATACGACGAAATAGCGTTTTTCCTCTAACCGGTCTCTCCATTTCGCCTACTCTCTCGGCGAAATAGGCCGTCAAATATGGTCGTCTACAAAGCTCGAGCTAAAATTTTTCAAAAATTGATTTGTGGCGTGACAAACGCTTATATAAAAATTTATGGCTTCCAAACGCGGTAAAACCTCCTTTCTACAAACCTGTTTTATAACGAAATAAGTCTTTTACTCTATTGCAATTTACTGTAAGAGGTTTGACGGTATGCAAAAATCCTTACCGACTCCGAATAAAACGTGACAATTGCTGCAGGTCGATCACTCAAAGTCGTCTGAGTTTGAGGAGTCAACCCGAAATACAACACCATTTTTGGCGGAGGTTGTTTTTCATCCACCAGTATCAATTTATAATCTCCATCCGAGTGAACATCACCAATTGTAATACAAGATTTGGTGGTTTGAACTCCCGCCAACGGCTCGTACAACGCTCGAAGCCAACGTTTTTGTGAGCGCATATCTGGAAATTGGAAGAAAATTTAACAAAAATCCTCTCAAATCTCTCTTTTATGAAGTTACTGAGGTTACAATTTCCACATAAAGCCCTCACCTCCGAACCTGTTACTCGATTGCATCTTGAAGTTCCGAAGTTTGTAGTTATCCCCAATTATAGCGGAGATAATGGAGATGATTAGAGCGGGGTATTACATCCGCTGTTTTCGTTTCCGACCGCTTTTGGAAAGTCTCCATGGCAACGCTCCGAGGAGAATGGGAACGTCAGCAATGGCGGCGACATTCCACATTTGATATGTTTGGCTCTTTGTTTAATGAAACTTTGAGGTGTAAATTGAAATTTGAGATTTTAAAATTGGAGATCTGTGAATCGAATTGTCACATTAAAGTCTGTCGGAAAAATAATGAGCACAATGTCGCTGCGCCGATCGTGTCGTTGAAATGAAAAGCAATTTGATTTTGCCGCGACAATTCATGTTCTTGGGGGTGATTCTATTTTTCGATGCGACAGAGAGCTCATTATTTTCCCGACAGACTGATAGCTCGGAGATTTTTATTGGAAAGAACTCTTATATTGAGATACCTTTATTTGATGAGAAAGAGAACCGTTCGAAGTGCGATGCCCAGGTTTCTTTTGAGATTTTGTCACATTGACTTTGTCTAGGTGTGTTATTTCTTGAAAATTTTAGCTTTCTCTTTGTAGAAACAGCCGAGATATCTCGGAATTTTTGTGGGCAAGATGGTATACGAAACGCGGAGAGCGGTCAAAGAAGATAACGTTTATGGTCGGTATAGAGCAGAAAGAATTAATTGTTTCTTTTGTCGAGATGTTGCAACAGGTGAAACTTTTTGTACCTACATATAGAAACGCAACTGTAACTTTCCCAAAACTTACAAAAAAATGTAAAATTAGAACCAATCCTAGACCCAAATTTCTCTATTCTTCCTGCTGATCACGACCTCAGAATTCCTCACTGGCCGTAGCAAAACGTACACTTAATTTTACGATACGTTTCACTCACACTTTACTTATATTTTTTGAGCCGCATTTTTAAAACGCTCCTTGGGTAACTAGTCCTTCCGGAAAGTCGCCGGACTGAAATCGGCGATACGCACTGTGCGAAAACAAAACTTTTCTTTGCACTGTGCAATTTCTTGTTTTTGGCACGGTGCAATAGGCTATTTTCGGCTGTCGTTTGCACGATTTTTTCGTACAGTGCAAGCGCCGAAAATCAGTCCAGCGGCTTTCCGGAAGGACCACTAGTAACCCAAAAATCATTTTTCCCCTAACAATAAGTTATGTTGTTATTTCGATGAGCTGAAAAAATAATGCCACAATGACGTATTTTGCGTCATTCTCATCTCACTTTGTTCGGGTCTCGCTTCATTTACGTGGACGTTCCGCTTCATTACGTGTAAAATATAGTCCTTAATATTCCAAAAGGGGCCCTGTCATCCGCACGATTCGCAGCTGTAAACCGAGAATCCGCTAATTTCGTGTTTGCGTAGCCGGAACGCCATTCCGCCCATCTCCGGATGGCCAAATGTGAATTGGCTTCATTTGGCGACGACGGAAATCTTTGGCAAAAGCATCAAAAGAAAACGTTTTTATTCTCCTTTTTTCAGTCGCCCCATGTACATGGACACTTCATAACGTATTCCGTCTTCGGATTGGGCCATTTGAATGATGTTGGGTATGGAGAAGTGCCTGAGGGGATGTCAGCTGGGGATTTTTTGTTCGATACATTTTTTTATGAATTTTTGAGAACATAAGAAAGTTTTTGTGCAAAGAGTTAGTAAAAAATCTGCCTATAGGGGAAATATAGAATGATTTTGAAGAATGATGACTTACAGTTGCAGATATCAGTTTGTCGGGAAAATAGAAAATATGTAATGAGCACTTTGTCGCATCGAAAATCGCATCGTCGCCGAGAAACTGAATTATTTCGCGGCAAAATCAAATTTCTTTTCAATCTGGCAGCGCGATATAGCGAAATTTTGCTCATTATTTTCCCGACAGACTGATAGATCATTTTGAGGTAAGCTCTTTTATAGTACGAATGCTCAATGTGGGACGCTCGGATTTTGATGAAATCTGGCACAAATTTAGCTTATTATTGTCTAAAGCGTATTTGAGATTTTTAGCTCGCGCTTTGCAGAAACCACCATGATTTTTAAGCCCAAAACTGGCAAAAATTCGACGTCTTGTCTTATTTTCGACAGTCGGTAAAATATTTTTTGCTGACATAGATTTACAGATTCAATCTCTTCAAAAAAATAATATTTTATTTTATTATAATACATTTTCATGACCATTTTTTGGCTTCTTGGAAATCGTGACTTTTAGCTAATTGAATTCTTTTGCAAAACTGTCCAAATACTTCCTTATTTGGATACCAAGAAAAATTATCTTTGCATTTTTGGTTATCAATTTTTCCCCAGAAAAGGTTTTTTTAAACGTTGTGCTGTAAATTTCAACCAGCTAGCTATATATTTTCAATCCAAACATTTTTTTCAAAATACCAAAACTTTTTTTTTCGCAAATTTCGACTTGAAAATCTCGCTGATTTCTGCAAAATACGAGCTAGGAATCTTACATAAGTCATAAAAAATTTAAGCGTTATTTCAACCAAGTTTGATTAAAATTTCCGAAAGTAATTTTTTTTGCACTTTTTCGGCCAACTTCCTGCCAAAATGACGTCATTCCCAACCCATCTCCCCATGAAGTAATTTGCAAAAACTTCCGTTCCCACATCCCTTCCCCAAATAGAAGAGCCCTCAAATTTCAGTGTTCCCCATCTCGTAATTAATCAAGTCCATGTTTTTCGGGCCCTACATTTTTAATCCGAAGGATCTCATTCATAATATTTTCCCTCCGAAACGAATTCCCACTTTTTTTATTTAAATTCTGGCCCCAATAGGGCCCTAAGTTCCACGTCTCGTCGCTCGCTTTTTTCCTCGAGCAAACAGCGAGACATCACGTTACTCGGATGGGGATTATTGAGGAGGCATGGCAAGAGAAAGCCGGAAAATGGGGGTTATCAGGAGGAGGGGGAAAATTGGGGGTTTGGAGGGATTTTGAGGGAGATTTGGGGGGATTTCAATTTGACGTTGTTGCTTGTACGGCCATACGTACATTTTTTGACAATTTTTTTATTTTTTTTGTTGCTAGATAACAAAGAGCCGAAAATTTTGAAAACAAAGGAGCTTGTTAAAAAATACAGAAAACCTGTCATTATGGCATGTTTTATTTTTTCAGAGACCTCATGAGGTACCCAGAATACTTCTTGAGATTTTACAAGCCAAGTCTTTTTTTCTCTGACCGCCTATCCTGAGTTTCCACTATCTCTCACTCTCTCGTCTGCTAGGGTCGTTATTCAAAATGGGCTATAAAACATGAGCTAAAATTTTCAGAATTTGATAAGCAACGTAGCTAGGCTGTCCTCGCAAATTTTTGGATCAAAACTCCCCCTAAAATCCGAAAAATTTCATTTTGAAAAATCTCAAAAAATCTAAATTTTTTTGCTCCAAAATCGAGCAATTTTTTGTTGAACCCCTTAGCCCAATTTTTCATTGTCATCTTCTCTTTCTTCTGCCTAATATTACTCAACACCGGCGCCCTCACGCTTCACCGGGTTTTGTCAAAAAAGCGCACAGTGCTCGCGGCCCCCCAAAAAAGACCTCCGGGCCCCGAGGCCTTTTGCTTTTTCCCCTAAGGGCGCGGCGCCGCCCGAGTTCTTCTTTTTGCCATTCTTTTGCGCGTTTTTTAAAAGTTTCGATTTTTCGATTTCCTATAAGACACTCCGCCGCGGAAGGGCCGGCCTCGGGGCTTTTGGCCGCAGGGCCCTTAAACGTTTAGAGATTTTCCGCGAATTTTTTTTCCGCCGCCGCCGCCATCTTCCGGGCGGGGGTCGTCGGCGAGATTTGTGGGAGACGGGGGGATTGGCAGGGTTGTGGGATCCTTATCTGGGGAGCAATCGTTGGCCAGTGTAATTTGATTATTTATATTGCAGTAGAATGGGGACAAAGAGAGGTAAACAGGGCACTTTATCTACTGAGGAAGTGAGCCAAGTGCGACGTTCAGATTTTGTGTTCAAATTTTATGAAATCATTCTGAGCAGACGACAGAATATTCATAAAAATTTAGTTTGTGCTTACAGAGGGTACTTTTTTTGCGATAGCTTTGCGAATTTCGTGTGGAAAGGTTAATTTTTCGGGTAGCGCTGTTCATTTAGACCTCAATTTTTCAATCATCGCGAAACGGGTAGATTTTTAGACCACTTTCAAATAAAATACTAGTCGCGGAAAAAGGTCCTGGGAATTTCTCGCGGCCCCCAAACTCCGTCGCGCTCCGAAAAGTTGATTTGTCGCGGGAATCGCGCGCGACAACAAGGCAAAATCAACAAAATTGCACTGTGCAAAAGCACTTTTCGGGTTCATGCACAGTGCAGAGTCGCTGAAAATTCCCAGGACTTTTTTCCGCGACTAGTATCATGATTGTTTTTGCCAAGCGATGACTAAAACTCTCCTTTATGTGTGGGAATTGAAGCCAAATTTGCCAAATTTGTCTCAGCGTCGCGTCTGGAACATTGTCTTTGTAAAAAAAAACGTTTTTTGTACTTTTTCTCTGATCCCTCACTGCAGAAAATGCGGGTACTTTGAAATATTTTATTCTTGTCTCCAAAACTTCCCTCATAAATTCCCTCGTCATGAAAAACCAAAAAAAAAAAACACTTCTCATTCTCGTTCAAACCGCTCTCTGGAAACGAACAAACCCATTAGGAATTCAGATTTATATTTATACGATTATGTCTTTCCAATGCGGATGATATGCAGCTTTCCTCCGATGTTTTGAACCATCAAGGTCTTGTTTTTGCCCATGTCAGCCTTACTATTCATTCACTTTATCCTAAATTTTATTTCTCACGGCGCAGCGCTCATTACATTGCACTTGGCATGTCTGACAAAACAGGTGATAATTGCTAGTCAAGTATAAATCCATTTTTTTCGAGGGTATTTGCTAGTTTATTAGACTGTGTTTTACGAAAAACTCGACATTTTTTAGTCCAAAAAATGGTGACAATTCGATAATTTTTTGCAAAGTTATGCATGAAAATCTTTTGTGTCTATCAAGAAGTGCAAAGTTTTGACAAAAAATCACATTTTTCGCGTATCAGAAATAAGGAAAAAAAGCGTTTCCCTCTTTTTCCGCCCTCTGCTTTTCGCGTACTCTCGTATCTGCAAAGATCGCAGAATATCTTGGCTATCTCTGCAAACCGTGAGCTAAAATTTTCAGGGTTTGAAATGTAGCCTAGCCAGAAAATGTGTACTCACAGGGGAAGTACTCCAAGTGCGACGCTCAGATTTTGATGAAACTTGGCACAAATTTAGAATAATTTTTTCTAAGAAATATGCGAGAATCCTAGCTCGCGCTTAGCAGAAAAAACCGAGATTTTTAGATCGAAAGTTGGCGAAAATTTAGGACTTTTTGCCGAATTTCGGCACGAAAAGTTTCATGCCTATTTCTACCGTAAAAGATAATGTTTCTACAAAAAATCAATTTTTTCCGCACGACACTGTCAAAGTTATGGCCAAAAAGCCGGTTTCTCTCTGACCGCTCTCCACGTTTAGCGTGCTCTCTCGGCGGCAAAAATCGTTCAATATCTCGGCGGCGCCCGCAAAGCGCGAGCTAAAACTGTCAGGAATTGATATTTATTCCATACCCGACGTGTGTGTAAAATTTAAAGAAAATCTGAGCGTCGCACTTGGAGTACTTCCCCTGTCAGAAATCTGAGCATCACATTTTTATCACTTCAAAACATAAACTTGAACATTTTTTTGGCCTCGCTTCCCAAAAAAAAATTATTTTTCTTTGACCGAAAACCCTTTGCTGACCTCTTTTCCCAGTTTAGTCATGTTGTTATTGTTTTCCGCACAGACACCAAAGCGCATTTAGTCCCAAAAACTTTGCCTCCTTTTTGGTTAAACTCGATTTATTCAGGCAAAGTAGTTCGGTTCGTTTTGACTCCTTTCTGATGGGAATTCCCTCTCCGCGGCACATGCACTTTCGCTAAATGTAAATAGTTCGCCTTGTAATGCTATGTCCAGAGGATTGTCTTACATTTTTTCAGGTTCAGGAATCAACGAATCCAGTGTCAATAACAACAAACAAGGCCCCCGAAAAGCGTCGGTAATTCTGTTGGGTCCAAAACACACCCATTGCGTTGTTTGGTAAGTGGAATATAAATGAGGCGGTATTTTGAGGAATAAAATGGAGTATTTCCAAAAATTTGAGGGAATAGAAAAGCGAGGGTGTTCTAATAACTGTTTTAGAGACTTTGACGAAATTTGGCAAAAAATAGGAAAGGAAAACGTAAAAGCTGGATGAAAATGGAAAACAGAGCTACTGAATTCAACCGAATAGCAATTTAGACCTTTTTCGCGGTGAAATATTTATTAGGTCGTCCAGAAAGTTCGTTCGTTTTTTCATTGCTTTGTTTTACAAGGATTGTTTGTTCTTTGGCAAACGGAATATATGTATTTGATACAGCTTTTTCTCCTCTACAAAACTGGCTGTATCAAATAAATATATACCCTTTTCCAAAGAACAAACAATCGTCGTAAAACAAAGCAATAAAGAAAAAACAAACGAACTTTCTGGACGACCTAATATTTGAATTCACAAGGGAAGTACCCCAAGTGCGACGCTCAGATTTTCTTTAAATTTTGCGCACACGTCGGTCATGGACTAAGTATCAGTTCCTGCAAGTTTTACCTCGCGATTTGCAAACGCCGCCGAGATATTGAACCATCTTTGCCGCTGAGAGAGAACGCTAAACGCGGAGAGTGAGAAACATCTTTTGGCCACAACTTTACTAGTTTCATGCGGAAAAAATTGATTTTTTTTTTGGAAAAATTACCCTCTATGGCAGAAATAGACATGATACTTTTCGTGCCGAAATTCGGCAAAAAGTGTCGAATTTTCGCCAACTTTCGATCGAAGAATCTCGGTTGTTTCTACTAGTCCGTTCGTAAAGTCGCTGGAATGTTTTCGGCGACATGCACTCCGCGAAACCGAAAGTTCAGTTTGCACTGTGCAATTTTTGGCTTTTTGCACAGTGCAATAGGCTTTTTCGGGCTGTCGCCCGCACCCTGAGTTTTTTTGCACAGTGCACGTCGCCGAAATAATTCCAGCGACTTTACGAACGGACTAGTACAAAGCGCGAGCTAGGATTCTCGCATATATTTTAGAAAAAATAAATGAAACTTGGCACTAAATTTGTGCCAAGTTTCATCAAAATCTGAGCGTCGCACTTGGGGTACCTCCCCTGTCAATTTTAATTTTGATTTTCGCCGATTCCTCAAAATTCTGGCCCATGAAGACAGTAGTTTCCGATGGAAATATTGTCATCACCATTTCAAAAAAGATTCATCTGGAAAACCTTGACAAAAGTTCAAATCCCAAAATGGTCATTTAATACTGCTCACGGCTCTAATTTCTACTTTTAAAAAGTTTTATCATCACGATGTCATGAAAAACATTTTTTTTCTTTTTCAAAATTCCACCCAAAATAATACCCATTATTTTCTAGATCATTCCACTGCCATAATATTATCAACCCTCTCACAAATCCTCCCAAAAACATATATAAACCATGGCCCAACCAGCGACCAGCGGGGCCGGGAATGCCCAACAGCCCGATCAGAACTTTGACTACATGTTCAAATTGCTGATTATTGGCAATTCGTCGGTCGGGAAGACGTCCTTTTTGTTCCGTTATTGCGACGATTCCTTCACTTCGGCGTTCGTTTCGACGGTCGGCATTGACTTCAAGGTGAAGACCGTCTTTCGAGGAGACAAACGCGTCAAACTTCAGATTTGGGTGAGTTTTTGGCGATGCTTTGGGTTTAGAGGAGCAAAAGTGGGGCAAAAATGGCAAGATTTAAATTGTAAAATACGGAAATTCTGATTTAAAAAGCATGCATTTTGATATTTTTTTGAGCCGCAAAAATATCTATTACAGTGGCGGATATGATCCAGTGGCAAAAACGTACCATTTTACATCCAGGAAGTATCAAAAATGTGGCAAAATACCTCCCTCTCCAAGTGAAAAATCTCCGATTTCACAAGGAAAGTACTTTTATGGGGGCTCCTACTTTTTGACGGGACATATCTCAAAAAATCAGAAAAAATGTGCTGATCAAGGATATATAGATCTTAGCTGCCCATTTTAGGTTTTTAGGGGTGAAAACTCAATCTGAAGTTGACTTAAAGTACTATATAAACCCCTTTTCGCTTAATTTTTCACAGGTTTACAATTGATTTTCTAAGACGTAATAAATCAGTCTTGGCCCAAAAATTTGTTTTTCCAACCTTCAACTTCAAAAAAAGTTGATTCAGCCCAAAAAAGAAATCGAACTCGTGCGGCGTCCTCCCTCTTGATTCCCAGGCTACGGCACTAACCACTCGGCCACACCGCTCTCTTCCGAAGGAAGAGACCGACTGCGCTTTTTATCGTTTCGAATGCCTGCGCCTTTTGTAGGGAAATTAGGCCAGTTTTTGGGCATTTTCACCCCTAAAAACCTAAAATGGGCAGCTAAGATTTATATATCCTTGATCAGCACATTTTTTCTGATTTTTTGAGATATGTCCCGTCAAAAAGTAGGAGCCCCCATAAAAGTACTTTCCTTATCAAAAGCTCTTTTTGTGAGGAAAAAGGGCGCGCCCTTCAAAAAACGAAGTTTTTTCACTTGGAAAGAAAGGTATTTTGCCACATTTTTTGATACTTCCCGGATGCAAAATGGTACGTTTTTTACCACCGGATCACTGAAGAACCTTGTAAACATTTTTTGAGATTCTTAGTTCGCGCTTTGCAGAAACCACCAAGATTTTTTGGTCGAAATTTGATAAAAATATTTTTTTTTTTGAGATTTTGCAAAAAATTTTGGCTTGAAAATATAAATAACTGGTTTAATTTCACATTTTTCAACAAAAAACATAATTTTTTCAGAGAAAAAATCGATAAGCAATAGTTTTTAAATATTTTTTAAAGCGATTTTTTTCACAATCTTTTCAAATTTTTTTTTCATTTTTCAATTTTAGGATACCGCCGGTCAAGAGCGTTACCGTACGATCACCACGGCCTACTATCGCGGCGCCATGGGCTTCATCCTCATGTACGACATCACCAACGAGGAGTCCTTCAACAGTGTGCAGGACTGGTGCACTCAGATCAAGACCTACTCCTGGGAGAACGCGCAAGTCGTGCTGGTGGGCAACAAGTGCGACATGGCCGACGAGCGTGTCGTGAGCCTCGAACGCGGCCGACAGCTGGCCGACCAGCTCGGCCTCGAGTTCTTCGAGGCCTCGGCCAAGGAGAACATCAACGTGAAGTCGGTGTTCGACAAGCTGGTCGACATTATTTGCCAGAAGATGGCGGAGAGCCTGGACAAGTCCAACCCGGCCACGAATCAGCCGCAGGGCCACAAGTTGGAGGCCAACGACGCCGCCAAAAAGCCGGCCGGACAGAATTGTAATTGCTAGACGCAGTTTAGTGTAGGAATCGCCTAGAGGAGGAGTGTGTTCACTCAACCAAACGTACGAAAAACATACTCTTTCTTTTTTCGTTTGCCATTTTTATCGTCTTTTGGGAAATTTGAGGGAAAATTTTTTTTGTATTCGATTTAGAGCTTGAGGTGATTTTTTGGAGATTTTTAAAAAATTCTCTATAACGCGATTTTTTGCAAAACGCGATTTTTTTCTCTATAACGCGATTTTTTCGCAAAACGCGATTTTTTCTCTATAACGCGATTTTTTCGCAAAACGCGGTTTTTTTTGGATTTTTTAATATTAAAAATTTTTCTTAAATTTTTTTTTTCATTCTGCATAACGCGATTTTCTATAAAACGCGTTAAAAAAATTTTTTTTTGTTTCTTTCGGATTTTTTTTTATTTTCACCACAATCCCAAAAAAATTGCCTCAGGCTCTCATTTCACATTCCTTTTTCAACCCTTACTTCACCTTACAAAGGCTGTTTTAACTCGTCCTAAACTCCCGATCAGTTCTAGTCGCCCCATAGAAACGGTAATCAATGTGTGTCTTTAGTCTGATAGAAGCAAATATGCACCCAAAATCACGTAATTCCACGTCAAGTTCACTTCACTTTGTAATCATTCATGTATTATAAATATTTTCCAAAGATGAATATAAACATTCTCAACCGTTTTTAAATACATTTCGTTACGAAATTCTCTAAAACAATATAAAAAATAAAAAAAAATATTATAAATGCTCGATATGTCATAGAAATTAGAGTGAATGGCGTTAAATGGGACTCGTATTGAAGGGGGAAATTCTGTAGTTAATTTTAGTTGAAGTGAATTGCGTTGAGGCGGGCTTGATTTTTCGGGTCGGGCGAGCGTTTCGCTTTTTTAAACGCGGCTTTGGCGGTTTGATGGGCCTGAAGATGACATGATTTTTTTATTTTAAATAGCCTCAAATGCCCTGGGCTCCTTGTAGGGACTATTTTTCTTCGATTTTTGCCCTGATTTTTCAAAGAAATCCGCTTTATAATCAAAAAAGAGAGAAAAATCGTCTAAAATAAGGTCATAAATCCTCGTTCAAAGTAGAAAAAGGTTAAATTTCTTCATAACGGACCTCTTTACACCATAATCTTTCTATAACAACCATTTTTACCCCTTCTAAATCATATTTTTGCACAAAATGTATCTTTTTCAAAAAAAAATTTTTCATCAAAAAAAAAATTTTTTTGTCCAAACCACTCCATGGGATATTTTAAAACCTCTACTCTATCTTATTTAACCCTAAACTTACATTTTCATCGACTTTTCCAACAAAAATCGACAAGAATTCCAAGAGATTCAGACTGAAATTGGGCCGTTTTTCCGATTCTTCGTTCACAATTTCCTGCGCCAGCTCAAACGTTTTTTTCTGAAGGGCGTCAATATAGGTTAGTAATGTCTCTGAAGGCTTTGAAATTCCATGGAAAATCAGAGTTGAGCTTCGGTTAATTTTTAGGGAGTAAAAAAATTGAAGGGTCGACAAAATAATCGGGGATTTTGAGGATGTCGATGGGTTGCTGAAAGTAAAATTTATAGTATTTTTAGGGCAATTCAAAATTAGTAGGAGGAAAGAGAGCTCCAGATTTTGTTTTTCGTGCCAAAAAATGACAAAAAAAATGAAAATTTTGAAAAATTTTTTGGTCCCACCACGAAAACTTTAGCTTCAAAAAAACATTACAAAACCTTCCAAACGCCAATTCAAGGGGTTTTCAACGTTTTCCAACAAAAATTCACGTTAATTCATCTCAAAATCACCTACTTTTGAACAACTTCCATCCATTTCCCTATCCATTTGCAATACCGCTCCTCATCGTACTTCGGAATCACCACCAACATGGCCAAAAATTCATTGGAGACTTCCGCAATCTCCTCTAGATTCTGGATCGATGTGAATTCTTCAAAAAGCAGATCAACAAATGAGTCGACTTGAAGGAAAGCTTGGCCGGAAAGGGCGACCTTGGTCGATTTTAGAGCGCAATCCAGGCGAAGTCGTCGACTTGACAGGGATGGAATGGTGATAAAAGTGTTGGCAATGCATGCATGGACGAATGCTGAGCGGGTGACCGAGAATTTGGCTGATTTTATGACAAAAATGGCAAGTTCCAGGATGCGATCAATCACGTACTAAAAAAAAATTTATGTTCAGAAAAAACTAGAAAAAAAATATTTTTTCGAGTAAAAATTATATGCAAATAAATGTAAATTACGCCAGCTGTTTCTATGAGTTTAACATTTCTCATCAAAATTTGCCAAAGGGGGCTAAAAATTTTTGTTATCCATGACCAAATTGGTCTCAAAGACGCAAAACTTTTTGGAAATATCGCTTTAACTGTCTCAAAACATTTTGATGAGAAATTTAAACCAAAAATCAGTAAGTTTAGACACCATTTTTTCCAAAAAAAATATTAGAAATTTATATTATCCATGACAAAATTGATCTAAAAGTCATCAAATTTTGAGCTAAAATTGTTCGGGTAGGTCTTCAAATGAATGAAAATAGAATTTAAAACAACTATCAGACAATTCAGACTCAATTTTTCGAAAGAAATAATAAAAATTTATATTACCCATGATAAAATTGATCTAAAAGCCATCAAATTTCGAGCTAAAATTGTTCAGGTAGGTCTTTAAATGAATTAAAATAGAATGTAAAACGACTATCAGACAATTTAGACTCAACTTTTCGAAAAAAATACTCAAAATTTATATTATCCATGACAAAAAAGATCTAAAAGTCATCAAATTTCGAGCTAAAATTGTTCATGTGGGTCCCTAAATAAGTGAAAATAGAATGTAAAACAATTACCAGACAATTTAGACTCCATTTTTCAAAAAAAAAAAAAAAAATAACAAAAATTTATATTAACAATACTTCAACCTCAAAACTCCCAAAAAAATTCCAAAACCGCTGACCAATCAAATAAAACCTTACCTTTTGGCATTCATCAAGGTTCAACAAGTTCGCTCGGCATGCCACATAGAACGACAGTGCGTTTTCTGGGTCCGCTTTGACTTCAAATCGATTCAGAGCGCTTTTGATGAGCTCCACCGCTTGGAAGACCTCTTCATCCGATGAAAACAGATCCAGCGAGTCATGGAGAATCTTGCAAACGTCTGATACCTAAATAAAATTACATAACATATCTATTTAGTCATCAAATGTTCTCAAAAACCAGCAAATTGTAAAAATTTTTATAACTCTTTACCTGATAAGCTAAATTAAGGTCGGAAATGCTGGCAAGTTTGTGTTTCGACACCATCGTCTCCAAAATTTGGACGGACATTTGTTTTCGGATAGAATCGTCGGTGAAAAGTGAGGTGAAATTTGAGAAAACGGGGAGGGTGAGGAACGTTGGGATATCCCGGAGTTGGCCCAGGATTTTGGACAAAACTTCCAGTAAAGCCGACTGCGGTGCGTTGAACGCCTAAAATACGATCTGTTACTCTTCAAACTTTCTGAATCTCCCAGGAATCATCATCAATTCCTCTAAAATAACGTAAAAAGCGTTGTGTTTTAACAAGGAAAGTACTTCTACGGGTATGGAGTTACAGGTCGAGATATATTTACATCAAAAAATCACAAAACTTTTCTGTTTCAGAAAATTTAAAAATTAGCTGCCCAATTTTGGTTTGTAAGGGCGAAAAAACACTTTCAAAACTTTTCTCGCAACACCACGCAAACGCCTTTTTGACCAAGTTTTTACCAAATCAAAAGTTTTTTTTGAGCTAAAGTAAACCCTGATATCTTGACAAGCCTTATAACATCAAATTTGATGAATACTACGTTTTTTGAGAACTACTAATTAAGGTGTATTATTAGTCAAATTTGATATTTTAAGGCTTGTCAAGATACCAGGGTTTACTTTAGCTCAAAACAAAGCTTTTGAATTGGTAAAAACTTGGCCAAAAAGGCATTTGCGTGGTGTTTCGAGAAAAGTTCTTACAAGGGCTCGGCAAAACCTCGTCCCCTGGTTTTTTCTTGAAACATATACCATTTGAAAGAGCGTAAAAAACTGGTCTAGAAGCGACTTTTATTAGCTGCTATTATCCACTTACGCGCTGGCTAGCGAGAATTTTTTAGTTCTAGGCTAGTCTCACCCTTCTTTTGAGAAAACAAACGCGATCGGTTTCAAAAGCAAACCGGAGAAGTGCTTCGGTGGCCTAGTGGGGAAAGGCGCTGCTCAAGGACCTGCGAAGCGGGTTCGAATCCTCTTTTGAACTTTTTTATTTTTCTGGCTAGTATGGAACAAATAGAGTCAGAAAGTTATATTTAATTTTGGACTAGACTTTTGTGAATACTCAGGTCCATTTTAAAAGAAAAAACTACAACTTTTTCGTTTTTTTTTATTTTGGCCTCTTTGACCTTGTAGTGGGACATCCTGGGTGGTTGAAACTTTCGAGGTCTTTCATATTTTTACTAGGAATTCCTGCTAACGGAAAGTACGTAAAAATTGAGTCTGAAAACATCTTACATGCTTGGAACATCTTCGTTTGTCTTGAGTTACAGGACCTAAAACATCGCGCAATCACTCATTGAGTATATCAACCTGAATGTCTCAAACTCAGAAAACCTTTTGTATTTTTTGACATGGGTTGAAGCGTTCAACCTCATTAATGACTAATGTTTATATGAAAAGTGATTATTCGATCTCGTTCACGTCTCAGAAGCAAAAAGTTCCAAAATTCAACTTGGAAATTTTAAAAAATGCCCGCTAGCCAGCCCGTAAGTGGATAATAGCAGCTAATTCAAGGTGATCCTAAACCAGTTTTTTACGCTCTTTCGAATGGTATATGTTTCAAGATAAAACCAGGGGACGAGGTTTTGCCGAGCCCTTGTGAGGGTTTTTTCGCCCTTACAAACCAACATTAAGCAGCTAACTTTTACACATTCTGAATCAGAAAAGTTTTGCGATTTTTTGATATATGTTTTGACCTGTTAACTCCATACCCCATAGAAGTACTTCCCTTGTAAAAACTGTTGTTTTAAAAAATTTCCTTTTTCCTACCCTATCATTTTCAACTTTTCCGCAGATCCCATCCAGAACAACTTGAATTTCAGAGACAGTAAAGTATTTGGCGACAAATTCGATCCAAATCCTCATGCCCTCCAAAAAATCCTTGGTTTCCAATCGATTCAACATCTTCCATATTGCTTTTAGCAGGGGTTTTCGATTAATTTCGGCGACATTTCCTTTCAAAATATTTTTTCCAAATGCCGTAATCTCATCAATTTTTGGCTCTTCAGCTTCCATGAGTATTTTACAAGTCTCTAGACTGAATTCCGTTAGATAATTCGTGGGCAATGCGTTGAGGAGGGCCTTGAAGACGAAAGGTCGTTTTTCCGGGAGTTTTGCGTATTCCCAAAGAGGTAGAATGTCATCGTATGTTACTGCATTATAAGCCACACACTGTATTACGTACTCCAAAGGGGGCCAGAGCAATATTACCTGAAAATTTTTAATTTTTTGATCAATTTCAAATCTTTTGTCATGGATAATATAAATATCGTTATTTTTAGTCAAAAATAATCTCCAAACCTACCGGTTGTTCTTTGAAAGTTTGCATCCAGTCATTTAGACACTTCCAATGTGGCGCTCGATTCGATGGCTCACAGCGCATCGCCACACGACATATAAAACATCTGGCGTATGAGGCAATTAGCGGATGTGATATCGTCGCGGCCAATTGACATAGCCTAAGGAGATTTTCGGCAATAGAAGTGTCATCCATGAACTTCATAATAGGCATCAAAGCACCTCCAACTAAAGACAGAACTATCAAGAATAAATGGAACTTACTATAAAGATGAGGGAGAATTTCGCGGATCTCTGACAGTTTGCCAAACCAATTTCGAGCAACTATCCTGGTCTTTTCGAGCACATCGATGGTCTGGAAATGTGTTGGAAGGGTTGGCAGAGACGCTTGTCTTCGTTCGGCCTTTGCTTTTTCTAATAAACGTTCGTAGACTAGATGCCCAAAAATATCCATGAAGTCAGTTACCAGAACAAACGCTTTGGGATAGAAGTAACCCAGATTACTTTGCGTCAGAATGTTGGCCACCTCTCGGCAGAGCTAGAAAGAAGAAAAGTCGAAAAAATCAAATCTAAGTATCAAGTGGAATATAAAATATGTCAATTTTTGAATCTAAACTTACAAAAAGTCAAATAAAACAGTTAAAACTCACCTTGATACACTCTATCCTCTCTTCTTCGGCCCATAACCTCCTCAAAATTCGCCTTAAGTCACGGATTTTTCGATTGAAATCTTCTTCTGTAAGGTTAGTAAAACGATGTCCATTTACTGGTTGAGCTTTCTGATTTCGAGGATGGGGTCGTGTACTGAAAGGGAGGGTATAATAGCGGCTCTAGACAAGTGATTTATACAAAATAAATATGTCATAAAAAATTTTTTTTGAACTATAGGTACAACAAGGTCAAAATCAGATCAAAGCTGCTAAAAAATGTTGTTCTCTAACACAAAACGATTTCGTCTACCATGAAAAATCCAGTTAGCTCCTCAAGAAAGGGTTTAAACCTAATACTTCCAGTTCTTTCAAGAGTTTCACCAAATTTTATATTATTTTAGGTAACAAAATCTATTTTCTTCTGCAAATCCCTTGAACATCTTCAATTTGATGAAATTAACACCTAATGATCAAGAAAAAACATTTCAAAACCTCACTTTCTTCCCTTCTCTTCTGTTGGCTTCAAAAAACTGGATTCCAAAGAGAAAGTGTTCTCCGACTTGTAGGTCTCATGAATAATATCCTTAAACTCGCCCCACGGCCTCAATCCCACAAAAACAGGGTCCAAATCCGGAATCACATCCTCCTCCTTCTCTGCCAAGGTGTTTAACAGCGGTCCATCAGTGAATAAAATATTGCCATTGTTTATAAATTGATCTCGTTTGTCGTGGAGAGCTGTAGTTGCCAAATTCTCAACAATCTCATTGGTTTCCTGAACTCCCAATGGATCAGAAAACTCGGAAACTCCATTCTCGTCGGCCTCTTCTATGGAGTCAGCAGGTTCCGGTTGGGGTTTCTTCGATTTTGAATATGAATCTGGCTGAAGGGGATGGTTTAGAACAGGCACAAGACCTGAAGTGTAGCCAGAACGACCAAAATTTGACGCTGTCAGGCTCATCAACTGCAATTGGAAAGATAACGAGTTGTTTTTGAGGTAAATTGGAGGAGAAATTTGATAAAAACGATAAAAAATTTGGGTCGAAAACAAAGAGTTGTCAAGTGTAATATAAATTGATCTAAAAAAGCAGAAAAAAAGAATAAGTAAAAATAAAAGATTTTAGAAACTACCTTGCAAAGGCCTTTACAACAACTCTTTGTTCAAAACAGTGCACAAAATAAAAAAAGAATATTTATTTTCGCCAAGCTGCGCCCGAAGGAATCGCAGGTCGCGGGGATATTTTATACGAAAGCTACTTTATTTTTAAAATTGAATGGCCTGGAGGCTAATAGTGATTTCAAGGTGCTTTTTACACTTCAGCAGTATCAAAGAAATGATTTTGACGATTCTGACGACAATCCTTAGAGAATACTGTTATCCATGATAAAAAATTTAGCCTTTCGACAAAAAATTTTGTCGAAACTTTAAAAATCTCACTGTATATGCAATATTAATGCCCGCAATGTTGTGTATGACTAATCTCCAAACTTCAAATGACCCAATCGTACGCAGAAACAAACAATCCGAAGATGTTCCGCATCCTTCTCGCGGGTATTTTAAAGTGGATTATGCGATCAAGGTGAACATATTCAACATGTTTAGAAAAGAAGCGTGGTTGTGGGTGTGTGTTTGATTTATATATTAAATTTTTCAAGAACATAATTTCTGGATTTTGAACGGTTTCTACGTATTTTTCAAAATTTTTGTTTTTATCTCATGGATAATAGTATAATGTTTGTTCAGATGCCCGAGGATGACGGAATGACCGAATATATTCGAATTTCCATTTCTGAACGTTTTTTGAATTAATTATTTGCTCTTACAGAAGAGATGGCTTAAATGGGCATCAAGTTAACAGAAGATGATGATCGGGTTGTGGGTAATATCTTGGTTACTTATGACTAAATCTGGCCATGCAAAAAAAGAATCGGAGCACACGGAAATGATGAAGGTATGTGAAGTCAATCGACAGTTTCGGGGCTCTATAAAATGCATTTTTTTACTCCAAAATGTCAAATTCACCATTTTGATGACTAAAATACGAAAAATATGATGACTTTTCAGATGAGAGCAAAATTTATTTCCGAGACCCTCTCCAAGCCTCAATTCTCTCTGATGCGGAAAGCCATGCTGGATCGTGCTCGGCATCCTCCATTGTACAAAGATATTCCGCCCATTTCTCTTGGTATGGCCAAGAGAATTGAAAGATTGGAACGAAATGCCGAAAAGGACAAAGAGTTGAGGAAGAAGACAATCGGACCGAGTATGGAAGAGGCCAATCGACCAATTGCTGATTTGTTAATTCAGGTATGAGCTTGGAATATTTCTCAAAGGGTTTTTAAATCAAAAAGCCGCTATTGAATGCCATGCGTATCCAAAACTAACCCGATTTTCTGGGCTATGAAGAAAATTATTTTCTGAAAATAGTCATGTTAGAAACTTACATCACTGTAAATCCTGTGTTGCAAAACTTGGGCCATTTTAGAATGTGATGGTAGCGGGACTTGTAAGCTTTATTTTAGATACAGTTGCTTTATCTACAGCTCCTAAAAACATAGCAAAAATTTAATGTCAACTTGAGGTACTTTTTCATTATTTTTTTTGTTATATATAACTATAACTCCCAATAACGCCTGGATGGGCTGAAACACTACTTTACTTTTACATGCTAAGATAAACACCATCTTCATCTACAGTTCTCGACTCTCTACGACTGGGTTAACCGGGCTTTCTGATATTTATCACCCTTTTTACATACCTCCAGACTTCTTGAACCCTATGAAAAATCAATTTCTGTATTTGCCTTGATACATTCGTTTGGCTGGATCTTATTGTTAAACAAGTAATTTTCCAGGGCGACTTGCTCCTAAGCAACATCCAAATGAAAGCTTATGACCATAGCTTACAAGAAGAGCGCCAACCTTTATATCGACGAAGAATAAAGCCAAAAAAATACAAGTTGGAAGACAAGTATCAACACCGCGGAAAACGGCAAATTCTCCAGGATCCGGAGTCTGGATTTCCACTGACTAAATGGCGAACTGATACGCCAATTTGTTATCGATTTCATCCCACCATGGGTGAGATTTTGCAAATCATAAAAAAGTTAAACTTTTACTGAGTAATTTTAATTTACTGAGTAATTAAACTCCGCAAATTTCCAGATAATTGGATGAGAACGTTGGTGAACGAAGCCACGAAATTTTGGCAAGCAAATACTTGTCTGTCCTTCAAAGAAAATTGCACCATTGAGCCGGTTGTTCGCTACATTCGAGCTGGCGGATGCTACAGTTCGGTGGGGAAGCAGTTTCAAGACTTTGAGCAGGACGTTTCGTTGGGACAGAAGTGCGATTTGGTAAGGCTTAGAAGAAGTTGCAAAGTAAAATACGCCGGTCTCAAGGAGTTGTAAAATTAGCAAAAATTTTTTGAAGAAGAAACTGAAAATGGGTCAAAAATTAGGCGAGAAAGATAAATTCTTTTGTAAAAGGTGTGCTTTTTAAACTAATATTTAGTCATCATTTTTGCCAAGCTTCATTAAAATCTGAGCATCGAGGTTTGAGCATTTCCCTTGTATATTTTCTAGATTTACAGGGGAGGTACTCCAAGTGCGACGCTCCGATTTTCTTTAAATTTTGCGCACACGTCGGGTATGGACCAGATATCAATTCCTGAAAGTTTTAGCTAGCGCTTTGCGGGCGACGCCGAGATATCGAACGATTTTTGCCGCCGAGAGAGCACGCTTAACGTGGAGAGCGGTCAGAGAGAAAGGCGCGTTTTGGCCATAACTTTGGCAGTTTCGTGCGGAAAATTTTGATTTTTTGTACATCTAAAAATCTCGGTTGTTTCAAAGCGCGAGCTAAGAATCTTGCATATATATTAGAAAAAATTATTCTAAATTTGAGCCTAGTTTCATCAAAATCTAAGCGTCGCCCTTGAAGTACTTCATCTGTAAAATAAATTGCCTTTGCAGTTTGGTGTCGCAGCCCACGAAACGGGCCATACGCTTGGCCTTTTTCACCATCAAAGTCGAATCGATCGAGATGATCATATCAGTCTGACCGAAAACATCCCCACCTCTTGGCTCTCGCAGTACGAGAAAGTGAGCAACAAAACGGCCACCATTATGGACGTCCATTACGATTACGGCTCGGATCTGCACTACCCCGGCTGTAAGTGGCTCTGGGTTACGTAATCAAAATGTAGACGATTTGCAGAACAGCAAGGTGTTGTTGGCAGCGAAACGAGTGCAGTATCAACATACGATGGGGAATCGGAGACAGCCGTCGTTTTTGGATTTGAAATTGGTCAACCAGTTCTATGGGTGTCAAGGTGAGTTGGAGTTTTGAGGCAAACACTCGAGAGAAGACAAAAATTTATAAATTTTGTGACGAAGTTTGCTGAGAAAGTGCTCAAAATGCGACGCTTTGTTTCTAAATGTAACATTGGCTCAAATTTAAGAGCATTTTTTCCAAGTCATAAGCCAAATCAGTAGATTGCAACCTGCAAAAAAACGAGATTTTGGGTCGGGAAGTTTGAGAAAATTTGATGATTTTTCGCGAGTTTAAAGCCCAATCTAAAATCCCCATAGAAGTACTTTCCTTGTCAGGAACACATAATTCTGTGGCCTAGCCCTAAAGTTCACAAAAATAAAAAAAACTCAGCGCCACGCATAAATTTCATCAAACTCTGAGCTCTGATTTCGAGGAATTATCATATTTTGATACTGGAATCTCTGCTTAACTGTACGCTGCAAATACCATTCGAATTTTTCCAGATAAATGCCAAACAAAGCCTGATTGTAAAAACGGCGGGTTTGTCAATCCTAACAATTGCTCGAGATGTATTTGCCCATCAGCTTTTGGCGGGTATCTTTGTGACGAAAGAGCGCCGGCGGCATTCACGAGTACCAGTAATTGCGGCGACTCTTTGGAAGCCACCAGTGAGTTTCAAATGATTCATGGAGAGGTTCATCCGGCTGGACCTACGGATAAAAATAATATCACTGTGAGACAAGCGGAGTGTCATTATCACATCAAAGTAGGCTTTTTTACGAAGAATAGGACACAATTGTTGCAGGCGAGGCCTGGCTATCAAATCGAGATCAAAGTTATGAACGTGACGGGGCCCTGCACGAATGAGTGTTATTATGGGGCATTGGAGATCAAGTTCGAGGAGTTTACATGGACTGGCGCTCGCCTATGTTGTCCAACGCATATTGATGACATTGGCGGGACAATGATTAGCGAGGACAACTTGGCAACGGTGTCGTATTATACGCAAAAGGGACCGTTGAAAGCGGTGATTAGATATCGAGAAAGTAGGTTTGAAAATCTTCATTTTAGATGTCAGTCTGTCGGGAAAATAGTGAGCATAATGCCGCTGCGCCGGCCGAAGTGAAAAACCATTCGATTTTTCCGCGACAAAATTTGATATTGCGATTTTCGATGCGACAAATTACTCATTATTTTCCCGACAGACTGATAGTTAAAATGCAAGGCTGATATGTGCAAAAAAAAGCAATTTTTATTTTCAGTCCAGCACGATGAACCGCTAGAATCTTCAACCACAACCTCCGATAGTTACGAAGAAGAGATAGATGAGACAGATGAGACAGAAGCGACAACAACCACGGAGATTTCATCCACAACAACTACAGAGCCTCCAGAAAAGCCCACCACAAATTCTAGAGAAGAGGAAGTGCCAGTGACCCAACGACGACGTGATGTTACGACAGCTGCGACGACGACAACCACGCTTCCCACAACAACCACTCTCAGTAATCTTTTCCCGACCCTCTTTCCCACCGTCCCCGCACGAAAACTACCCAACATTCGATGCCATGACATTGCCATAAACTGTGCATTCCAGCTGACATATTGCCGCTCCGTGCCCACACAAATGCAAAAGTATTGTGCTTACAGTTGCGAGTTTTGCCAGCCCTAAGCGTTGAGATAATAAATCACCATGTCAAAAAAGTTTATATACTTTTTGTGTTTCTTCATGAGCATTGTGGCAATTGATTTTGACCGAAGAGTCGTTGTTTTGTGAAGGAAAGTGGCTACATACCATTGCATTGATTTTGATAAACATCACCAATTTAGAGTCATGTTTGAGACACCTGATTCAAGCAGTAAACCTTCTGCAGTGGCGGACCTGATCCAGCGGCAAAAAGTGTATTTTTTTGCATCCGGGAAGTACCAAAAATGTAGCAAGATACCTTCCTCTACAAGTGAAAAAAACTGCACTTTTTCTGACGATGAGGGAAAGGGCGCCCTTCAAAACCGGGTTTTTTTAGTTGGAGAAGGAGGCATTTCGCTACTTTTTTTGATACTTCCCGGATGCAAAATGGAATTATAAAAAAAATATTAATAAAATTATAAAAAAATTATTAATAAAATTTAGTTTTTGTTCTTTGCGATTCGTTTTATAGCGCGTTGAATGTACCAGTCCATTCGCAAAGTCACTGGAGTTCAAAGTGCAAGTGACAGCGCAAAAAAGCCTATTGCTCAGTGCTAAGTGAACTTTTGTTTTCTCACAATTCATGTCGGAAAAATCACTCCAGCGGCTTTACGAACAGACAAGTATTTTCTTTTTCTTTTGGCAAAAAATACCCTTCTCTTCCCTGCAAAGCCCAAAATGCTTCAAGTAAAAGCATCTCTTTTCAGACCTACGTATAAAAGAAAGAAAGGGGAGGGAAGTAAAAAGAATTCCACGACTTTTTTTTTTATCTTTTCCCCACCAGCAAAAAGTGTGATGGAACGAAAAAGCGCCGCCTCCGAAATCTGCTGATCTGCCGAAAAAAGTTTTAAATAAATTTGGAAATAATCTCTCGGAGAATCACGTGACATGCCCATGGCTCTTTTTTCACGCAATAAATTTTACCCTGAAACCTGCTGACATCAGTATAAGTTACACTTTTCCGACCATTTGTCATTTTTTGCTAGTTTTTTTAAGGGTTTAACGGAATTTTATGAAAGGCACTTTGATCTTTTAGGTGCAAAATTTTTGTGGTTCCTTTAAGTTTGTTGTAAAACGACAAAAATATAAAGAGGTTGTGCAGGGTTTGTAGTTTTAAAATTGGAATATTTTTGGGTTGAAAAGGAGGTGTTCAAGGTGTAATGTTCAGAAATTTTTAGTTAATTTTTGCACATATATTTGTCCAAAATTTTTGCTTGAAATTTGCATCACAGCCAGAGATTTTTTTGTCTGAGAGAGTGTGCAAAATTTGGAGAAGGTCAGAGAAAAAATATTTGATTTTTTGACCATAGCTCTCGTCAGGAGAACTTGATTTTTTGTGGAAATTTTGCTCATTCCGGCTGTAAATAAGACTGATATTTTTATGCATAAACATCCGAAAAAATTTCAAAATTTTATCAACTTTCCTACTAAATATCTCGGTAGTTTCTTCTATTAGCAAAGCAAAAAAAATCTCAAATGCCTTTGCAAAATTCAGCCTAAAAAATATTCTTTGTTTCATCACTTTTCCTGCAAAATTTCGGAGTCTTAAATCTTACTCAAAGTAGACTCCATACGCCGAATCAAAATTCAAAATTCGAAAAAAGAATCCCGCTTTTCCCCCTAAACCAAATTCCAGCTCAGTTTCTATTTGGAGTCGGGCCATTATTCCCAAATTGCATCATACTTGAGAGAGTCCGTTTCTCTTTTTCGACCTTTTGTTTTGGCGATTAATGGCCAGGAGAATAAAAAGAATTTTTTTTCCGATCGCTCTTTTTGCCTCCAAATTATAAAAAAAATCCGAAAAAATCTTCCTGAAAGAGCGAATTTCCATAGTTTATTATCCACCGTAAAAAAATTTTTTTTTCGATTTTTTTAATGAGAAATATTGGGTAGTGTATAGCTTTGTTTATTGAGATCAAAAAAGTTTGTTTTTGCGGAAATTGGGGGGCAAAATACATTATGACATCAATATGACATAAACAAACCCCATCGAGAATTAGTTTTCAGAGAAATTTGAAGGATTTTTAGTGTTTTTATAAGCTTTTTTTTGGAAATAAAAGGCGGAGAACTTCTGGAATTTTTTGTTTTATTTTTTTTTAATGTTTATTTTGATTTTTTTTTTGAAAAAATCCTGAAAATATTTTTCCCCAGATTTCGATGAAACTTGGCCCAGGTCTAGAGTTATGGCCAATTGTGAAGATTTTGCAGAATTTTTAAAGAATTTGGCAAAGATTCGACACATTTCTTTGTTTGTTTCTACCGAGGAGTAAACTTTTTCACCAAAAAATCGAGGTTTCCCACTTGAATTGACAAAGATTCCCCCAAAAAAATCTCGTCTCTGAACCACTCCGCTCTCTGAGTACTCTCTCGTCGACAAAGAATTTTTGAACACCTCAAATGCGGATTTTTCTATATAGGATTGAGTACGTGGCGTAGGCAAAACTTGTGGGCCAAATTTGAAGAAAATCCGAATGCTCGGAACTGAAAACTTCACGTTGAAAATTTTCGTTCTTTATGGATTTATCACTTCAAACAATTTTCATCAAATTTTTTTAACAAAATACCCTTTCAAATTCTTCTATCCCGGATCTACATCGACTTAATTTTGTTCAGACTTCCCAAGAAACTCCATTACTAACCTCTGGAAAACTTGATAAACAATTGATATAAAGCTTATGAACCGCTTCTAAGTTCTTATCGGGGTCATTTTAAAAGTCAAGAAGTTTGTCCATTTTTGTTTTCAGCAATGTTTTCATAAGTTTTCTTGTACTTACAATATTGTTTGCAATCTGTTTGTATCTGGTTATGGAAACGATTAGGGGAAAATTGGGTTATTAGAATGTTTATATAACTAGTTGAGTTAATTATTATGTAATGATTGTTGTTTTGACCGCAGAAATGGCTTTTTAAACAATGAAAATGGCTAAGAATTAGGGGAAAATATTATGTATGTCTATACCCTAAGCGATTTTTTTAAGAAAGAAACTACATTTTTACGTACAGTCGCGGACCTTGAGCAGTGGCAAAAAACGGACCATTTTGCACCCGAAAAGTATCAAAAATGTAGCAAAAAGCCTCTCCAAGTGAAAAAACTCTACAAGATTTCAAAATCGCGCCCGCTCTTTTTGTGAGTGAAAGGGCGCGCTCTTCAAAACGGGGGGTTTTTTTTGGGTAGGGAGACCATTTTTCCACCTACTTACAGTGACGCACCTGATCCAGTGGTAAAAAACGTACCATTTTGCATTCGGGACGTATCAAAAAATGTGTCAAAATGCCTCCTTCACCAACTAAAAAGACTGTGTTTTGCAGGGCGCCTCACAAAAAGAGCGGGCGCGCGTTTGAAAGCAGAGTTTGTTTCACTTGCAGAGGGAGGTATTTTGCTACATTTTCAATACTTCCCGGATGCAAAATGGTACGTTTTTTTGCCATTAAATATATCAGGCCCGCCACTGTAATCTTTTTTTTTGAATTTTACAAAATTTTTAAATTTTTTCTATTTTTCAAAAAAATCTCTACACAAAAGACGTTTAGATTTTATAATTTATATTTTCCAGAGTTTCTGTACGTCTCAAAAGTAAAATTATTTTTTAAGCATTGTCTGCAAAGCTTCCTTAATTCCCTTCCCTTTTCCTTTGTAAAGATCCGGACTTTGGTTTTATTTGCACGGTTTATGTTCTCCTTCCAGCTTTATTTACATTTTTTATTTGTTCAAACAATTTTTCCTCACACTTATCTCATCAGGCTGACGCAATTTGTGGATTTTTCTTGGGGCAAAATTTTTCATTTTGAATATGATCTTTGATTTGTTTTCATATAACTTTATTTTCAATATGTTTTATCTTAGAAATCAATGATTAATTTTGCGATATTATTGTTGCATTTTTACGGGCATAAAAAACAATATTTTTTTAAATTTTTTTTTAAATTTTTATTTCTTCATTTTCAGCATTTTTTTTCAAAATTCAGCAAAAATCAGCGGCTGAAAATGACGGAGTCGCGCTCCGACCGAAACAAAATGGGGCTGTGGGGAGCGGTCAGTTTTGTTTGCGGTAATATCATCGGATCCGGCCTTTTTATCACACCCACAGCCATTCTTCAATACACAAACTCGGTGGGACTCTCGTTATTAATATGGTTCCTAAGTGCATTGATCTCCATGCTGGGCGCGTATTGTTATATTGAGCTGGGGACGAGTATTCGACATTCTGGAGCCGATTTTGCCTATTTGTGCTATGTTGGGTGGTAAGTGCGAGAGAATAATTTTTTGTATTTAATGACGTTTTTTATGATGAATGTCCGAAAAAATATCAGACTTCAGCTGATTGCCAGATCTAAATTATCTCAAAATTTTGTAAGCAATTTCTAGCATACAGTGACGGACCTGATCCAGTGGCAAAGAACGTGCCATTTTGCATCCGGGAAGTATCAAAAAATGTGGCAAAATGCCTCCCTCTTCAAGTGAAAAAAGCCCGTTTAGAAGGGCGCGCCCTTTCCCTCACAAAAAGAGCAGGCGCACGTCAAACTGAGATAAGCTAAAACAGTCCGGTGAATGGATTGGCAATTTGCCAAAAAAAGGCGCGAAAAAACGTTTTGTCGGGGAAGAAATGGGGAATTTTTGGGGCGAGAGAGTACGCTTTTGCGTGTATTTTTTTCTCTCTTTCTCTGCGAAATCAAGACGAAGTGTAAAAAACAGACATCGAAGAGTCTATTCCGGTCACCGAACTCCTCAGTTTGACGTGAGGCGGGCTTTTGAAATCGAAATTTTTTCACTTGGAGAAGGAGGTGTTTTACCATATTTTTTGAAACGTCCTGAGTGCAAAATGGTACGTTTTTTGCCACTGGATCAACTCCGCCGCTGTACCAGTTTCTGAAAATTTCAACTTGCCCTTCGCAAGGACGGCTGAGATATTCGACTTGTAGACAAAGCTGTGAAAAATGGAACAGCTAAAAAGCAGATAAATCCAAGATTTTTATTGGATTCGCTTAATTCTCGGCGTTTTCAGGAACAACAGATTATTATACTCAGAGATGCGGGCAACATACAAATTTTCTTCTGGCCGCTTTTTGCACTTACCGTGTTTTTTTGTCGACAAAGGTAGTTGAATATCTCGGCTGCCTCTGAAAAGCGCGAGCAGAAGTTTTCAGGACTTCCTAAATGGCGTAAAACGTTTGAAAAACTCAAAGCAAATCATTTCCCAGGCAGTTGCCTAATTGAACAATGGTTATAAGCCACTCATTTTGGTCTTCCCACAAAATTTTCAAGCTTTGAAAATTCTTTTTTCAGGTTCCCAGTGGCCTTCTCGTTTTTGTCGACCGGATGTTTGATGACATTCCCGGCTGTGGTTGCCGTGGAAGCCCTCACTTTCAGCGAATACCTCTTTGAAGGGCTTTACATCAACTTAGAATCGGCATTTTCCCAACACATGGCCAAAACTTTGGCCAGTTTTAGTATTGTTTGTAAGTTTATTTCAAAATCAGTGATTTCCACTGAATTTTGAGAGTACTGTAAATTTTTACGACCGATTTTTCAGGGCTAATCTGCTTCCTCAACTTTTTCTCCCTTCGAACTTTTGTGTCGCGCTTTCAAATCCTAGCGACAGGCGCGAAAATCTTGGCAACGATGACGATTATTCTCGTTGGAGCTTATAAATTGATCATCCAAGGGCACACCGAGCATCTTCAGGATCCATTTGCGAATTCAACATATGAGCCATCGATGATTGTTACGGCTTTTTTTCAAGGCCTCTTTTCGTACGACGGTTGGGATGTGTTGAATTTTGGTGTGGAGGAAATTGGTAATCCTACAAGGTAAGAGAGTACAAGATAATGTTTACCAGGTACGCAAGGAGTCTCTGTAGAAAGAACTAACGTACCAAGAATTTTTATCAGTCTGTCGGGAAAATAATGTGAATTAATCGCAGCAAAATGTCTTGCCTCGTCGCAGCCGCGCGCCGAATAAAAATTTCCGGCCGCGGCTAACTTCGCAAAGTGTTGATGGGCGATTCCAAGGCACGACAAGTTCAGATTATTTCCCCGATAAGCTGGTACAGTAACGGACTTGAACCAGGCGCGAAAAACGTACCATTTTGCATCCGGGAAGTATCGAAAAATGTGGCAAAATGACTCCCTCTCCAAGTGAAAAAAGCTCCGATTTCAAAAGCACGTCCGTTCTTTTTGTGAGGGAAAGAGCGCGCCCTTCAAAACGTCGTTGTTTTAGTTGTAGAGGGAGGCATTCTGCTAACAAAAAAAGTGATTTTTTTGTAGGAAAACTCCAGCAGAAAGAGAAAAAATGTCGAGTTTTGGACTATTTCGGACATAAAAACCTCGGTCGCTTCTGCAAAACAAGGATAGAAATCTCGCACGTATTACAGTGACGGACTTGATCCAGTGGCAAAAACGTACCATTTTGCATCCGGTAAGTATCGAAAAATGTGGCAAAATGACTCCCTCTCCAAGTGAAAAAAGCTCCGATTTCAAAAGATGTTTTTTGTGAAGGAAAAAGCTCGGCCTTCAAAACATAGTTTTTTAGTTGGAGAGGGAGGCATTTTGCAACATTTTTCGATACTTCCCGGATGCAAAATGGTACGTTTTTTGCCATTGGATAAGGTCCGCCACTGTAATAGATACACTTTGCGGCTTAAAAAAAGTATCAAAATGCATCCCCTTTTTCCCCTAACCGATAAAAAAATGTCCAAATTTCAGGACCTTATCCCTCGCAATTCCAATCGGAATCTCCATCATCGCCTTTATTTATTGTGCTACCAATTTGTCTTATTTTGTGGTGCTGACAATCCCTGAAGTGCTGAAAACGCCAGCTGTGGCGCAAGTAAGTCTTGATGACAATTTCAGCACTGATTTTCAGACCTTTGCCAACCGAACAATGGGCACATTCCGATATGCGATGCCATTTCTCACCAGTCTTATGCTAATCGGTAGCTTGAATAGCACAATTTTCACGGCGAGCAGGTGAGTCAAGTGAGAAGAATAAAGCGAATTCATAAATGAAAAATTGAAAATAATGGCTTTTATTGATGGAATAATGCATAAAAAGGGATGCAGTTACTTTATTGCCGAATATATCAGTCTGTCGGGAAAATGATGACCATTCCGTCGCATAAAAAATCACATAGCGCCAAGAAAATGAATTGTGTCGCGACAAAATCAAATTTCTTTTCACTTCAGCGACGCCATTGGGGTGGCGATGTTGCGCTCAATATTTTTCCGACAGACAGATAAAACAAAATAAAGAAAGGAAAAAAATTTTGCCTCCTTTTATCTCATTAACGGCAGGAAAAAGTTACTGTAAAATTTTGGATGTGTAGTGGAAATTTTTTCGCAATTTGTAGCTCCTTATTGTTAGACATTGCCATCAGAACAGGGGACAAAAAAAGTTGAATTAGCACTTTGTTTCTCAAGCCGTGAAAAGACCGATTCAAAAGAAGCTTGTACGACTCTTTTAAAATACGAACTGCCATGGGGTTAGGCACAAAAAAATCATTGTTCCACCCTTTACTCTGCACAAGAAATACGGGGTGGGCCATTCGAAACGGGTAACTTTTTTCATTGAATTTCTCCGCGGAGACTCCGCCGATTTCCCCGAAATTTAGATTTTTCTAGAGCTGAGATCCGCCATTTTCAACCCATTGAGTTTCAAAAAAATATGTTTTGAATTAACCTTTCTACGCCTTCCCAAAGTTTTGAAGAATTATTCTCGAGCCGAAACCGCTAAAACTTAGAAAAAAAATTCAAAAAATAGAAAATTTTTGGAATGATTTTGAAAACTTGGTCAAGAGTGGCACACCCTGTACAATTCCTTTTCAGATACCTCTACGCCGGCGCTCGCCAAGGCCATATGCCTTCATTTCTGGGAGTTGTTAACGAAGAGCACGACTCTCCTCGCTCCGCCATCTTTTACCACGTCCTTCTTGCCATGTTGTTCGCGTTGGTCGGCAAAACCGACACCCTAATTAACTACCTCGCCTTCGCCATGTGGGTTCAACGGTCGCTGACAATGTGCGCCTTACTTTACATCCGCTATTACGACGTTAAAGTCCATCCGGACAGAATACGAGTCCCGATTATATTGCCGATCACTTTCTTGATTATTTGCGTTACTTTGGTTGTCACAACGATCGCAGCGGACATTGGAACAGCCAGTGTTGGACTGGCATTCTTGTGCGCTGGATTCGTATTTTATATGGTGTTTTTGTGGGATGGGGGACTGTCGAGATTCAATGGATACAACAGTGTCTGTGAGACTGTAAATGGTACGTTGGCAAAGTGAATTTTTGGATCAAAGAGCGAAAAGCCCTTTCAAAGTTGAATGAAACTTTAGACCTACTATTCTCGCTTCTTTTGACAAAGCGCAAATGCAAAAGATTTCAAAAATTATAAAAATTTCAAGGCTATGTGCAGTGGCGGACCTGACGCAGTGGCAAAAAACATAGCATTTTGCATCCGGGAAGGGTCAAAAAATGTGGCAAAATACCTCCTTTCCAAGTGAAAAGATTCCGATTTCAAAAGCGCGCCCGCTCTTTTTGTGAGACGAAAAACGCTCCCTTCAAAACGGAGTCTTTTTTAGTTAGAGAGGGAGGTATTTTGCCACATTCTTTGATACTTCTCGGATGCAAAATGGAACGTTTTTTTACCACTGGATCAAGTCCGTCACTATATGTTCCAAGTTTTTGCAAAACCATTCCTCATACTTTCATTTACCCCGGTGCTTTATTTACAGAAAAACTCGCAATTTGGAATCAAATCATCTTCAATGGGATGGTCCATTTCAAAGTTGACCCATCCTTGGAAGTGAAGCACCGATTAATCTCCGAATCGCCCAGTGCTACACACATTGTGCCTCATTAAGACTGCCAAATTCTATTGTACATATCATAAAAATAATTGTTAAGTTTATAATAAAAGATATTCTTTGACAAAGTATACCTAGTATTACTTTATTTGTTGAATAAATTAAAAATTCTTGATAAATATGATGGATAATAAAAGATTAGCCAAAACAGAGGCCTTTAGACTCCTAATTTGCTTAGGCAACACGTCTGGCGGCGAGTCTGGCGAAGACCTCGTTGTCGTTGGCGAACTGGGTGTTGAAGGGCTCGTCGAACTTGCAGCCGACGGTGAAGGTGGCTGTGGAGTTGAGGCATTTGCCCGATCTCCAGATGTACCACTCCTGTCCACGGCGCTCGAGTTGGTAGGTGTAGAAGTTGAAGCAGGCCTTGTGTCCTTGCTCAATGTGGGCGTTGAAGACGGTGTGGGCCTTGGGGCAGACCAGGTCGCAGTAGAGGCGCTCTTCGCCGTTGACGGTCTCCTGAAAGGGGGAGATCTTATTTTTTGGGCAAAAGCTATTAATTCTGAACCTTATTCTGTATTGTAGGCTCTACTATAGCATTCCTCATACTGTAATCTTTCAAAAAAAGTCAAACTACCCATTATCTTTTGTCTATTCTCTTTTTTTTTCACTTTTTTTTTGGCTGCTAATGCCTTGTGTAATATCCCAAAACTCACATAGAAGCATCCATCGCCTTCTGGAGCCTCACGGCCTGGGAGTTCAGTCTCGGAGTCCTTGATGATCATGTTGCAGTGAGCTTGTTCGGGGCCGGCTTTAAGTTGACCGTCTTGGGTCCTGCATTTCAAGACACGGAATTCTAAAAAAAATAAATTTTAGTGATGTTTGAGGAGAGTTTTATGAGTGCTGTAGGGAAGAATAAAAATATTAGTGTCATAAGGAATGCAGTATAAAGATTTTGCAGGGGATATCAAGTTGTTTTAGCTTGATTTTTGTAAATATTTGGGTATTTTGGTCTAAAACAATATGAATTTTATCGAAAATTGGCATTTGCTGGATTGGTGTAGCCGAAATTAGGTCAGAAATAAAACTGCAATGCCCACAGTAGTCGAAAAATCTCATTTCTAGTCCAAATATAGTCCTTAATCAACCCCAAAACTTACGAGGATGAGCCAAGCACAGGGTGACGAATCCGACGAGGACAGCGAATTTGACGTAACCGTTCATGTTTCCAGAGGATGAGGACGAATGTCTGATGGCATTTACCTCAAGGTGACGGCTTATATACGCTACCTTGCCCGCGACGAAGACGGGTTTCCAAAGGCGGATCTATTACGCCATCAGAATTGGAAAAAGTGGACCTTGCACTTCTTCGACGGGCGAAAAGAGTAATGATCATAGTAAAAAGTAGGCTCCAGGGAGATGCTCCGATCTCACAGGGGTGATATCATAACTGGGGATTACTGGAATTAAGAATTTACGGAACGGCAAAAAATTGGGAGAGAATTTGAAAATTCAAAAAAAATTTTTTTTTTGTATACCGAGATGGTTTGATGAAATTTGGCACAAATAAAGGGGTAAAAAAATTCTATGGCATATACGAAGTTTTTTGCTTTCGAGTAGCAAAAATTACCGCGATTTTGTAAATCAAAAATCAATAAAAATTTTATTGTCCAAAATGATGACTAATAATTTTTAACAATTTTTCAATAAAATAAAAGAATAATTTTTCGTATTTTAGCTATTTTTTATTTGACTTTTTACAGTATTCTTTATTAAGCCTATACTTTTTATCTCATCTTTTTTTTAACCTGCTTAGCCCCCGGCTTTTACAAGATTAATTGTCAGTTCGACCACTCTTGAAACGAGTTCTCTCGCAACGGATTCGAAACGAAAAAAGTGTTGGGGGGTATAAACAAGGAGGATTGCGCAAACGGGATGACGAAGATGGGAAAAGATCAAGATAAATCGAAAAGAGTGTCAAATGCATGTCCGCAATTTTCCTGAAAAGCAGTTGGATTTGTTGTGCTGAAATTTTGGCGGGGGAATAGCAAATTTTCTTTTTGATGCCGAGAGAATGGGGTAGGATTAAGTACGTGTAATGCATATAATATAGGCTGCAAAAATTTTACTGGGGAGTTATATAAGCGACGCTCAAGACTTTCAAACCCTCTAAAAATTTCAACCAAAAGCAAAAGCGAAGTTTCAAACGTCAAAGGGGGTCTCACTGGACTTTCCCTTTTGTAAGCCAAAAAACGCAATTTTATGGGCCTCCAAATCGAACGCCAGATCGTAAAAAAAGGATGTTTTTTGTTGCTGGCGGTCGGAGAAGTATGTAACTGTTGAGGTCTCTGACAAGGGAATGGTCCCAACGATCCGTGGGATCCACAAATGAAACCTAGATATTCTGAAAGAGCAGGTAAAATTTAGTAGGAATCCGTTTTTTCTACTTGCCGAATAAGTCTGTGCGACGAGAAATATCGTCGAAAAGATCCGACCAAAAAATCGAAAGAGAGAAAAGACGAACCGAAAGGCCTTGGAAGGCGTCACCAAATAGTCTAGTGGAAAAAGTTCCACGCACAAATCTTTTGGGGGAGGGAGGCTTTGGAAGTTCGAGTCCACCCGGAGCGGATATCTCCGGATTTGAACCTACGTGTTCATTACTGTATTCTACATTTATACAAAAAAAATTTTTTTGTTTATTTACCTGTTTTGCAAGGTTTGTTGCAAAATTTTAAGAAAAGCTGACACTTCGGCAATATTTTTGATAAGCCCGATGTCGACATAGTGGTATTTTCAAGACACTTCTACTGATTCTGGAAGGTTGTGTAGGATCTTGCAGATCTTTTTCGGTTTCCCAAAAAGGATGTTGCCAAAATCTCACCTTTTCATAAAATTTTGCAAGAAAAGTTGAAAAGAGAATTTTTGGGTCCTTGCATCAGCGTGCAGTAGACCCCGTGAATATTTACGAAAAAATCTATTTTGAGTTTTTTGGTTTAAAATGGCCGTGGACATGTGTTTAACAAATGCCCAAATTATTTTTGTCAAATTCTGCCCAGAAGGTATAAATTTGCATAAATTTGTCTTCTTTGGAACTTCGGACCTGGCGGCATCATAAAAAGAGGTAATGACCAGTGATTGCCACGCCTTCGGATGCAAACAACCTTGTAAAACAGGTTAAACAAAAAAAATTTTTTTTTGTATAACTGTAGAATACAGTAATGAACACGTACGTTCAAATCCGGAGATATCCGCTCCGGGTGGACTCGAACTTCCAAAGCCTCCCTCCCCCAAAAGATTTGTGCGTGGAACTTTTTCCACTAGACTATTTGGTGACGCCTTCCAAGGCCTTTCGGTTCGTCTTTTCTCTCTTTCGATTTTTTGGTCGGATCTTTTCGACGATATTTCTCGTCGCACAGACTTATTCGGCAAGTAGAAAAAACGGATTCCTACTAAATTTTACCTGCTCTTTCAGAATATCTAGGTTTCATTTGTGGATCCCACGGATCGTTGGGACCATTCCCTTGTGAGGAGACAACCTGATACAACCCGAGTAGTTAGATCGTACTGATTTATCCAATAAAGAAAAGAGATTCATTTGGAGATCCTTGTTGTCGGTGAAGTCGGTCGTTCCCCATCCTACAGTAACATAACTCGAGAACAACGGAGTAGCAGAAAAGATGATTTGGTAGTGGGGGGCCATGGAGATTTCTCATATCCTAAAGATTCTGTTTACAAGGGAAGTACCAAAAGTGCGACCCTCAGATTTTCTTCAAATTTTGCACACACGTCGGGCAAAGACTAAACATCAATTCCTGAAAGTTTTAGCTCGCGCTTTGCAAGCGCCACCAGGAAATTGAACGATGTTTTCCGCCAAGAGAACACGCTAAGCGCGGACAGTCGGAGAGAAAAACATATTTTGGCCATAACTTTGCTTGTTTCGTCCGAAAAAAATTGATTTTTTGTGGAAACATTACCGTCTAGGGAAGAAATAGGTACAAAACTTTTTATGTCAAAATTCGGCTAAAAGTCTCAAATTTTCGCCGACGTTCCGCCTAAAAATCTCGGTTGTTTCCACAAAGCGCGAGCTAGGATTCTCAGATATATTTAGGAAAAAATTATTCTAAATTTCGGCCAAGTTTCATCAAAATCTGAGCGTCGCACGTCAAACTGAGATAAGCTAAAACAGTCCGGTGAATGGATTGGCAATTTGCCAAAAAAAGAGGCGAAAAAACGTTTTGTCGGGGAAGAAATGGGGAATTTTTGGGGCGAGAGAGTACGCTTTTGCGTGTATTTTTTCTCTCTTTCTCTGGAAATCAAGACGAAATGTAAAAAACCGATAGCGAAGAGTCTATTCCGGTCACCGGACTCCTCAGTTTGACGTGCGTCGCAATTGATGTACTTCCCCTGTAAACTGAAACTTGGTTTTTGAAGCGTGGATTTTTTGCATGAACTTACAATTTGGAATAAGTGTGTAATGTTTCCACAAAAAAGCAGCTTTTTCCGCACGAAACTGGCAAAGTTATGGCCAAAAAGTGTTTTTCTCTCTGACCGCTCTCCGCGTACTCTCTCTGCGGCAAAGGTGGTTCAATATCTAGGTGGCGCTTGCAAAGCGCGAGCTAAAACTTTCAGGAATTGATATTTAGTTCATGCCCGACGCATCCAAAAGATTCAAAGAAAATCTGAGCGTCGCACTTGGGGTACTTCTTTTGTTAGATTTAATTGTAAAATACGGAAATTCAATGTAGTTTCAAATTTTATTTCAGAATAAAAAACATCAGTAAAGCTCTGTAAAATCTCAAACTGAATGCATCCAAACGACAATGTCAAAGTTTGGCGTACGAAAATAATACAAGTAGTGTATTTACAACCGAACCGTAACGTGGTAAGTCACCGTGAAACCCAAAAAAATTAGTGGATTGTGAAGATTATTAGGTCAGATGATTACTGCAAAATACAACGGCTAGACTAGAATTCTCTAAAATACGTAATAAATAAGTGAAATAAAAATTATAGTGTAAATTTTTAGAAAGATAGAAAAAAATTACAATGTAAGCTTTTAGAAAGTAAATACAACAAATCTACGTTACACAAAGGCTCAATATATATAGACAATAGGAAGTTTTTGGGTAAAATAGGAAATACGCAGCGGTAAAAAAAACTTTCGACGAAAAAAATCGGTATGAAAAAAAAATTTTGACCAAAAATCAGCAATTTTTTCGACCAAAAAATCGGCATTTTTTCGACCAAAAAATCAACAATTTTTTGACTAAAAATCAGCAATTTTTTCGACCAAAAATCAACAATTTTTTGACTAAAAAATAAGCAATTTTTCGACCAAAAATCAACAATTTTTCGACCAAAAAATCAGCAATTTTTTCGACCAAAAAATCGGCATTTTTTCGACCAAAAAATCAACAATTTTTTGACTAAAAATCAGCAATTTTTTCGACCAAAAAATCAACAATTTTTTCGACCAAAAATCAACAATTTTTTGACTAAAAAATAAGCATTTTTTTCGACCAAAAAATCAGCAATTTTTTCGACCAAAAATCAACAATTTTTTGACTAAAAAATAAGCAATTTTTTCGACCAAAAATCAGCATTTTTTTCGACCAAAAAATCGGCATTTTTTCGACCAAAAAATCAACAATTTTTTGACTAAAAATCAGCAACTTTTTCGACCAAAAATCAGAAATTTTTTCGACCAAAAAAAATCAGCAATTTTTTCGACCAAAAATCAGCAATTTTTTCGAAAGAAATCAGCAATTATTCGACCAAAAATCAACAATTTTTTCGACCAAAAAATCGGCAATCTTTTCGACCGAAAATCAGCAATTTTTGCGACCGAAAAATCAACAATTTTTCGACCAAAAAAATTGATGCAAAAACAATTTCATCAAAAAATTATAAAATTTTAAACAAATTTCCACTCGTTCGACCGTATTTTACATTATAAAAATCAATTTTTCGTCTTGATGACCCTCCATTCGGACCTCGGAATCTTCTGGAACATATTGATGCGCTTGTAGAAGATCTTGTACCAAATTAATCCGACCATTGCACAGAACGCAATAGAAATATAATAGCCATCGATTTCGAATTCGCAGAGATCCCCGCCGGCTTTGCACAACTCCTCTTCCGGCTTCTTATTACACGTTCCAAGGACTCTGAAATTAAAAGAGGTTGGTAAAATACGTTTGCGAAAAATATCCGAAATTTTGGTGCAATTTGGAACAAATTTACAGGGGAAGTACTTCAAGTGCGACGCTCAGATTTTCTTTAAATTTTGCACACACGTCGGGTATGGACTAAATGTCAATTCCTGAAAGTTTTAGCTCGCGATTTGCAGGCGCCGCCGAGATATCGAACGATTTTTGCCGCCGAGAGAGCACGCTAAACGTGGAGAGCGGTCAGAGAGAAAACACCTTTTTGGCCATAACTTTGGCAGTTTCGAGCGGAAAAATTTGATTTTTTGCAGAAACATTATCCTTTACGGTAGAAATAGGCATGAAACTTTTCGTGCCGAAATTCGGCAAAAAGTCCTGAATTTTCGCCGACTTTCGATCTAAAAATCTCTGTTGTTTCTGCAAAACGCTAGTTAGGACTCTCGCATATATCTTAGAAAAAATTATTCTAAATTTGTGCCAAGTTTTATCAAAGCCTGAGCGTCGCACTTGGGGTACTTCCCCTGTTAGATAAGAAGTTTATTTTCCGATGCATATTCCAGATTTTCAAGTTCGTAATTTTTTAATAATAGTCTGATTTTTTAGAGATTTTTTGGTATTTTTTTGCCCAAAAAATCAGTCGGAACTTTTCGACCAAAAAAAAATTTCGTCCAAAAAATTGGCCAAATTGTTATTCGAACTATAAATTCAATCAGAAAAATGCAAAATTCTTCAAAAAATTGCCTTGAATTTTTGTGACACAAAAATTTCCAAAAAAATTTCGTCCAAAAAATCGGTAAAATTGATATTCGAACTATAAATTCTATCCCAAAAAATGCAAAAATTCTTCAAAAAAATTGCTCCGAATTTTTTTTGACAAAAAAATTTCCAAAAAAAAATTTTGTCCAAAAAATTCGGTCATCATCAAAAAAAATTTTTACTATGTAATTTTATCCATCAAAAAATCCAACTTACGCTTTAGTAGTCGCTGAGATGCAATTCTTCTTATTGAAAAAGTCGGTAATGGCCAGAACAAAAGTCGACGGCCAGTTTCCGCCCAAGTTGCTGAGCGTATTCAACAAAGTCATATAAGTTCCTCCAATCTTGGGGTCCGAAATCTGCGCGAAGAACGCCATCAGAGAGAGGAAATAGCAATAGGAGGCGATCTGATTCAAATAGAAAGCGCCAATCCAAATCCCGTAGTACGTGTAGGGATATTCTCCATTGGGAAGGCGGAAATGAGGGGTCCAATAGACCAAACCGGCAAACACGATGCCCATGAAGATCCTGAAAAAAGGAAAGTTGAGGGGGATTCAGCATTTTAGGAATATTTATTATTAAATTTAGAGGAAAAATAAAAAAATAGGGTACTTTTGGAAAAAAATCTTGAGTAATATCAAGTGCAATATAAAAATTTAAGACTTGACGGCTCCAAAAAAAATTGAGAGGAGTTTCTAATTATTTTGAAATCAATTCACTTATCTTATACAAAAAATATTAAATTCCGGAAAAAAAATTTTGGCTGATGTCAAGTGCAATATAATTTTTGCGATTTTCCAACTTTTTTTATATTTTTCATGCTAATCTACGACTCTAAATTCAACAATAGACCCAAACTCACTCAGAAAAAGCCTTAAGCGGGGTAAAAAAAGCAAAAAAAATTGCAAAAAATCCAAAGTGATATCAACTAAGATATAAATCGTCGATTTTTCTGAGTTTTTTCTTCCAAAAAGCCTTTTTTACACCTTCAAATTTAATAAAAAACGCAAATCAGCTCCAAAAAGCTTTCCACATTTTCAAAAAATCAATTTTTACCAAAAAAATTACCTATACTACAATATAATTTTTTCCCATTTTTTGATCCCTTCTTTATACAAAATCCCCTATAGCCTCCAAGAAAGCCAAAATAAACTCAAACTTCATACTTACCGATAAGGATACGCCCACAAGTACACACTCAACGGCTTGGGGCCGGCGATTTGTTTTCCCAGCATCCACGGAAGCAGAATCTGCAGAGGCGTCAAAAAGATCGAGATTGATGCGATTTTGTCCGCCGTGATCCCCGCATTGATCAGCTTCAAGTCGGTCATTGAGTCAGCGGCGGCAAATGCGATCTTCGCCGTCAGCAACACCACAACCATTATTTTCATCGGCCTGAGGCAAAGGATTTTGAAGAGGATTTGGTAGGTCTGGAAGACGTTCAAATGGACCTCATCGTCACCGTGAGCCTGATTCTCCATTTTGTCCTGCGCCGATGGGACGGAATGGTCGATTTCTTTCTTGAAAATGAAGACCAACGTGGTGGAGACGATGAAGACACAGCCCCAGAAGAAAACAAAGTCTGAAATTGGGGGAACTTGTGATTAAATTTTAATAATCTGGCAGTAAGTATAGTAAAAAGGTCGATTTTTACTGGAAAAATGGTGAAAATCAATTATTCAGGTTTTCGTGGTGGGACCCAAAATTTATAAAATATCAATCGTACACGGTAATACCCGTATTTTACCTCCCAGAGAGACCCAAAAATCAATGTAATGCTAATTTAAAACCCACTTGCTAAAATTCTGTGTTTTCGTGGTGGGACCCAAAAATTATAAATTATCATTCCTATACAGTAATACCAGTATTTTACCTTTCACCATTGCCCAAAAATCGACATTCATTAATTTTTGAGCCAATTTATAAAATTTTATGTTTTCGTGGTGGGACCCAAAAATTATAAATTAACATTCGTACACCATAATTCCCGTATTTTACCTTCCAGAGAGACCCAAAAATCAATGTAATTCTAATTTTTAAATTTATAAAACCCATTTGCTAAAATTCTATGTTTTCGTGGTGGGACCCAAAAATATTTTTTTTTCTATTTTTTTCAAAAAATGTTTAGCCGTTGGATTTATCCTTCTACTGAGAAAGTAAAAATAAGCTTACCATCAAATTCAACGATTCCTTTGTCCTGCGGCGTCGATCTGATCCATTTATTGGCAAAATCCTTGGATTGTAAGGTCAAGAAGACCACATTTCCCATGAAAAATCCGACTGTTTGTCCCACAACGTTACAAGATGAGGCGTACCCGACGTTCTTTCTGTAATAAAAGTGGGTTTGAAATTTTGATAAAAAAATTGAAAAAAATAAAAAATTTGGGACAAAAATTAGATTATTTTGAACTTTAAGCTGGGTCCCGGCGCGAAAATCAGAAATTTAGTTACCCAGAAAACTTTACGTGTCATTGCGGACATTTTGAGACCAAAATCTCCCCCAGGCGTTTCCCAAAAAAAACTCACCTCGACAACATGGTCAGAGCCCACCCGTCTACTGCAATATCCTGCGTAGCGGCCAAGAAATTCAGCGGCAGGAAGATGCACATCAACAGGAAAATGTTCGGAGTTCCACTTCCATTAGTGCCCATGATTTCGTTGAGATAGTAGCTGACAACCAGGAGGAATCCTCCAATCAAATATTGGCACGGGACCATCCAGGATTTCCTCCGGCCGATTCTCCGGACATAAATCGAATCCACAATCGGCGCCCAGAGCAGCTTCATACTGAAAAATTGAAAGAAATAGCGTTGTAAGTTACTGTAATACCAAAAAAATTGAATTTTGTCGCTAAAAAATAAAAAAATCCAAATTTTTAGAGAAAAGTTTAAAAAATCCCGTTTTTCAGCGAAAAATTTGTTTTTGGAAAAAATATAATATCTTATCGGAAAAAGGGCTGTTTACTGTATAAAAAATGATTAAATGTTCTTACCTGAAAGGCCAATGTGAAAACGAAAAAACGGCTTGTTGGGAATAGGTGATCCCTTTACTTTGGAGTAATAATGGGACGGCAGCAATTAAGCCAAGGGGAATACCCTGAAAAAAATAAAATAAGTGAGCTTTCAAATGAATAAAAAAAATTAAAAGAAATAATTAATTTGATTTTTTTCGAGCTGCGCCCGAGCTTAAAATTTTATTTCTTTTTTATCAAGCCTCCGGTTTTTTGACTTGATAGTAGGCCTTACAAGGGCTCATTTCGAATAAAAAGATTTTAAAAAAATTGAATTTTACTATTTTAAAAATAAAAAAAAAAAATTTTTGAAATTTTGAATTTCTTTTATCATCATAAAAAATCCAAAAATTTTCACGCGAAATCACAACAGTTTTCACTTACCTGTAAAAGATAAAGGAACAAGAGTAAAAATATGGATGAGAGATCTCCTTTCAAAGTTTTGTACATATTGTGGATGGAACGGAAGGGTCGGAGAAAGCATGGCTGAAAATGGATAAAACCTTGGTAAACCTCGACAAACAACAGCATTCATTATAAAAATACTCGGAGGGGTTTTTAGTAAAGCTGGAAATCAAAAAAGCATATATTTTTTATGGATTTTCCGGGTTTTTTGAAAAAATTATTATATAAAATTCGATGATAAAGATGCTGTTGGTAAATTCAGAGCTCCCAATCAAAGTTTCGGGACTTGAGTTATAAAAAAAAGGGAAAAAGTTCCTTATTTTGGCCACAACAAAGGTACTCCGCGAACTGCGCCCAAGCTTGGGCACAAAGTTGGGAAAAAACGCTTCGACCGAGCTGTAACTGAATTACTATAATACGTCTACAGTTTTAAGGGTACCTACGAAGGCTATGACGACTCATTTACTTCCATACGGAGGCAATAAGTTTATTTCCGGACATGTTTCATCGTATAAAGTGTAAAATAACAGGCTGCAGCCGTTTTTGAAGGGTAAGGTGGGACGTAAAAAAGAAGGTACCTCACAAACTAAATCCACTGTTCGGGCATTGACAGCGATGAATTGAGCGTGCACGCTAAATTTGGGCTAATTCCGACCAGTTTCCGCAAAGTTATAAGGCCAAAATAAGGAACTTTTACGTTTCAGGACTTGAGTTATTTTAAAAAAAGTTTAAAAATTCAAAAATCCATTAGCCTACCGTATTCCGATCCTCCTTGCTGACCTTCTCCTCGGCATTGCTGCAGGTCACCGCGAGCTGATGTTTGCAGCCCAATTCATCTTCCGGCGGATGAATGGAGGGCGGCGGTTCGTCGCGAACGGCCGAAGCTATTTGCGACATCTGAAAATCGAAAATAAAATTATCAAAAAAATTAAAAAAATTCGAACGAAAAAATCAAAGGGAAATTGCATGAATCTGATGCAAGTTTCACGTGCAAAACAACGGAGAATTTACATATGGTGGAAAAATTGAGGGGATTAGGGAGAATGGGGCTTGGGTCAGCCGATGACCTTTTTATTCATGTTCTTTGCAATATTTAGTGAGCGAAAAACGAAAATAGATGTTGTAGTCTTGATGGTACTTTAGTCAAAGGGGGAAAATCGAACGACAAGATCTTGCAGGGAAAAATTTTGAAAGAATCGAAAAAATTGAAAAATTGGCCAAAGGGCCAAAAATTATATCAATTTCTGTAAGTCAAGGTCAAGGTAATATCTTGGAAATGCCCTATGTAAATAACTGAGAGCTGTATAATTCCTTGGACGATAGGTCAATGGACCTTGCCAAGGAGAAACTACAGAAAATGAGGAGAGACGGTCAGGAAAAAAATTATAAGCGGCAAAAAACAAGGAATATAACTTGGGCAAATACTTGTCCGTTTACAAAGCCGCTGGAGCGAGTTTGCCGACATGCACTGCGAGAAAACGAAATTTCACTTTGCACCGTGCAATAGGCCCTTTTGGCCGTCGCTCACACTATGACTTTTTCTTTACTAGCCCTCCCAAAAAATCACCGGACTGATTTTTGGCGTTTGCATTGCCCGAAAAAAGTCAGGGTACGAGCGACAGCCCAATAAAGCCTATTGCACGGTGCAAAGTGAAATTGAAATTTTGTTTTCCCACGCTGCGCGTCGCCGATTTCAGTCCGGCGATTTTCCAGAAAAGAGTAGCAGACGATAGGTTCAACGGATTTTAACAACGAGAGACTGCGAAAAATGAGGAGCGACGGTCAGAGAAAACCTTTCTGGTCGTATCTTTGAGAATTATATATGAAAAAAAACTATTTTTTTTTGCAGGAAAATTGTACACTTTACCTTGCGCAAATACTATTAGTTCGTTCACAAAGTCGTTGGAGTAATTTTGGCGGCATGCACTGCAAGAAAACGAAGGTTCACTTTGCACTTTCCAATTTCTTGTTTTTGCACCGTGCAATAGGCTTTTTTGACTGTCGCTTACAAGGACTTTTTCTTTACAGTGCAAACGCCAAAAATCACTCCAGCGACTTTACGAACGGGTCAGTAAAGTAAAAAGCTTGAAACCCAAAAATTTCAAAAATATTGTTTTAATTCTTTTTTCAATTTTCGATAAAAAATCTCGAAAATTTCAGAATACCCAGCTAAAAACACAGCAAATTTCTTGTAAAAATTACGTCTAGATTTTTGCCAAATTTAAACTAAAATTCACGTTTTTCATTTTAAGTATCCCCCTGATAAATGCAGAAGAATGTCGCATTATCTGTCTGTCGTCATGTCTGTCTGTCCCCTCCGAGTGAAGCCAAACAATTCTTATTTTGAAAAATTGGTGAGAAAATGAAAAATTCTGGGAAATTCAAAATCATTTTCAAAGTTTCGGTTTGCGGAGCAGTCAGTCAGTAAAATGCAAGTGCGGGGTGCGGTCGGATTCAACTACAGTTGAGGGTGCAGAGTGATTCCCTATATGTTTTGGGTTGAGTACGTGGTATGGTGAAGATAAATCAGAGAATTTAGGTTTTTTGGGGAGAAGTTTCGGTTTCACGAAAAATAGAAATTTGAAAATTGGTTTCTACGTGCGAGGGGGCCGCAGGCCCCCGAGCTTTTTTTGTAGAAGATAAATGCAGGAGCAGAGTGTGGTCAGGTTCAAGTACAGGCTGAGTTATGCAGAGTGGGTACCTTTATATCTCTTGGGTTGAGTACGAAATGAAAAATCAAGATTTTTGGAACATTTTTGGTTTTTGCCACATGCGAGGGGGCCGCAGGCCCCCGAGCCTTTCATTTGAAACTGTATGGTTTCATTGTGAGCTTGAGTACTTGAATCAGGCATGTCACCGCATGCGAGGGGCCGCAGGCCCCGAGCCTTTTGTAAAATTTTAAAAAATCAATAAGCAAGAGTAAAAGAACAAGTAAAAGTTCCAGAAATTAGGGGGGCCCGAAGGGACCCCCTAATTTCTGGTCCCCCTTCTTTAAAGCAAAGCCATGGACTCATTTCTGTCTGTTTGTCCGTGAAGCCAAACAATTCTCATTTTGAAAAATTCGAAGCAAAAAATCGGTCTCGATCGTGGGAAAATGGGAATAATTCAAAATCATTTTCAAAGTTTTGGTTTGCGAAGCAGTCAGTCGCTAAAATGTGAATGCGGGGTGCGGTCGGGTTTGGAGTGCAAGTGAGTGGTGCATAGTTGGGGAACTTTGCATATTTTGGATTGGGTAAGTGGTACTGTGATAGGAATTTTGTTTTTTAGGGAAAGTGATGAATCTGAGTTAGGGCATTGATGAAAAGTTAGGAATTTTAGGAACTTTTTCATATGCGAGGGGGCCGCAGGCCCCCGAGCCTTTCAGGTAAAACTTTATGGATGCATTGTGAGCATGAGTAGTCAAATTACGCCCACACTGGGCGAAAATCTCTGATATTATACTTGACACCAGTTTTAAAAAAAAGTGAATTAGTCATGTCGGAGTAACATGGCACAGTGCGGTCGGGTTTGGAGTGAAAGTGAGTGGTGCAGGGTGGGGCTACTTTTGCATGTTTTGGGTTTGGTGTGTGGTACCGTGATAGGAATTGTAGAAATTTTGTGGTTTTAGGAAAATACGAATGTTGGGATAGGGTTTTGATTAAAAGTTAGGAATTTTAACAATTTTGATTCTTAGTGGAAGTGATGAACCTGGGATAGGGCTTTGACATAAAGTTACGAGTTTGAAGCATTTTCACATGCGAGGGGGCCGCAGGCCCCCGAGCCTTTCAGTCAAGTCTTCCAGTATTCAATATGAGACATGGCATCGCATGCGAGGGGCCGCAGGCCCCGAGCCTTTTGTAAAATTTCAAAAAATCAAACGGGTTAGAGACAAAAGCAAGAGTAAAAGAACAAGTAAAAGTTCCAGAAATTAGGGGGGCCCGAAGGGACCCCCTAATTTCTGGTTCTCTTTATAAAGCAAAGCCTAAAATTTAAAAAATTCAAAAAATTTTGATTCGCCAAACTTTGCTCGTATTTTAAAATGAATAAAAGAACTGTCAAAATAATATTTTCACTCCTCCTCGCCTTCAACAAGGAGTTATTTCCCCGAGAATGAGTAACCCATAACTCCGCTAACCCTATTACTTTACAGCTAAAACAAGTTTCCTCCAACAATAAAAATGATTTTTTCCGTTTTCGAATTCTCCAAACCTCAAAACGGAACATCACTTTGTTTATTCCTCCTCTCGATTGCAAATTGATGGCTAAAAAATTAATTAAAATCTGCAGAGAATTTTGAATAGTGAGGAAAAAATAAAACTACATAAAAGTCCTCACAATTCGCGCCTTGTGATAGGTTTTTGATGCGGGCAAAATAGCGGCCAATCAGACAGATTGCGGACGAAAAAAAATTGAAGACGACTGAAAATGGAAGAGAGAAAGGGCCAAGTAAACATCGTTGTGGCAAAAATGACAAGTCGAACTTTTGTTGATGAAATTGTTGTTAGTAAGAGGTCACACGAAAAAAATGACCTTGAAAAAATTTGTATCAGGCTGTCGGGAAAATAATGAGCACAATGTCGCTGCGCCGATCAAGTCGCTAAAGTGAAAAAATTGATTCTGCCGCGACACAATTCATTTTCATTTTTTTCGAAGCGACAGAGTGCCCATTATTTCCCCGACAGTCTGAACGATTGGTTCAATGTTTAGCATTTGCCGTGTGGATTACGGGTAAAATACGTCAAAATTTCTTTTCTCCAAATTTGCAACATTTGAACAAAAAATCAATTTTTTTCACGCAAGCCTTGCAAATTTGAATAAAATTGAAGAATACTTTTGCTCTGTTATAGTCTCTTCATACTTTTTACAGTGTGCAAAAATCGTCAAATATCTCATTTGCTGTTGCAAACCATGAGCAAAGCGCGAGCTAAAATTTTTAGGATAAAATTAAATTTTAACATTCCGAGACAAACAAAATTTGAGAAGTACAGTGAGGGACCGGATCCAGTGGCAAAAACAGTCCCACTTTGCATCCCGGACGGGACCAAAACGTCTCCAAACCCTTCCCTTCTCTATTCTAAAAAACTCCGTTTTGAAAAGCGCGCCCTTTCCTTCAAGGCGGGCTTTTCAAAGCGGAGTTTTTTAGCTTAGAGAAGGAAAGGGTTTGGAGACGTTTTTGCCACTGGATCCGGTCCCTCACTGTATCTGGTGAACAAAACATGACAATTACTTCGACTTGACCCCTCAATATGTGGGTAAGAATAGTGTGAGAAAAGTACAGTAACTCGTCATTCTAAAAAAACAAGTCGAAGGCTGTAAAGAAGACCGCTCAAATCATACTGTCAAAGGCAAAAAAGTCCCCTTCAAATAACTAGCATACAATAATTACATAACTGCATAACTAACTACTAACTGCTTTCCAAATCACCCCTCACCTCCCTCATTCAACCGGCAATAAATCCGTCAAAACGTCGGGTGCCTCATTACCCTTCCATAATACCTATATGGAAGCTCCAAAAACCACCAAAGTTCAACTAAAAACAGCAGTACAAGCGTACTCTACTCCCAAAAATATTAAACTCTGAAGCCAACCGCACTCATAACCCTGATCATGTCCATTCGCTTGCTCTGGTCAGCGGTAAAAACAGAGAGTAATCGGGGGGAGGATCGATTCGGCTTCGAATTTCAGTTCCAAATCGGATTAACGCGCAGAGAAATGCAATTTTTAGGGACGAGATGTTTGCGAAGATTAGAGGCGATTCGTTCGAAAAATTGGTCTGAATTTGATGAGCTGAGTGGACAAGAAGTGTTCAAGGGGTACTGTAAAAAAGGAGGGTTTCTTGGAGTTGAAATCAATGTAAATTGGTCTTGTTATAAGTTACAGCTAACAGGGAAGTACCCAAAGTTAGACGCTCAGATTT